ATGGAAGAGAAGATGGAAGAGAAGATGGAAGAGAAGATGGAAGAGAAGACGGAAGAGAAGATGGAAGAGAAGATGGGAAGAGACAATGGGAAGAGACAATTGGAAGAGAAGATGATGGGACGGGACGGATAGGAAGACACGGATGAAAGAGAACACAGATAGAGAAAACACGATGGGAAGAGTAGATGTAGATAATCGTTTCTTGAAATTGAGCTATTGAGCTATTTAGCTACCTAGTGAGCTATTCAGCTGTTGTAGGTACCACGACTAGGAGTCACAAGGTACTTCAGCTACCAGCTACTGTAGCTACCGTAAATTGTAGCTAATGTAAGATACTAAGCTACCATAAATAATGTAAGAACACCGAGTACTGTAGCTAATGTGAGAACACCGAGTACTGTAGTAGTGCAAGTAACATAACCAAGTACTGAAAACAGTAGCAGTAGAGCCAGTGAGAGCATGATTCCCCATAAAGGAGATAAATAGGATTCCTGTAAAAGATCTCGACGAAAATGCATCTGCAATTCTGTGTATGCATTGTCGACCGTACGTGTTGTACGTGTTGTACGTGTTAAATGTGTGATATGGTAGGTCGAGCAAACAAGAACCATAAGACCGAGTGTGGAAAAAAGAGAAAATGAGAACCGGTAAAAGCCAGTGGGAGAAAAGAGAAACACCATGATCCATGAGAAAAACAAAGGAATGGAAAAGGAAAAGAAATGAGTAGGAAAAAGAGTAGGAAATATAAGAGCCTGGGTAAGAACGACAACGCCAGAAGAATAGTAGAATTTTTGAGATTAAATGGATGAAAGTAAGAAAAGACGAGAAAGAAGAAAAGAAGAAAGTGGCCATGCCAAACGAAATGATGCATTTCCGGTCCAGGGAACAGAGGACTAAGAAAGCAAAATGAAGCAGCGGGAAACAAAGTGACGAATGGTCCACCATATGAATTATGATAATTCTGCTAATGATTGGCGTAAGTGTGCTAGCCCAGTAGAGTGCATGAATAATTGTAGTTTAAAGATTTAGCCATGAGACCGCGCCGTGTAACAGTTAAAGGCAAGGAAGATGTAGACTGGGATCTTGAGGAAAGGCTCTGCCTTGGAGTAAGCTTGACAGTTAACGCAATGTGAGGAGTCAAGACGAGTCTGTTTCCGGATAATTAAGAATTCCGAATGCAATATGTACATTTTGCACACATCAGGCGTCATGTGAGGCGTTGAGATAATGTATGGCGCTTTCCAGGAGGTTCCAGCGGTGGCAACAAGATGCAGCGAGGAGACCCCAAGGTTTGGTAACAAAGCGAGGAGAGGAAGATCCGGCGTTAATTGTCATCGCAAGCAGACAACCGCTACTGATGCTTTGCTGATGAACCCTTTGTTCTAAATGTGCTGACGGCAGGAATGTCTGCCTTCCATCTCTCCTCAATTGTACCATAGGCGCGAGGAGTCAGCTTGATGACTGTATGCAAGGGAACCTCCATCCAGGGCGATCTCTCTTGAGGGACATTCATGAAGTAGGCGTAGATGCAGCGGAGAATGGCCTGATGGGTGACAATCAGAATATCCTCGTTCCGCTCGAGTTCCATGATGATGGGCTCCAGCCGAACGACCACATCCCGATACGACTCGCCACCACGATACCGGTAATTGTACTTGTCGTCATCGCGCGCCTTAAAGTCTTCAGGGTATTTTGCTTCAATGTCCTCGTACGTTAATCCGTCGCATACGCCCGAGTCCAGCTCGTCAAGCGCTTTCCATGGCAGTTGCCGACCGTGCTTGTCCACAAGATATCGCGCGGTTTGAATGGTTCGGCGAAGCGTCGAGGTCCAGACCGTCAACGTCTGGCCGGGCTCAATTGATTGATCGACGAGAGAGGGCAGTGAGCGAGCATATGCCTCTCCGCGTGGAGACAAGTCGGCATCGCCGCCAATCTTGCCTTCGAGGTTGTACATGGATTCGCCGTGCTGCAGACGTTAGCTTGTGCCATTTGAACAGTAACCCCGAAAGGGGGTGGGAAGGGGGGGCAAAGAAGGAGAGAGACCAACTCTTGACAGCCAAATGGAGCGAGGCTTGATGTGCAAATTCATAAGATAGTAAACAATTCGACTCTGCATGTAATCGTGCACACGGTTAATGACCGTCTGGGAAGCCACATTGATCAATTTGACATAGGTCATATCCGCCTCGTCCTCGTCAATCGTTTCGTATACCAACTCGTACTTCCGAATGCGATCACGAAAGTCCTTGGCCGCTACCTCCGGATCAAGTCCCTTGTAGTCTGGCGAGGTCGTCTTGACATCCATGACATTCTGCATAATCAAAGACTCGTCGTCACACTTGGATTCGACAAAGAGTGTCGCGACATTGTCAGCGGCACAACGCTCTTGGATCCAACGCCGACGGTCTTTAGTGGAGTTGGTTGCGTCCAAAACGGCAATGATTCCCTTGCCTTGGTGGAACCACTCCAACATGTCCGTGACGGCTGCCTCGGCCGCGGCCCGACGCAGTCGTTCTCCCTCGGTATTGGACGTATCAAAGAAATCGGCGGTGGGCTGCGGCGTATCGGCACGACGGTAATTGCCTACGTTGAAGACCTTGGCGGGGATGTCTCTCCAGTCAAGGTAGCGGACAACTGTCCAATGATTTAGCCCATGTATCATCAAGTTGCCCTCAACTTTGCAGAACAAAATTTACCTTTCTGAGCGATGAAGCTCTTGCCACGGGCGGGCAGGCCCACCATGACGACGCAAATACGGATATCATCGACCTGCATACCGACACCGAACGGGTGTTTAGTGCAGATATCCCCCTCCACAGGCGACATTGTGATGGTGTTGTGACGGGGTTATGATGGGCAATTGAGAATGAATCGAAATGGGGAGGAAGAAAGAAGAACGACTGAAGAATAGCAAAAGGATTAAAGAACAAAAATAGCAGGACTCCCAATTGCGCGATGACGAAGCGCAACAGATGCTCAAAGGGAACAGGTTGAGTCCACGGCGAGTGGATCCCGGAACCAAGGTGGTGTTGGTGGAGTTGCAAGCTCTGCAGCGGCCTCGGAAGCGGGATGACGTCGCGGTAGCGTAGCGATACGTCCTCAGTATAGAACGAGGCGTCAGCTCGAAAAGGAATGCGCGAGTCTCAAACGACCAAGGAAATAAAAAAGAATTGATTGATTGTGAGGACCGATGTTTTTTTTTTGTTTGCGGTGCGTGTTGAGAAGGAGAGACAAATCGGTGATCAGCAGCGCGCGTTTGTTGCACTAATCGATTGCTTCCCTCGTCCAGGGTGGTCGAGACAGCACGGACTGGCAGAAAAAGGGAGGGCTGTCTGTTTGGGGCGGACAGCTGCACAATGGGAATCTTTTCGGTCGCCCCATAAGATTCCGACGGGAGATACAAGTGGCTGAACCAGAAAGGGGTAAAACAGCGAAAGCTTAAGGGGGGCAAAAGGCCCACTAAGTCTCGTTTTACCCACTCATGGAGAGTTCCGGAGCCAAGTCCAACCCCGCACTGTCGTGTGCCCTTCCCTTTTGTTCTTTCTCCACCGGCAATGATCTTCACACCTTTTCTGGTCGAATGTTTTTCCTGGTCAATGGACAATAATTCGTTGCTCAAGATGGCCACGGTGAATAAGGGGAAAGCATGATCGAAAAGTGCCCAACATTCCTGGTATTCTCTGGCCTGAGATTTGGACCCAACTTATGACTGGAGCAAAGCCCTACCCGACCCTTCAAGCTCGCACATAAAACACTTTCCTTGAGATGCAAATCTCAATGAAAGAGTTTATGCTTGTTTGAGTGAGAGCCGGAGAGCTCGAGCCACAATTCGCGAGCATGATGGGCAAGTGTGCGCGCACACCGCCTTCCGTCGGAGCGTGGGACTGGCAAAGCCCCCAGCCCTGCAAGGCCTGGGCATATTCCTGTTTGGTCTTGCACTCGTGATTGCCATCACCCATTCCATTCATCCATGGTCGCGCACTAACAGGTCCATATTTTCTCGTTGCTTGCTCCCAAATTTTATTGACAAGGTCCGCATGGTTTCTGAGCGCACACATGACAAAACATGTATCCACACCTTGACGCAAGTTGTAAACCTCCATCGGGCCAGACCGGATTCCTTTTCGACTGTTTTGGATCAACAAAGGACTCCAAGTGGACTGATGTTTCGGAAAGGAAACAACCATTCTGTGCAGAGAAGGGCGAGTGCGGGGAATTCGGGTAAAGGATGGTCCTTATAACCCTTAATTGGCTCCCCTTGTAGCTGCGCTCCCCAGTATATTCAAATTTTAGATGCGGCTGGGGAATAGTCCCTGTGGCTCGGCCAGGATCCAAGAGAGTGGTGACTGCCGCTTTTGGCACCCATCTTCCCTCCTTCCCACCTTTCCCTTCTTTGCTGCCGTGGATTCGCCTTCTAGGTTCCGAGATCTCAACGCATCACGTGTTTGGACGTGGCTGTTAGTGCCAGGGTCCTCCGGCTCCGCCCAGTGACAGATCGGCAAAACTGCAAAACAGGGTAAAAGGTGTACATGGCGGAATTGATAGCAAGCAGACCGAGCGGCATTTGTTCGACTTGAATGATCGACGAAAGCAAAACACTATGAGAACATCGGGAAACTAAAATACTTGTACTTACATCACCAGCAGAGAGAACCCTGGTCCCAGATAATCCGTTGGTTGCCATGACTGTGATCAATTAATCGGTCGCTATGTGTGGAGATTGGGTCCTGTCCGAGGTAAAGACAGGCGAGTGAAGGTGGGGCCAGGTCAAGAGAGAATTTGTTGATAGCACAAACTCCAAGCTGCAGCTGAGAGGCCACGAGTGGCAATTAAGTCAATCAGTATTTGTCTAGACAAGTTGATCCTTGAAAATAATGAGACAAGTATTAAACACGCTGTGACAGTTGCAGGATTTGGTTGAGTCGTGAAGGAGTGAAAAGCATGAGATAAACAAAGTGCACCAGAGGGTTTTGTCGCTGGCCGTGTTTGGGTGACGAAGATGCCAAGTGAATATCCCTCGTAGCCGCACACAAGAGTCTTGATTCTGTGGCTTGCTGTGTTTGTAAAGGTCAAATCGTGAATTTCAATTCGAAAGGGCTGAGCTAATATTAACAGCAGTTCTTGGTAGGATTAAAAAAAATTGCGCATCATACGTTGGTGGGACGGCAACTCTGACTCTTTCCGTGGTGAATCTTAGTGCGTGCATTATTCTTACGTATTACGCCCTCTTCAACCTTATCGATACGGTCAGGTTCAACTTCCACTGCTCCTTTCATATAATCATTACTGGTTGCAGCTTCAATAAATCATCAGATATGATACTCTGTCATAAATGCCGATCTTGATGGCAATTCGGAAAAAAAAAAAAGGTTTCTGTAATGCTGTACGTCTCGTTCTACCCCGAAAAAAAGAGGGCCGAATCGGTATCGATATCCTCCTACTAGAAGCGGTAGATTCCAGTGAATCTGGTTTGGTTGAGCCCTATGAACAAAATCCAAATGTCTCCAATGCCCGGCTCCCCCTGCGCCGTTCTCATCATGACAAGAAGGAAACGGAGACAAGCCACAGCTCATGACAAAATAAAGCTGAAATGAACCCGGGCCAAAAGAGAAACGTATTCTGCTGGTATATTGCTCCTTCTTGTCAACGGTCAACAATGCAATATCATATACACTGCTGGATAATCTGCCTCATCAATTCTCCCTCCGGCAAGAGAAACTCCACATCAGCTCGCAATCCCATTGCATAGTCATCGTTATCATTCCGCGATGCACAAACCAGTTTCCAAAGGTCTCCATCGTATAATGAAGTCAGCTTCGCAGCACATGTCTCGCAGACCACCAAGCCACATCCAAATGAAGAATTTGGCTTCAATGGCGTCCCGAATCGGTCAGCAGTCTGCGCCGCACAACATTGGTACGCGGCCGGGCTCGGACAGATGCAGCACCATGGAACGGACTCCTTGAGAAGGATTGAGACTCCCGAGAGCAATTGCCCAAATGCGATTTCAAAATTGATGGCGCTGGGGTCAAGGTCCGAAATCGGCTTGAGTGTATGCTTTCCACAAGCACCAATGGAGAGCCTGTCCAGCGTACATTGGATGCACATACAGCTTGGAGGCACACCGTTGCTTGAATGGCCACCTGAGACCTCGGTGTATCCGTTTCCATTCCCACAGTCCGTCACGGTGACACGCCGCTCGCCAAGGCCAAGGATGCCAAAGAAGACGTTCTGGCACCAATGGCAGGGACTTGTGCTATTCTCGGGTCGGTGATTGAAGGAAATGGGATGCGAGAAGTTAGTTGTGATGATCTTGACCGAGGCATTTCCTGTTTCGGCTCGTTTCAAGGCGGAAGCTATTTCATCTGCGATTTTTTCACCGTTTTCATTGGAGAAGGTTGGCGATGTGTTTGCTGTTTCTCCAGCCAAGTGCTCAGAGGATATTGATTCGGTGGGTACTAAGGTGCTAGAACTTGATGCGATCGAGTTGTGCGACTGTTTAAAAGCTTCTGTGGTGGTCGATAAACCTTGCGGATTATATTCTTGTAACCGCTTGGCTATGGCTTGTTCTGGTTGAACAATAACGGCTATAGAAAGCGCTGGCGCGTCTTCGACAAATGTTTCAGAAACACCAGTGCCTTGCGTATTTGACCTCGCCTTATCTGGAGACATAAGCTGGGACGATCCACGAGCCGGACCGGCAATGCAACGGGTGCCGCGCTTCGCACACTGCTCGCAGGGCAAGCTGCTATCCCCCCCATTGCGGTAAGAACACCTTATCCGCCTCCTTCGGCAATCTTCACAGGCTCTCTTCCGTGGCGGAGGGATGATCAACTCGCAATCACAGCCATCCTCAACACAGGTAATGCAAGGATACCTCGAGCCTTCTTCAAGGAGCGGACAGTCAATTCCCAGCTCCAAACAAGCTTTGCATCCTTTTGCTTCGCTATGACTTGGGACAAGGTTTTTATCCGGACTCCGAAGATAGCGTGTCCCTTCTGGTGGAGCGGCGAAAGGTTTGTCGTTGACTGAACTAGCTCCAAACTTGCTCCTCAAGAAGTAAGAGGTTGAAAGCAAGGTCGCTTCAGTGGAGAATGAACTTTGAGAGGAGGAAAGTAATGGTCCAGACTCACCACTGCTCTGTTCGCCAGTAGACATGTCGGAATTATCCTCAAATTGAGAATTGAGATTAGTTGAAGTAGGTCCAAACTCCACTCCAAAGTTGAGGATTCTGTCCAACTCTCGCTCTCCTATTCGAGCATTGACAGTTCTCTTCCTATTTGCCGCATCCGAATGACCACTATCGCGAACACGCCGCTTGCGTTTCTTTTGGGGGTGTACTGGGTCCTTTTCGTCATCTGTGACCGGCTCATAGTCACCACTTCCGTCTTCGTCGAGCCATGCTTCGACAGAAGTAAAGCGATGTCTAGGGCCACCACGCCGGATATTATAACAATTTTCGGGTGGCGGTGGAGTATCAGGCTCTCTGAAGATAAAATCAAAAGACATTTGTACGAAGGAAAAGGAAGAAAAATCATAAAAGCGAAGGCTGTTATGCTCAAATTCCTGTGTGATACTGACGCTTGCGCGAGACTGAAAAACTTTAATGGGGGTCTTATTGGCTTTGCTTCCAACAAATCATACTGTAAAGCAAGTGAGATTGGAGGGCAAGTCTAGTGCAAAAACAGCTGTGTGCAAAACTTGGAGATGCATAACCGAAAACCAAGACGATGGACAGCAGATAAAAGCTGCATTTAGAGGCTCCAAAATAAGACTGTCTCAGAATTCTGCAACATTATATCGTGTCAGCATAAGCAAAACTATCTGTCGAGCATAGACTGACGAAAAATTCCAACCGAATTGAAGTCTCATAGATTTCGAATCTCGAAATTATAGTCCACTATCTTGGTTGAAAATGTCCAACGACACGACCTTGATTAGTGAGACTTTTGCAAAAAGCGGCGAAATGAAGTCACAAAAGAGGACGGACGTTCGGTGTTGATAGATCAGATTGAAGCTGGTGAGAATAGATCGAAACCAGGAATGTCAGTTTATAATTTAATGCACCTTCTCCGGCGTTAGAAGATTATCCTATGTCAATGCTATAAGTAAAAAGAAGTAGGGCATTTATTTCCAAAAGAGAACGCGGAAGCCGTTCTGATGGGAGAGTGAGATGGTCGAAATGTTGAAGTCCAATTCCTCCGGAAAGCATCAGCTTACTCACACCGGAATCTTCATAGACATTCCTTAAGGCAAACATATGCCACACAAATTTGAATATACTAGAGTGCTCATCGTCCGACCGGTATGAAAAGTATCTTGGGTATCATAAGTCAGAAAAGCTTGACTATGTTCCATCACAAGAAAGTGATGCAAATCAAGAACTTCTATGCAAAGCACAAGAAGGATACTGCTCAATAGGAAAGAAGTAAAATTGGATCGCATCAAATCCAAATTAAGATTAATTGAAAAGATATAAATTTATCAAATTGCACATTGCAGAGCTTTGCATCTTATGTTCAAAGTCTGCGGCTTTCTAGACAATAATTTTGAGTAAGTAATTTTAAAACAAAGCTCTTGATCATGATCTCAATGAGTACGGTTGTCAGATTATTCATCGTGGGTATTCAGCAGAAAGCAGGACCTGTGGTGAGTTGTGCCCCATTGGAAGGTGAAGTTTATGTGAGTAGTCGCCCGAACTTGTTTGGAGATGTTTGCTTGAGAGCTAGCGTGGGGCGGAACCCGAGCTTCCTCGCTTCACAATCCTTTACGTAATCAGGTGACCCGCAACAGAGCATAAATTTCGCGAGGGCGAAATAACCATCTTTTTACAAACCCACAAAGCCCGGCACTCAAGTTGGATGTAAAATTCTCAGCTGAGTCGCGTTCTTTTTGCATGGAATAAAGTTTCCTCTGCATCTAATTCAGGCGAGCAGCACGAATGCTCTCTCACCTGGGTTGGGAAATAATGGGATGAGGCTCTTTCTTATCCGCCACGGCGAAACCGTGGACAATGTTGCTCAAGTATAGTACGGTTCGCTGTGCCTGCGTTGGCAGACCGTCTTACTGATTGTCTGCCTGCAGTGCTGGCGTCCGAGACTCTGCCTTGACCAACCACGGCGTGCTCCAGGTCAACCGACTTGGGCAGCATCTGGCAAAGTCAGGCGTGAAGCTTACTCATATCTTCTCGTCGGATTTGTTACGAGCGTTTCGTACCGCCGAAGCAATCCGTCTCGCACAGGCGGATCAGCATGGTCCCAAGGACACGGCTGTACTGGAAACCGTGCAGCTCTCTATTTTGAGAGAGCAGGACTATGGCTACTATGAGGGCAAGCCATTTTACGCTAGGAATCGGGACTCGAAGAGGAGTGGCAGAGATGCCCACCTCGACGAGCATCGAAAGGATGACGGGTTCAAGGAGCCAGAGTCCAAAGAGTCCATGGCTTTGCGGATGGAGTCCTTTCTAGGCCAGCATCTATTGCCTGTTTTGCAGGCTTATGCCGACGGTGAAAGCGAATCGTCTGCGTCGCGAACCTCAGTTGCTGTCGTCGCTCATGGCATGATCTTGTCGAGCTTGTGGAGATGTCTTCTCCGGAGATTCCCTCCAAAGTCGATATCCCTCGGGCCCGAGGTCGTTGCTGATGGTCGCGCAGTGGCGCTCCAGTACCTTGGTGCTTGGTCCAACACTGGGTATCTTGAGATTGAACTGCAGCGGATGGAGTCCGACACGGCAGTGGTTACTCCAACCATCGTTGGTTTAAGCGACGCCGCGGAATCTTCCATCTCGCTCACGGAGACCCATCTGCTTGGATGGACTGGTGTCATCCGAACCATCAATGGCAAAGAGCACCTCCGAGGGCTGAAGCGCACTGGCGGTGGAGTCGGCAGCGCCAAACACGAGGAAGGTCAGCGAACCATTGAAAGCTTCTTCAAGCGACAGAAGCGCAATTAGGCTAGCAGCATCTTGTAGAAGAGCTATGGTGCATGCTAGCCCTGCGATGAAATGGTGAGTCTATATTGCATTTTGCATACTATTTGTTTTCGCCTTTTGCATCTTACAACATCTCTATGATGAGAAACCAAATTCACATATCACAGACCTGTTCTGAGCCTTTTATGAGGATATCGAATTGTACCAACTGCTGTCTGATCGAGATGTTACTTTTATTCATTTATTGCTTATTGCCTGTTTTTTCCCAGAGCCACGTGCTAATAATGAATGCAGAATGACAGCTCGATTGTACGCCGCTAGTTGCAGCGATTGAATCAATTAACAGGACATGGGTTTTCCTTGGATACTTGGATGACACGTATAGTCAAGTGACGGTTCCTTGGAAGTTGGCTTTGCATTTTGGGACTTGAATAGATGATGTGAGAAGCCAAGTAGCTTAGAACAATAGATGCCAATAGCATGGCTTGCATAATGCATCAACGTTTCATGTTTACCGGTTTTTCATCTTTGTGGTCGTGAAAGGGAAGGTGTAGACGAGGGCGATGGCGAGTGGCTTAAATCTGTTGTCCATGGAACACTGCAATGACCTGGTATCCATGGCTGTAAGATACCCTCGCAAGTCTTCTTTGAGAAGACTTTAATCCAGGGTCATGTCCAAGGTGCCTCGGTGCAAGAATAAGTCAATCATGGACCCACAAGGGACCCTTGGCGATTGGGCAGCACAGAAAGGATGGTGGCGGGAGGGAGCCATGATGGGTTTATCACGTGGTTGAATCAACAGAGTGGCTGGTGTAGCTAGCGTATAAACCTATCGTTGCTTCACGCTGTCATATCCTCTTATCTGTCTTCTCTTTCCACTTTCTCGTCCAGACTTTGATGATATTAGCTATGATTGAAAAGACCCCCCCAGCCGAAATGATCTCTGTTCTCTACGGACTATCATACAGTGCAATATGTACTGTTGGGTCGTGGACAGGTGCAAAATCAGGGTCCTGAACGCGGATGATGATCATGATGACGCTAGTGTTTACCCCTGCAGCCAATCGCTAGAGCAACAAACCTCCCATCAACACAATCGGTGACACTTGGGCGAAGAGGGCGGTCACGTATTGCAGTGTTCCTGGCCTGTCTTCATGTTTCACACGCGTATCTTCTATAATGTCCTTCCGATGAATTGTTCTCCTATCATTTCGTTTGTACAGAGTTATGGCTTCTTGCATCTCGGGTCAAGCTCCACTTTTGTGCTGAATGGCTTCATTACCAACCCCCCTGTTCTTTGCTCATGTCCCCCCGCTTTGACTTGTCTTCTGCGTCGACCATGCAAAAGCTTGGCCCAAGCCACATAGTGGCCCTGGCCCTGGCCCTGAGCACGTCTTAATGGTTCTCACTTGTTGAACAACAGTACCCACCCTGGTCCAACCTCATGCACTGTGATGTCCCCACTGTCCCTGCCACTGAATTAATCCATTTCGTCGTCATCAATCATCGTCAAATCTGGCTCTCATCTCTGATGTCTTTGCCTCTTGCTTTCTTGGTCCGACGGCCTTGGCTACTCTTAGGGGCCTAGACCCTCTGGGCCTTGGTTCAATCGCGTGGCTGCTCTTCCTTCCTTTCGGCGTTCAAGCTTTCTTTCTGATGCCCGCCTCTTCGTTTTCGTTCTATCAGAGGCACACCATGCAGCTTGACCGTGGCAAACCACCCGAGTATAAGAAGCTCAGCCTTTCCCCGCCTCTGATCATTTACTCTTCTTGTCTTAATCTTACGTCGCTGCACCCTGACTGCTAATTGATCATCTACTACTGATTCTCACCTTATCCTTATTCTTATTCTCTTGCGTGCATCGTGAGCTTATTTGACTTGAGCGTGACTGGTCTCCCCCCTCCTCGTGGATCGCATTCACTCGTCTTTAGTCTGCGTTTCTTGGCCAGCGTTCTGTTTACTTTTTCAACACTCAGCCGCATCTCGCATTTGACAACCATCCGGTGGCATTGAATTTGTTTTTCTTTTCCTAAATCATACCCTTCCTATCATCTCGCAGACCTATCAAAAGTACAACATGCGTAGAACAACGCGCTACGCTCTTGCCGCTCTGCCGGTCCTCGCGGCAGCACAGTCCTCCGAGACAAGCGGCGAGACTATCCCCATCACCATCAACGGCTATGTGACGAGCGTTGTGCTCCCCGCCTGGGTCGGCCAGGCCACGCCCACGGCGCCACTCACTGTATCGGAGCTCCCACTCAGCGAGGTGTCGAGCATGATTTCCAGTGCCATTTCCAGCGTGCAGGCTCAGTCGGGATATTTTACCACTACTGTATACGGTATGTTACACCTTCCCAGTAAACATTTTATACAGAAAGCCAAGCTAACTCCGACCAAGGCGGTACAACCACAGCAACGTACACTCCTTCTTCTGTCTCTGCTTCTTCTGAATCAAACACTGGAAGCACGCCGTCTTCTATCAGCGGCACCATCGTCCCCGTTGAAACTCCCGGGTATCCATCTGGTGCTTCGTCAGAATCATTCACCACTACGCCTTCAACGCAGGCGCCTATTCCTACATCATTATCGACAACTGGCAGCGAGGTGCCTGCTTCTTCTTCTGCTCCTGCCGATTCTTCTGCATCCGCTGCTTCTGCCCCCCCTCCTTCTTCTTCTTCCTCCGCTGAATCACCTTCGTCCGTGGTATCAGCAACTCCCAGCAGCAACAGCAACAGCAACAGCGACACCGCTACGCCCACAACATTCCTTCCGATCCCCGTGACGGCCTTGTCGTCTGCGAGCAGCGCTATTTCGAGCGAAGCCAGCCAAGTCTCCAGTGACATCAGCTCAGCCACATCTGCAGTCGCGTCGGGCGTGACGTCTGCTGCATCGGCCGCTTCATCCGCCGTGTCATCTGGTCTTTCGTCCGCTTCGTCCGTCGTATCCTCTGGTGCTTCTTCTGCGTCTGCAGCTGCGTCTTCTGATATTTCGTCTGCTTCATCTGCCGTCTCTTCCGGCGCATCCTCCGCTTCTTCTGCCTTGTCGTCCGGCCTCTCCTCTGCTTCCGCCGCCGTCTCGTCGGGCGCTTCCTCTGCATCATCCGCATCATCCAGTCTGTCCTCTGGCCTATCCAGCGCGTCCGCCGCCGCTTCTTCCTCTCTCGGAGCCGCGTCGTCTTCTCTCGCCGCTGCGCGCAGCACTTTATCCACCGCCACTCGCTCATCTTCCTCTTCATCCTCCTCGTCTCCTTCCTCCTCCTCTTCGTCCTCTTCTTCCCCCTCTTCCTCATCTTCATCGTCGTCACCAGGCACAGGCACACCTACGACATCCAGCGGATCCAGTTCCACGACGACCGTCCCGCCAAACACGTCTACGAATGCTGCCGCTGCCGCTGCTATTGGCGGTTGGCTCGGCGCACGGCAAGGCGGAAACATGCTCGCTCTCAGCGCAGTCTATGTTATTGTCGTCGGGATGATTGCCGGCGGTGGACTCTTTGCTCTTTGATCGTTTTTCTTTTTTCCCTTCCCTTCCTCGTTCACACTTATTCACTCGTTTAGTGTCCTTCTTGTACCGATTCATACCCCCTAAAGTTATCTCTCGTTATTCGATTTATTTTCTATTATCATACCGTTTCTCACCACGTCAAGCTGCGGAGGACAAAAAGGGTATGAGAAACTACATTACGATGAAGACGATCATTTTACGAAATCACGCAACGATAGCTACAAGTCTAGCTTAACTAGACCTTCTATCAGTAATAATAATAATACCATTTATCTTACGAATATCATCTGGCTGGTACTATGCAATAACAACGAATGTGATTGATTTCAATTATCATCTACCATCGTCCAGGATAGGGGGAAAAGAGGAAAAAAAAAGGGGAAAGGATTACTAATAAGTCGTGGACGGGACAGGATAGTAGAAGAAGAGGGGAAAAGAAGGGAGTAAAACAATTCTATTAAGTATTAAGGACAAATGTAAAGCCACCGAAATGAAATGAGACAAGTAAACTGTACGGTGAAGATGATTAGGGGCAAGGGACATGATCGAGTCCGATTAGAAGCGATTAGAACCGAGAAGAAATGTGCCGGAAATTAAATGAGAAGATAGGCGGAAAGAGTCAGTACAGCTGCTGTACAACTATTGACAAGACAGTAGATGCGGTACTGTATGTACGTGATGACGAGATATTGTCATTCGGTCGAGTATCAAGACCGACTAGATTAATGGCCGAAAGAATTATGCCCGAAAGAATTAGGTCCGAAAAAGAAGAAGATACAGAGAATTTGAGAGTTGTCTGTAGTCGCCGAAAAATGTAAAAGCAATAACCCGAAAAAGAATACATTCTTGCTTTTGATCGCAACGCCAGGATCGAGTTTACAAGCTCGATTTGTTTGCTGGTCATCGCGTTGTCGTAACATCGTGATTGGACGAGTCCAAACTTCGGACTGCACAAAGCTGCAATGTACAAGAAACGAATTAATACTGACAAGCCATGTCTATTTTATTCGATTTCGCCATCCCAGTTGATCTTCATGGCTACATCATCATCATTTATCAGTTTCTGCTCCCTCGCACAAGGAGGGAAATATCGACTTACAGGTAGGATAAGCAAAATATCGTCCATAATCCTCTGACATGTACATATCGCTGCCTCCAGCTCGCTTGATCCGGTTCAGCTCTCCCTGCTGGCCGGGCGCACGGCGAAGATTATCCAAGCGGAAAATGGTCTTTAGCATAGTGGTAAGAGCAATGGCTGCAATCTTTGTGAGGAATAGCGCATGAGGACCGCAATTCAGATGAATGTACGCCTCCAAAGGACGATCCAGACGAACTTGATCTGCGTCGGCAAATGCCCGATTATCACGGCAGACCTTTGCCTGAAAAGAAGTTAGCTAGTCGGATTCCCTTTTTCCTATTGCTAGAGCTCACTCGACTGACCATGTCAATGACAATACGGGATGAAGTTGCACTATGGCGTAGTTTGCTGACTTCGTAAAACCCGAACCCAGACGTCGTTTCGCGCTGAACACGGGCAGATGTTGCCAATCGAGATCCTTCAAGACCACTATTACTTGTTAGCCCTGAGCAAAATACTTCAATGTAATCGCAACATACTAATGGAGGATTTGCTCGTCTGCTTCTGCAGTATCCAGTTTTGACAGCCGTTGAAGCTCTGGAAGATGGGCTCTTCCTTCTTCTGACAGATAAAAGTCAAGCGCTTCAGCAAACTATCAAAAATTTCAAAGGTTAGTCTTCATTCGAGTGAAAAGAAACATAGGGCAACTTACCATTCGTCCTTGATTCGACACAATGCTACTGGCAGCCGGTAAAATCTCCGAAAGCGCAATCACCCGCGGATGAAGGCCCCTACTCAGCATCCGTCGGATCAGGCTGGCACCGCAACCCCTAATGTTGGAAGGTTTGGAATTATCCGTTGATCTCTCGTACTTGTACACTGCGCGAACATAGCCTTCGACCAAACTTCCCAAGTCTTTGGCAACAGACCGAGTTGCTTGGCGAGTGCTAAATACCTCACCCGACTCCAAATCGACAAAAGTCACGGCATATATGAGAGACAATATCGCAAAAAGCTCTTCCTCGCTGTAGAGCCCATTTGGTTGCTTGTCGGTCTTGAGGGGGAGACCAAAAATTTCGGCACAGAAGCGGACCTGAGCCGGGTTCCCGATGCTGTGTCTGTGTTAGACGACGACCACCTTTAGCTAATTCAACGGGACAACTTACTCCTTGCAAACATCTACCTGGCTGATACCGGCAATCTTGTAGCAGTTCCGCCGGAGCAAATTGATTGTCACATTTTCAAAAAATCGTTTGATACAAGGATAGCAGTCCTCTGGCGAAGGAAATTCTTGGTTCTTTGCCATCAGGGCTCTGGAGAGTGCAGCCTTTTCAGCCTTCTCTTCAAGAAGACCTTCCATTGCACCCTTCCAAGTGTCGTTCACGCTCTGGTGACCATCCAAGATGAATCGGGCGCCCGTGTAGGAGGTAATTGTCTGGCTCTGCGGCATGCGAGCAGGTCGATCCCAGCTGTAGTTTGACGCTTGTCCAAGGTCGGTCATGATTATCTTGTTTTCTGAGGGTATCGTCAATGGAAAATGCGCATAGATAGAGTCGTGCCGAAAGTGATTCGGAAATGCTCGAAGAAACAATTTGTAAAACATGCAACCTTGATCAACATTTGTGTCGTAGTGGACTTCATTGTAACCCCAATTCGTCAGCTTTCGGGGGTGATAATCAACCGTGTAGAAACGATCACCCCGAACTAGTGCCACAGCATCGGACAATATTGCTCTCGAGACGGTGAATGACGGGCAAAGTCCACTGCCGGGTACCATCGGCTTCTTGGCCTCTTCAACCACGAGCCCAGGATACAGCTCTACAAAATCGGGATGTTGATACAAGTGACGGAGCTGTTCAGCCACGTAGGGATCGGGATTGATCTCTTCAAACGTTTCGTAAGGCTTTAGTCTGAAAAATTTACGAAACTCATTCAGACTGGCGACGCCCCATTGACGGGCTTGACGAGTATGTCAGCGATCAATGATGCTTTGTCATGATGCCACAGCCAAACATACCTTGTTGAATACCAAGAATCTCCACGGCCTTAAGAACAGTTGGTACCCTATTGGCGCCAAACGATCCTGCACAGTCTTCAATACTTTCAGTCAGGATCTTGACCAAGTCGTCATCGTCAAATCGGCCATTGGTCTGACGTTTCAGGCCAGCAAAATCGCGCTCGATTGGATCCTTCGACAGTGAATGCTGCATCTTTCCCAAGGTTCTCAAAAACTCATGCATCGAAACCTCAGATGGCTTCCTTCCTGGAAACAATTTCTCGTACAATTCTTCGGTCCATTTCTCATCTTGCTGGGACATGGCCTGTGAAGTAAAAAGTGAGCCAAAAGTCATGCTGCATAGAAAGGAACTACTTACCGAATGCCAACGATACAATAGATTGAATTCGACAGATACTTGGTTGCCAATGCCAACCGGGCTTCCGTCGCCAGTATCAGCCCGAGGATCCTGAAATGGTCAGTTTAAGTCTGACTCAATGTAAAGGCTCGGACCATACCAAATGCCACAAGCTGTCCGTCCTGTTGATATTCAGAATGACTCTTACATAGTCAAGCAAAATGATATTCACATAGAGTCCGCACACAACCCTGTCACTCTGTTAGTAAGTAAGTCTTCAAAAATATATCATGATAGAATACTTACAGGCGAGCCGTCTGAAACAAATCATTATCGTATTTGCGATAGGCGCGTTCCCTAGACTCTGCGTCCAGCCGCTCCGAAGGTTTATTGAATCGGCCGCCTTCATTAATGGCCGCCAGCTGCTCGGCTACATAATTGTGAGACCTGTTGAACATGATCAAGAGACACCCAACTCCGGGCGGAAATGCCAGCAGTCTTGTTTCGGTGAAGCAATCTGGCTTCAGTTTCCCGTCAGAAAAAGTTCGGATTGAATCTTGTTCGGCTTGGTTGCTGCCGTAGAGTGGAGAAAGCTCAAGGTAAGAAGACGTTTTAGAATTATTGTGATCAAGATGATCAGTTCGGAAGATGTCTACAGTGATCAGTTCGGTTCAATTGTGAGAAAGGACCAAAGACATACCATGAACAATGACTGAGGCTAGATAGAATAGCATGCTCGATATCTTTGTCGGATGCTCTTCATAATTCTTACGAGCCATCAAACTATCAAAGAGGACTCCAGGATCAGGAAGAGGGCCGCCCACTGTCTGTGGACGAACCGTACGAGCATATGGAGTATTGGCTGCTCCAAGCTGGGGATGCAAAACGTTCTAATGGCTTCTTAGTATCATGCAAGGAGATCGTACATGTCATCTCACTTACGTTATGCGAGCCATCTGCTTGCCGATAAGCATACTTATCCCCCAGAAACCTATACGACGTCAGATGGATTGGTGAACAAGCGGTCATCATTGATTTCTCACATCTGAGGTGGATGCTGCAAGTCATCCCAGAGCTCCTTTACAAAGTTGTTGGTCAAGGTAAGACCGCTCTTTGAGTGTGACGGTAGCTCAGCGGCCAGCTACAAAGTAGTCAAATGTGAGCTTGTAGGTTCTGAAACATGATAATGAGGTGTATCAATTACTCACTTGGATGATTCTTTCCATGAGATAAGTCTTATCATTTGACTCATGAGCCTTTTTTGCTTTGATCAGATCAAAGATTGTCTCGACATCTTGAATTCCGAGATATCGCAAGTCATCAAGCAAACTGGACGAACCGAAATCCTTGACCAGCGACGAATCATCGCTGCCCGAGGATTCTGGTCGACGATGAGTGGATGAGAGTAGAACTTGGCCATACTGCTTGAAAGCAGAGTCAAGGTTCTTGCGGGCTACAGCGGGAGTGGGTGCAGTGAAGTCATCATCGTAGTAAGTTGGAGGAGAAGCTCTACCAGGTTGACTGTCTGAGCTTCTCGTCCGCTCGAGGATGAAGGAAATTGCTCTCCTCATCTCGAGAGAAGCAATGAGAGATGCAATGAATGGTAATGCAATGAGGCAAAGGTGATGGGGCAAAAGTGAAATGGGAAGAGCGGTTGGGAGAATGAGACGAATGGAAAGGGAGAGCTCGACTAATTTATGAGGAAAACAAGAGATTGGACGAGACGCGAGCTGCGTTCAAGGAAAAGAGTGAATGGAAAGAAATAAAATAGAGCCGAGCCGGCGCCAAATGAGAGCCGATGGGTAGCGGCGGAGCAGGTGGTGGTGGTAGTGGCTGCGGAGAAGGAGAAGGGGAAGGAGCAAGCTGAGGGGAAGAGATAAACAGGGTAAAAGCTCCGTCTAGCACTAGATGCTAGATGCAGTGCCAAGCTGAGGCCCTCAAATATCTTCCTTGGAGCTTCTCAGCCAAGGTAAAAGAGGGGATTGAGGGAAGGAAAAAAGAAAAGCGAACACTCCTTGATGAGAAGAGAGTGTGTGAGACAGTAGAGCACATGCGCCATTCGTCCAAATAGTGACGAATCGACGATTAGAAGAGAATAGCTCATCGTACAAAGTTTCCCCGGTCAAACGCAGGGACCCATCTCAGATCTATGCCAAGTACGGCACGAACCCGCTGATAATCTTCAGGTCCCAAGTTTGGTCAATTATGTAAAGGCTCGCAGCATTCAACCACCAACTTCTTAATCCGAACCTAATCCGAACCGCCATGCTGGGACCCAGCTGCAAGATCCACACTGCGAGCGCACCAAGCTAGCGTGTAGGGTGCGATCCAGATGCAGGTCAGGGAAGGGGGGTCCAAAGCCACCATGGAGGGGTCTAAAGGCCATGTCAAGTGCCATCGCGTTTGTCACTGCCAATGGCGTGTCGTGGTTAAGCTCGCGGATAGCACATCCGTGATGGTGCATGGCTGAAAGACCAGGGGTGTCTGCTAACGAAGCAGCCCTAATGCTAGAGCGAACCAGGGGGGTGGGAAGAGGAAAAAAGAAATCAAAAGGACAAGGACTGTTCCGTGGCCATCGCGCTGGGAACAGCCGACGACAGCTAGGCCACGCGATGAGTGATCACAGCACCGTAACGAGGCAGAAAAGCCATGCGCCAAAAAGCCATGACTTGAGGACCCAAGCTGATGGAAGAGAGATCCTGCAGTGTGTGTCTGTTCTGCAGCTGTCTCTGAAAAAGGTTTTGAAGGGGCATTATTCATAGCCTTTAGGAGGGGAAACAAGTGTTTCATCCCATCTCATCTGTCTTCCATGTGGGATAACATCTATAGCGTTAGTCTTGTCCCATGTGAGCGGAAGAGAAACAGAGTGCGTGTTAGTCTGCATACGTAAACTCCCAAAACATCAAAAAACAAATGTGATATGATGTGATATAGGCAAGTCGTATATCCAGAGCGGTATAGTGAGAAAATCAAGAGGGCCCTTCCATACCAGATTCAGGTCATGTCATGACTCCTCCCACGGCCCTAGGGGTTTTAGTGTCCGAGGGGCACGCGGGAGGGCTAAGAAGTCCCGCCAGATGACGCTATTCCCCTTCAGAACCTCCGCGCATTAATGTTCCAATGCAATGGTCAACGCCGGGTAACCCCAGTTCCCTCACTCCGAGCGCCTGTAAGTAATTCGTGAGCAGCCAGGGCCCAAGTAATGGTGGGATCCACCACTGCACCCCCACAGCTCCCAGCTCCCAGCTCCCATCCGACTACGCTAGGTACACTACTCCAATCTGCTGAATACTCTCAGGCGGTCCACTACACTACTTTTTTGTTCTCTCCACCTCCCAAAAAGCCATAGTGCAAGGCATTGCTTGAGACGAGACAATCTGCCACCGACCAGACAGAATCTCGTCTAGCTTATCCCCCCCCCTTTAGCTGCCGGCGAAGAAAACAAAAAAATCATCATGGCCTCCAAGACCATTACGCTCTCCATTCGTCCGAGGGGTAAGCTGCCTTTTCTTTCCTAGCTGTCTCTTTTCTCTCGCTCTAATTGTCTCTGCCATTCCTCGTTCTATCTAAAACACTGCTCGATCAGCTTCCCCAAATTGACCAAAACACTAATCATTGTGTGTGGTATGTCCAGGAAAGCCGATCAAGAAGCTCCCCGAGGAGACCGCGGTTGCTCCCGAAGACAGCACCGAACAGTTGTACAAGAAGATTGCCGCGTCTGCAGGCACATCGGTGCATCGGCTGCGTATTACCAAAGGAATCGACGGCAGTGTCGTCGGCAATGCAAAGAACGTTACCATTGCGCAGGTGGACCTGCATGACAAGAGCACCATTTACGTCAAGGACCTTGGTACGCATGTCATCTTGTCCTACTAGAGCTCTCCCGTTCCATATCAGGTGTCACTTTCCCCGCGAGTACTAACATGACACTCAACCCAGGTCCCCAACTCGGCTGGCGCTTTGTCTACATTATCGAATATCTCGGGCCCCTCTTGATTCACCCTCTTGTGTACTACTTGCGACCCTACATTTTCTCTCTGCCTCCCTTTTCCGTGCCATCTTCCAAGATTGGTGCGCCATCCGACTTGCAAACGCTCTCCTGCGCTCTTATCACACTACACTTTCTCAAGCGCGAGTTCGAAACCATATTCGTGCACCGGTTTTCCTTGGCCACCATGCCCGCTCGCAATATCGTCAAGAACAGCGGACACTACTGGCTTTTCTCTGGCCTTTTCCTTGCCCTCAGCATCTATCGACCCACCGGCCCCACTGATTCGCCATACAGTCCTCTACTCACTCCCCTCGGCATTGCGCTCTTTTTTATCGGCGAGCTAGGAAATCTCTGGACGCACTTGACCCTGCGCGGACTTCGACCAGCCGGCTCCACGGAGCGCGGGGTACCGCAGACATGGCCGTTCAAGCTCGTCACTTGCCCGAACTACATGTTTGAAGCGTATGCCTGGACTGGTGTCTTGCTGCTGACAAGGAGTCTTGCAGCTGCACTCTTCTTGGTCCTGGGTGTCGGTCAGATGGCCGTCTGGGCAAAGAAGAAGGAAAGCAGATACCGCAAGGAATTCGGCGCAAACTATCAGAAGAAGCGCTTCGCCATGATCCCTGGTTTGGTTTAGGATAAGTTTTCTTTGCTTATCAGGTGGTCATTCAGATATGCACGATACCGTAGTTAATCTTACAGGCGTAGCGAAAATTGGCGACAAATAGACAAAAACGAAAAGTAGCGTCGTGAATTTACATCTCCCAAGTATTAGACAGGATAAGGGACGGGAACACTACAAAAAATAGTTTGATACGAGAGTACCGACGGGCAATCGCTGGGATAATGTAATGTAATACGTAAAAATATATGCATATGCATTGCGCAACTATATAGGCTTAGCCAAATCTCGGCAGATCTATACATCTCTTCTCCCAATCCTGACCCTTGTATAACACTAAACGATATGAAATCCAATACTAGATGATAAATCAAAATCATTAAATAAATCTCTCCATTGGAAAAGTTCACCGATAAATGAACATAGAATAAACCAATTAATATAAATAAATGAACAAAAAGGTCATTAGGCATATAAATCATCTACTTGGCGCGCAACGTCATCCCATCGTCCCATTCGAAAGGGATCTAATGCGCGTAACTTGCTTATCCAGGACTGTACTTCATCCTTGTCATCGGCTATTGCTTTTGGCTCGGCATGTGCTTCGACGGCACGAATCCATTTTTGCTTTTCTAGTGTGGATTGAACAAGCGCATGATAAATGTACTTGCGCTCGGCAGGTGCAGTGTCGGTGTCGTCTTCGTCTTCGTCTTCGAGCATTTCTTTGATATTGTCGAGTTCGCGAGAAAGAAGGGCTACGCGTTCCGTGGGAGATAGGTCGGGTATGATTGCAGAAGAGGAAGAAGTCGAGGGCGAGGATGAGGAGGAGGAGGAGGAGGTAGAAGGAGTAGTAGATAGTTCAGACATGAGAAAGGCGTGATAGAACCAGAGAGATTGATCTGCAGAGTCTGTCCACAGGGCGTTTTGTATAAGATTGAATTCTGATATTTGGGGCTTTGCATTAGTTTATAGTGTTTCTTTAAAGGAAGGGTGTTTGGAGATAAAAAAGCCGAAAATACAAGGAGGGGACAAAAATACCACTATCGAGAAATTTCCTCCGTTCTTCCCGAGACGCGCCGCGCTCGTTGAGTAATCTCGGAATCAACTTGCTGCGATAATGCCATGCGGAGAAATTCGACAGACTCGTCTTGATCATCTTGGTCGTATAGCTAAACTCATCTTCGGCCATGCTTGTGCCTTGCAGCTCGGGACTCTCCAGTTCGGCAACCACTCTTCGTCGATACCCCCACCCGTGGAAGTTGCGGCTGTCCATACTCAGCATTTTCGCCACGAGCCCAAGTTCTTCTTGCCAGAGTCGCCGCACGCGGGGTACGGGCAGTAGGTGTGTGGCTTGTTGGAGGAGCCATTGCCGGTGGTTCCATATCCAGTAGCATTTTGGAAATTCGCGGAGTAAAGGCACGAGAAAGTGGAGATCGGAGATGAGCAACAGTTCTATTTGTTCAGAAGCGGGATATTGTGTGGGGTGGGTAGCGGGTGCAGCGTCAGTGGTTGCATTATCGGGGGTTGATTCAGGATGAGAAGTTGTGTCATTCGAAGAAGTAATAGGCTGTTTTATTTGCGCAGCTTGCTGGGCATCGGAGAAAAGTTGCTGCAGGACAAGTCGGCGGTGATTCCAAATGGAATAGTATTCTGGATTGCGCTTAAGGAGCTTCGATATGAGAGCGAGGGTGTCGGCGGTGTATTCGCGCTGACGGATCTATGTCAAAAATTAATTGTAAGAATAATGACTCATTGGAGAGGGCACGGTGCCGAGTAATCGCACTTTGGTGTTAACGAGCTCAACGAGGTCTTTGTATTCTTGGATTTTTTGTAATTCTGCCGCTTGTGCTTGCGGTGTCCGCTCGGTGGGAGCACTTGTTCGCGGAACACCGTGCTAGGTATCGACTGGTTAGTTGAAGTTTTGGTACGACCCTAGCTATGCTCTAGACTTACGCTGGCCATTTTGACGTCGTGAAGAAAGATGAAAAACTATTTATCTCTCAACTGAAATGCGCAAAACCAGTGCGATGCTTCGCTAGAGGATTGATTGGTGCTGTGGTGAGCTCGAACAATGTGGGATGGGTGACGTGGGGCATCCGAATGTTTAGGGAAGGAGCGACGCAGTGCCGAGATGGAAACCAAGCTGGAAAGAGCAAGATGTAAACATCCAACACACATGAAACACAATGTGGCATATCTCTCCATTTCAGCCATCATCATTTACCTTCATCCACTAACACTGTCGATAGTTCAATCGGTCAAAGTTACTGACAATTACTCATCGTTTGACATCGACGTTCCGCTCTTTTGACATACACTCGTTTCTTACTCCTCCACCGTGTGCCCTTTAACTAATCTCCACTGGCTCTCTCTCGCCGCAGCTGCCCACAGTCCCTACAACTATATAATAGGCTAACAACTTGAAAATCACAGCGAAGAAATATCCAAGGCGCCCCTTCATGGTCAAAAGCTAGTAGTATACGTGGGGACGAGCAAGATTTTGATATTCATTGCTGCATGAAGCACGGCTACGTTCTCTGATTGAACCACCTCGCCCATCCAGGTTTTCTTTTTTAGACAATCGCTTTCTTCACTCATTTGGTTCATTTTTGGAGTCGGTGCGCTGTTCGCACCGACACTTCTTGTTCCAGTCTTTCGTTTTAAAAATGAGGTCTTCATCTTCTGAAAGCACAGAAGATGTAACTCCAATTACTCCACCACTGAGTCCTGAGCTTCACGTCTCGCCTTTAGACAAACACATTCGCAAGCGTCGCACTTATTCACTTCCGCAGTCATTCGACCTGAGCAAACCATTAGGTTCAGCTCTGCCCTCTCCTCCAGTAGATGATGTTTTTGGGCAGTCAACACCGTTGGGTCAGGCTAGCAGAGCTATGGGAGCTTTTCCATTTCCCCAAACGCCGGATGCATTACAGTCGAGGAGCTTCCCTTCTCGCCTTTCAGCGTCGGGGTCATCGCAAGCTGGGCCAAGTCTCTCTAGAGCTGGTTCACAATCTCAGCGCAAACGCTCCAGGCCCTCTTCGGATCGCTTTATCCCTCTGCGTCGATCTCCGTCGTCTTCAACTAGCTTTCACATGAATAAGCCTGTAAATACATTATCAAGCGCAGAAAAGATACTTCGAAGACGTAGTGCAAGTCCGGACCCTTTCAGCACCACCTTTGTGCCTAGACCAATCCCCCCAGAGAGGATTCGGGCCGTGCACCACCCTCCCGCGCTCCTGAACCAAAGGCCCGGCTCACTGACAAGCAGCGGCATCCTCGGAATTCGTCGTCAATCAGCCAGTCTACTGAACAGGCAGGCGAGCCTTGGAGCGGTGTGGAATGTTGGAGGCCAAACTGCGGCTGTCGCTGGCCCAATTGCTGGTGTGCCTGATGGTCGCGGAGGTATGCTTGGGAGCGGCACAAATGCACCAATGTATAATTCGGCCTTTTTGCAAGGGGAGACTCCTGACCAGGATTTGGAAAAGCATCAAGGTAGGCTAGCATTAGCCCTAGATGTTGATCGGACAAACCGGATTCTCGGTGTCGGTGACTCTGCGGTCGAGAGGGGAAGCCCTGAGACCCCCTCCAAAGTCCGATCCGAAAGTGCCCCTTTGATTGGAAAGAGAAAGAGGGAACAATTCGTAGAGCCCCGCACAGTCTGGAGGAATGGCGAGTGGACAAGGGAGGGATCGCAAGGCGAGTGCACCGGCATGGATGTGTAAATTTTACTACTAGTAGCAGAGCAGCTAACACAACATCCCAGCTTCCAAGAGACCTATTAAGCCAACCCGAAAGCCAGTTCCGCTTTCTCCATTCAGATAAGCTTCCCGCCTTTTTGGAATACTATAACACGGCCTTTTTGCTGACGTCGTTCACAGTACTGGATGCACCGGCGCTACGTGATGATTATTACTGTTCCCTGCTCGCCTTTTCGCATACAGTCAATTGCCTAGCCGTGGGCCTCGACGCTCGAGTCTATCTCTGGTCCGAGAAACTCGGAGTTCAGCATCCTCCAGATCGATTGTTCACGAATAGGCTGGCTTATGTTGCATCTCTCTCATTTTCTTCAACCGAGGGCGGGCACAGCATCCTTGCAATTGGCAAGGCTGACGGGCATGTTCTCCTCTGGAGTCCATTTGATAAAGAGGAACGATTTGAAATAAAGCAACCCACGCCAATTTCATGCTTGGCATTCAAGCCCAAAGTCACGCGGCGTATTTCGGCCCGTGATTCCTCGGTCATGGTTGATACTGAAGAGCTCTTAGTTGGGAATGAAATTGGCGATATTCACTTTTATAGCGTCGAATGGACCAATGCGGTCGATCGCAGCATCCATAATTGGGATGGCGCCGTGATCTTGATCGCGCGGATCGCGGTCCACAGCCAGCAGATCTGCGGGCTCGCATGGTCCCCAGACGGTGACTTCTTCGCTTCTGGCGCGAATGACAATGCTTGCTGCTATTTCGAGACGAATCAAATTACAGGTAGCCATGTACATACAGACCTCATGAGCATCGAGGACGAGTTCGGTCGTCAGCAGACTACTGGCAGGCAAGTTCTCTCTCGAGTCTTTTGTCGGGGCCGAGAGAAGCGCAGATGGCTATTGAATGCTGCCATCAAGGCCATCGCCTTTTGTCCTTGGCAACGCGGACTTATCGCGATTGGCGGTGGCTCCAATGATCGTGGCGTTCACTTTTACCACACTTTCTCTGGCGCATGTCTAGCTACAATCAATGTCGCGGCTCAAGTGACGTCGCTAATCTGGTCAACGAATCGTCGTGAGATTGCGGTTACGTTTGGCTACGCGCAGCCGGAACACCCTTTTCGGATTGCGGTGTTCTCCTGGCCGGACTGCCAGCAGGTCCTCGCTATTCCGTGGCTGGGCGAAATGCGAGCATTGTACGCGATTCCCTACCCAGGCGGGCCCGAGGAAACTCGGCCGGGTGAGAGTGGTAGTGGTCACGAAGAGGACGACCGGCAATGGTGGACACGGACCAATGAGGAAGGATGCATTGTGGTGGCCTCTAGCGACGAAAGTGTCAAATTCCACGAGGTGTGGAGCGGCACCAAGCGAATGACGGGCGGCAATAATAAAGGTCTTCTAGGCGGAAGTGATATCCTCGAGAGTTTGCATGGGATTGACAAGGAAGGGCCCGAAACGATTCGATAGGAGAGCACGGGATGTGCTCAAGAGGCCAGCCGATTCGACCTGAGAAAGACACACGTGAGAGCCGTAATATGACCCGTGCGGCCCCTTCAGCAGTTCATGAGCACGAGGCAGATGACAAGACAAGGCTCTTCTTCCTGTAAGTCACTCGGAGCCAAGAAGGAAATTGGTAAATTTGTTTTAGTTTGAGCCCCAGTCTTTTTGGAACAGAAGTTTCTTGGACCAATGCACCAGCCGATCCAAGAGAACTTCAAAGGTATAGGCTCAGACCGAGTGGAGGATTAGAATTGTGGACGTGACGATTGGACTACAGCTAGTTATGATTGGATATTATTATCCCGAATGATGTGCACATGCAGTGACATACAGCGCAAACATAGCTGTATTGGGGTTGACGTCGGCCGAGTGAGTATCTAATCCGAACCGGCCTTCCCCGCCTTAGCCCCTTCTCTGTTGTTAATATGTGGGGCTTTTCCGCCGAAGCTTATTGTTTCTGCCGTATCGGAGACCTGCGATAGCAATGTAATTATTCACAAAGCATGGGATTAAGTTACTGCTCACTTCGACTTTTGCCGGTGCCTTCGGTCTATTCCTAGCAAAGTATACCACCCGCTAAGATACCTTGTCCTTCAAGAGTACCTGTTACGTATTGGACACTTTTATAGAGGGCAGGTAGATGTTTTTTTAGGAGGTCCCCGGCATGTCGTTGTACCCTCTTCTCTTAAACCTGTCCCCATGGACGAAAGTCGTTCGGCCAACCTCCATTGATAAGGCAAACATTCAGCTGCCTGGTTTCTTCTCTTGACAATTTACATTATCGCGGTGTCTGATTGCCTTGGTGCCTCATACTTTCTTTTCGTGTTATCATACAATTAGACTTCAAGGCTCATTTAATTGGGAGCGATTCATTCCTGGACACCCTTGTTAGTACTCAATACAAACATCTCGACGGATGCTTTGTTAGAGTGGCTCCAGCAGCCGATTTGTAACGAAATTCGAGATACCCTCTTGTCTCAAGAGTCATTGACGAAAGCTGGGTTTTCGAGCTTAGTGGGCAATAGTAAACCTTCCTTTTCATTGCGCTGGCATTGCCTCAGTTGTGAGGGTCAGTGGTAGCCGGTGGCAGCACTATCGCCACTGTTGATACTCTGCCAGCCTTGCCTCCTACGAGTATTTTCACATCATGGCCCCCGGCCTCGTTGACCCCGCAGTTCAAAAGAACACCGTTCAGTCTCTCTCCGAGGTGACGGCCGACTACGATGATACCCTCCGCTTCTATCTAAACGGCACTCGAGTTGTGCTTGATTCGGCGGATCCCGAGGTTACTCTCTTAGAGTACTTGAGAGGAATAGGTCTCACTGGCACGAAACTTGGTTGCGCAGAAGGCGGCTGTGGTGCTTGCACAGTGGTATGTATCTCGAGCCTCTCAGGACATTACCGACTTGTCGCGGATTGGAATCCGCGAAGTTCTACGGTCTATTTACATTGTGGCGATTAACAATCCCGTAGGTCGTATCGCAGTACAATCCAACAACTAAGCAGATATACCATGCATCGGTCAACGCCTGCCTGGCGCCGCTTGTTAGCGTTGATGGAAAGCACGTTATTACAGTGGAGGGAATTGGAAATGTAAAGAAGCCTCATCCGGCTCAGGAGAGAATTGCTATGGGCAACGGTAGTCAATGCGGCTTCTGCACCCCCGGAATCGTCATGGTATGCGCCTGTAGTCTATCTCGTTCAAAGATGAGATGCTAATGTATCTTGAATAGAGTCTCTATGCTCTGCTACGGAACGACTCAAATCCATCCGAACATACGGTAGAGGAGGCTTTTGATGGGAATCTCTGCCGATGCACGGGTTACAGGCCTATTCTCGATGCTGCGCAAAGTTTCAGCTCCAAGGCGACATGCGGAAAGGCTGGAGGTGGCTGCTGCATGGAAAAGAAGAGCGAGCCCGTGGCCAACGGCTGCTGTAAAGGTAATACAGCGATGCCCAACGGCTGTTGCAAGAATACTGGGGTGAGCGATGATCAGCCAATTAAGCGGTTCACTCCTCCCGGTTTTATCGAGTACAAGCCCGACACTCAGCTCATCTTCCCGCCTCCCCTGAGGAAACATCAATTCAAGCCTCTAGCATTTGGCAATAAACGGAAGCGGTGGTATCGTCCAGTAACTTTGGAGCAATTGCTTGAGATCAAGCATGCCTACCCCTCGGCGAAAATCATCGGTGGTAGCAGCGAAACTCAGATTGAGATCAAGTTCAAAGCTGTGCAGTATTCGGCTTCCGTCTTTGTAGGTGATATTGCTGAGCTCCGGCAGTACTCTTTCAAGGACGACCACCTCGAAATTGGCGGCAACGTTATCTTGACCGACCTAGAAAATATTGCCAAAGAGGCCATCAAGCACTATGGTCCGGTTAGAGGGCAGCCGTTTGATGCTATTCTCAAGCAGCTTCGATATTTCGCCGGCCGCCAGATCAGAAACGTTGGTACGCCTGCTGGTAACCTGGCAACTGCTTCTCCCATCTCGGATTTAAACCCCGTCTTCATGGCATCGAATGCAGTTTTGGTCACAAAGTCTCTCAAGGGAGAGACGGAAATTCCCATGTCACAATTCTTCAAGGGCTACCGTACCACGGCACTGGCTCCTGACGCTGTTATTTCAAGCATCCGTATCCCCTGTGCGAGTGAAAAAGGCGAATTCTTCCAGGCGTTCAAGCAATCGAAGCGGAAGGATGACGACATTGCTATCGTCAACTCTGCCCTTCGAGTAGCTCTGGACGATGATCATAATGTCAAGAACATCAACCTCGTCTTTGGCGGTATGGCGCCAACAACAGTTGAGGCCCAGAATGCCGTTTCATATCTTATTGGCAAGAAATGGACTGATCCAGCTTCGCTGGAAGGTGCAATGAATGCTCTGGAGAAGGATTTTGACCTTCGCTTTGGTGTTCCTGGTGGAATGGCGACTTACCGCAAATCTCTGGCCTTTAGTTTCTTCTATAAATTTTATCACGAGGTTCTATCGAAGTTGGACATCAAGACCACCGACTTGGATAGCGAAGCAATTGGAGAGATTGAACGCCAAATCTCATTTGGAAAGAAGGACCACGACTCTGCAGCCGCATACGAGCAGCGGGTGCTTGGAAAGGCCAAGAATCACGTTGCTGCTATGAAGCAGTGTACTGGTGAGGCTCAGTACACGGATGATATTCCCGTACAGAAGAACGAGCTCTATGGCTGTATGGTTCTTTCAACCAAGGCGCACGCAAAGATTTTATCGGTCGACTACTCGCCCGCCATGGATTTGCCCGGTGTGGTGGACTGGATTGACCACACGGATTTACCCAGCCCTGAAGCCAACTGGTGGGGTGCCCCCAAGTGTGACGAAGTCTTCTTTGCTGTCAACGAAGTTTTTACCGCTGGTCAGCCAATTGGTATGATTCTTGCAGACTCGGCCAAGCATGCAGAGGCAGGCGCCCGCGCGGTCAAAGTGGACTACGAGGAGCTGCCCGCCATTTTCACGATCGAAGAAGCGATTGAAAAGGAGAGCTTCTATGAGCATTATCGGTATATCAAGACTGGTGACGTGGACGAGGCGTTTGCAAAATGTGACCATGTCTTTACCGGCGTGGCTCGCATAGGAGGCCAGGAACATTTTTACCTAGAGACCCAGGCTTGCGTCGTCGTTCCAAAGCCCGAGGACGGTGAGATTGAGGTCTTTAGTTGCACGCAAAACCCTACCGAGACGTAAGTTGGATCCTATACGGATACTTCATGATGAATTAGGGGGAAAAGATGAAACTAACTTGGGTTTTAGTCAAACGTACGTTGCTCAAGTCTGTGATGTGGCAGCTAACAAAGTTGTCACTCGGGTCAAGCGCCTCGGTGGTGGCTTTGGGGGTAAGGAAACAAGGTCGGTCCAACTGGCTGCCATATGCGCAACAGGTGCGCGCAAGACCAGGCGGCCGGTTCGATGCATGCTCAATCGTGACGAGGACATAATTACTTCTGGTCAACGTCATCCGTTCCTTGCACACTGGAAGGTTGGTGTCAACAAAGATGGGAAAATCCAAGCCGTTGACGCAGACATCTTTGCCAATTGCGGATGGACGCAAGACCTGAGTGGTGCTGTTGTCGAGCGCAGCTTGTCGCACAGTGACGGCGTATACAAGATTCCTAATATGTTCGTCCGGGGCCGCCTTTGCAAGACGAACACGGTCTCAAACACTGCTTTCCGAGGATTTGGTGGCCCTCAAGGCTTGTTCGTTGCTGAGTGCTACATGGAGGAAGTTGCCGACCACCTGGGCATGCCCGCCGAGGAGTTCCGGTCCATCAACATGTACAAGCCGGGCGATCAGACTCACTACCATCAGGAGCTCAAAGACTGGCACGTTCCCTTAATGTACAAGCAGGTTCAAGAAGAAAGTGACTACGCGCGCCGCCGCCAGGAGATTGAAGAGTTCAACAAGACTCATAAGTGGAATAAGCGTGGTCTTGCCCTCATTCCGACCAAATTTGGAATCAGTTTTACCGCCCTCTTCCTCAACCAGGCTGGAGCGCTCGTCCACGTCTACCATGACGGATCCGTGCTGGTCGCCCACGGCGGCACTGAGATGGGTCAAGGTCTCCACACAAAGATGACCATGATTGCAGCAGAAGCGCTTGGCGTGCCCCTGGAGGATGTCCATATTTCAGAAACGGCCACCAACACTGTCGCCAACACCTCCGCCACCGCTGCCTCTGCATCCAGCGATCTCAACGGTTACGCTGTCTTCAATGCCTGCGACCAGATCAACAAGCGACTCGAGCCATACCGTGCGAAATTCGGTAAAGATGCGCCGATGAGCAAGCTCGCTCACGCCGCATACTTTGACCGCGTCAATCTGTCCGCCAACGGATACTACCGCACTCCTGACATTGGATACGTCTGGGGCGAAAACAAGGGACAAATGTTCTTTTACTTTACGCAAGGTGTCACAGCGGCAGAAGTCGAAATTGATACTCTGACTGGCGACTGGACATGTCGTCGCGCTGATATCAAGATGGATATTGGTCGCTCGATCAACCCAGCTGTCGATTACGGCCAGATTGAAGGCGCCTTCGTTCAGGGCCAAGGTCTCTTCACCACCGAAGAGTCCCTCTGGCACCGCGCCAGCGGACAAATCGCTACCCGGGGCCCAGGTAACTACAAGATTCCCGGCTTCCGAGACATTCCCCAAGAATTCAACGTCAGTTTGCTCAAGGACGTGGAATGGGAGAACCTGCGCACCATTCAGCGCTCAAGAGGTGTCGGCGAACCTCCCCTGTTCATGGGCAGCGCCGTCTTTTTTGCCATTCGCGATGCCCTGAAAGCCGCCCGCAAAGAGTGGGGCGTCACGGATATCCTCAAGCTCCAGAGCCCTGCCACTCCTGAGCGGATCCGCATCAGTTGCGCCGATCCCATTCTCAAGAGAGCTTACGTTGAGCCTCGTGAAGGCGAGCGTAGCTTTTTTGTCGCCATTTAATTCATGTCCCTTGTTCCTTGGCATTTAGCCTAGCTGTCCTTGTTCCATGGCATTTGAATTGTCATTTTATTTCATCTACCGGAGTCACTGTTTCAATGTAAGGCTGCATGGGACTATCTTATCATATATACTACTTTAGAAGCATATTGAGAGCTGCCGTGCGTTGCTGGCTGTTTGTTCCGTTAGCGGTCATCCTGGCACCTTTTCATTTTGTTGTTTCTCTGTTGGCACGGCACAATTTAAGATGGATTGGGAGCAGTACTTCCATTCATTCTCGAGAATACTTGTCTTTTTTTAGGGTGTGCTTCTTGCACTTCTCTCATATTCTCTCTGTTATTCATGAGTATTGTTATATACCTACCTCTCTATATCCAGCTATGCAATGACTATATATTCTGTTTTTGTTTCTTACTGAGAATATTCATATCAATCTCAGTCGAACATGAATCAAGTTCTCGATTATCTCTAGTATCATGTGATAAGTTTGTGATCAGATGTCCATCTATCATTTAAATTTGACGCAAAGCTCACTTCCTATATCATGTGAATCGGATTGCAGCCTTAGGAGACTTAGAATTCAGTCAGGTAGATATACCTCATGGATATCAATGCTAAATTATCGAAAATATATACCTCTGTATCAAGAAATTAATTCTAGCAGAGAAGTGTAATAATATTATCCTCATCAATCCCTTTTTTTTTGTCGTGGTACCCTGTTGACAATTCGACATCGACAGCACCAAGTAAATTACGGAGTATGCCTGGCGCATAGTGTCCACCTGCCAGCGAGTCCTTGTCTTATCCAACAGACAACCGATCCTCTGGAACTCCTCCCAATTCAATCCATTCTTACGAGTACCCATTACTCCGTACCGTAGGTCCATAGTTGACTCATGCAGATTAAGATACGAAGTACAGAGTACATGACTAAGACAAAAAGAATCTTGCAAGTCAAAAAGGAACAAAGCCCACGTGTACATGTGCACGGATGTACGAGTGTACGGGAGGACAGTGTCCTGTAATGTAGTAAAAAACAAAAAATGTCTCGAGGGAGGATCGAACTCCCGATCTCCGGATCACTCAGCCTGTTTGAATCAAGCTAATCACGACGTATTTGATGGCATCTACTGATACCAGGTCTTGTCTATGAGACCGGCGCCCTAGCCAACTAGACCATCGAGACGAATGGTTGTTGAGCGGCGGGGACTTAGGCAGTCCTATGAAGGTTGCCAAATTTTATTTCCTCTTCTTTCGGTGGTGTGGGTGCGAGGTGGGACTAGCGAATGTGGGTCGGGTCGGGTGGGGCGGCGCACGTTGGCGTCCTGGGCGCCGTCGGGCGAGGGGCGACGAGCGAGGAGCAAAGGACCTTTGGACCGTAGAGGCCAGGGGTTGGCGTAGATGGTGGATGGGGTGATAGGTTGATAGATGGGCAGATGACAGGTTCAACTACTAAGTACTCGTACGCCATACACCATTTGAGATCCGTAGACTTTATGAGTATACTTGAATTGAGGGGGGAAATTGAAAAAAAAAAAAAAAAAAAAAAAAAAAACGAAAGAAAGAAAAGAAAAGAAAAGAAAATGTGTAATCAGATGTCTCTGAACGAATACTCTGCAGTCAATGGATTTAGAAGGAAAGATACAGACTACTCAGTCCAAGGTCCAAGGTCTACGGTCCTTTGTCTGTTTAGATGCTTGGCGCATTGGTATCCCCGTCGACACAGCCAGGACTCGGACAGGGTCACAGGGCTCAGCTATATCTACCTTAAGGAACCTAAGATAGTGTACAGAGGTGCAGAGTACTCATGCGGTCAGATCACAGCCACGAGAATGCGGGGAACTCTCCAACAACTGCGCATTGATAGAGCGTCAGGGGAGAGAAAGGGAAAGAAAGAGGTCTTTACGAAAAGTGGTAATATGCCAAATATAGGAGAAAATGACATCAGACCAACGTGCGCGTACAACGTGCAGCATACAGCGCGCTTGACTCTGCCTCGAACTGACAGCCTTGCTGACAGGTGAAGATAAGGCAGTGTAGCTCAGGTAACTTTAGGTAGATAGCTACCTTATATAAAGCGATACAGAACCGCCGGAATCATCAGGTTTTAAGTAATGCTTCTGTTGGCATTTCTTGCTGTTGAGAGAGAAAAGGGAAGAGACCATCGCCAATTAAGCTCATGATCAAGCAGATATAATATTCTCAACGGCTATTCTGGAACTCTCAATGTGCGACACTTCTGATTGAAACGACGTTTGATCAGCGGCCAGGCAAAAGTTCATTTCCCCCCGACGCCGAGTTTGAGATTAATCCTCATCCACTGACTGGATTTTTCCAGCTTCTAGAGAAGAAGAAGAGGAAGAAAAATGCTCCGGCATAACTCGCAGCACGCGCTTCTCCTCTTTCTCTGCGCCATGCTGGCCATCAACTTGCATATTCTGCTTCGGATTATATTCCCCATCACCGCCATGTACAAGACGCACAAATCTGCCTGGTGGGCAGCGTTGATCGCAAGTATTGCGGTCAATGCTGTTTGGGTCAAGACGTATCTGTACATTTCAGAGGCAAATGGTCTCAATGTACCGGTGAATGTTGTCGTAACGGTAGTTACGCCTTACCTGGCTGGGTGGTTGCATGAATATATTGCGACCAAAGGTGTCGTATCAAACTGCAGCTCTTTCAGACGTGCAGTGGTATGTAATGACCAATGAGGAGGAGAAAAAGATCACACCCTTGACCGATAAAGACGGGCATGAAAGATGGAATCCCAGCATTAAAAGACGCTTGCGTTATATCTGTCAAGTATATCAAACAATAAATCTCGCATGTTTCTTCAACTCCTCATCCGCTTGTAATCTCTGCATGTCTTCGTCTCTCAGACACACTGCGACAGCAATCTCGCCATCTGGATTCCTCGGCAGCAAATACAGCAAACTCTCAACAGGCGTAAACTGGGGTCTCCGAACCGCTTCTGGTTGGCCCAGCCCAAAGTTGAAATCGAGATCGTAACAGTCCACCTTGGCCCATGAGCTCAGCATAATGTCGGATGAGAGATCGATAGTTGCTGCCAAGGAGGCGATGGTTTTGTCGGGTGTGCCATCTAGCACGGTTGCAAGAGCACGGGTGCGGTAGCCTATATTCGAGATATTTGGGTCTACCTCTGACCGAAGCTGCGATGCGACAGTGCCTAATGGCTCTTCAACTAGCTGCTGAAGTGTATATGTGCTGTACGCCATATTTTGCACAAATCCTGGGTAAGTTGATGAAACATTGAGATAGCGCCGTACGTCTACAGCGCGAGCAAAAGTTGATGTCGTTGATAATGTACTATCCGAGAAGCGCGGAAGGCGGACACGGGTGATGGATTGCCATAGGAATACGCTGAGCGCATCGTCAGTCGAGACGAATCCGCTTGAGAGAGACGAGGGCAGAGTTCGAGTGGCTAGTGATTTGAGCGCCGTTAGAGCCGCGGCAGGAAACGCTAAATATGCCCAGCTGCAGCTCGGAGGTGCTTGAGGAGTTGGTCCGTCATGCTCAGGTATCGCCGACCCCGACGGTTTGGAGAATGCAATGGGATCAGACAAGGCAGACTGAACAATCTGGTTTGCAATCTTGGTCTTTAGTCCGTTGAGATTATCGTCAAGTAATGGTATCATGTTGCCGCGGGCAAGATTGCCAATGGACAGCTCTTGGTTAATAAATGATTCGCCATGACAGGCTTTTGACAAGAGATGCATGATTTGGCCTTGGCCAGTCATGTCCATTGCCTGATGCTGACCGAGAAAAGTGACAATGATACCGCCATCGATGAAGTTGACCTGGACGAGCAAAATTGGTGTAGGATCCGATGGAGATGCACCAAAGATGCCTGGGAGTGTACTGCGAGGGGCAATGACGGATTCGTCGAGCATGCGAAAGGGAAATTCTGCTTGTCTGAGAGCATTCATTGTCGGTGCCGAAGGGTCATGTCGCAGATCTTTCACGGCCAGTGGAGGAATCTTCTGGTAAGGTTTGATCTTGAAGACGCCTGTATTGCCCTCACTCGAGCCTTCATTGACAACTTGACCTGCTACCCAGGGGAAGCTGGCGGTCAGCCCTTCAAGACCATTGGTCAGGGCATCGATGATTGCTGAATGTAATATATTGTTATCGTTGGCCAAAGAATAACAAAGACAAATCTGAGTATAGATATTGAGGCCTGGTAATTGTCCAAAAATATCTAGAATGTTGTCCAAATCGTGAGATTCGTGTGTTAATGATGCTCCGTCCATGTGCGTTGAGCTGGTCAATTGGGTTTGAGGGGAAATTTCCAAACAGATATCAAGTATCAAACGTCTTGAAAAGGTTTCAAATGAATGCGGCCTTTGTGAAGATTCATTGGTACTCTTTATGTCAATGAAGTTGGTGATGCTTCCCTCAAGGTGATTATATAACTTAGCCAGTCATGTTTTCCTGCAAAGCAATTGTCACCTTCCTTTTCTATGTGCATCCCTGGGCATCTATACATGTGTTGTCCTTCTTGGTCAGTCAAAGAGTCACAAGTCTGGAAACATGTCATACAAGATATTGGATATTCCCTTTTTAGGAAGAGCTCTGATAGCGAAACATATTTCCAATCTGGTACTAGCTCCAAATGGGAATTGTGCGGGGGTTCCGTTTGTAGTATTGCCATAACAATTCATCATGCATCTCTGAGAGTCAGACTCGTTCAGATTGCCTTGTAGCATTCACTGCCTTCTTCTCTAGCAAAATGATATCTAATCTACGTGAGTGTATCAATTGATACTATCATTTCTCCATGGACTTCAGATAATCCATCAAAAAAGGGTGATCATCAGCCGACCATGGCCGAACAGCACAGCGCATACCTGCGGTACAAGCGAGACCAAAGGTTTCTCGTGTATTGGATCGTCCATACTTCTAATCGTATCATTAAGCTCTTTCCATCCGATGCTCCGGGAGCTGAAAATACTACTGGTCAGATTCAATTGTCGAGCTTGATATCTTTGTCAAAGCTCATTGCAAAGCACGCCAGAGGTATTCCCGCCACCATCTACCGTTTATTTCAGTCTATTATAGCGGCACGAAAGGAAACCCATGAACTGTTTCTGCAAATAGTTGCCGACAAGCCAGACCCTGAGATTGAAAAGAGCAACGTCTCCCATAAATACTGGATTGACGGTCTCACAGAGGCGTTTAATGCACTAGGCGGAGAAAAATGGGCGTCAGTTCAAAAAAACCATTCAGGAGGGGCTGATGAGGAGGATGAAGAGGAAGTTATTTTCGCGAATAAGTTTTCGGCTCTTCACCTACGTGGGCAGGTGGAAGGGAAAGAAGACGATGGAGAAGAAGTTGAAGATGAGACGGGAGAAACCTTTGGACCCGCTGAACCCGTGCGGCCGAAGAAGAAGTCTACCGGCAAAGGAAAGAAGGGCAAACGTGGAAAGAAATCCAAAGGCAAGAGCAAGCAAACGACGGCCAAGGGACCAAGTCTGGACGAGATACCATTGGAGTCCTATCGCATCATTGAAGATGAACATGGGCTTGTAACAGACTATTTGATGGCAGTCTACTCCCTCGTCCAGCAATGGATGGAACTCCGCGACTACCTACAAAGCATATGGCACCAGGTAGCTTACAAAGGTTTGAACAGCGCTGTTGCTGGCACCCTATCCAATATAGCTATAGGAATGGTCGCTCAAACAGAATCGAAAATATTTGTTGATTTTCCTGGGCATGACTCGTTTGAAACTGTCATGAAGACCATCACCCGCGGAGATCCGGACAAGGCCAAGTCCAGATTTGAAATATCGTTACACATGCTCGAGTCTGCTACAGGGACAGCTCAAAAAGTGCAGAGTACATTTATAGATGTCAAGGAACAATTTCTTGTTCATGCCTATCGCGACCTTTTGGATTTTATTACGGATTTCCAAAAGACTCGCAGTGGCAAACCAACAAATCCGATGCTATCCGAGATTTCAAATTGGAGCCCTACATTCAACCTTCAACGAGCCACAAAGGAGCAGCGGCTCAAGTGGCGTCGAGCATATACGATCAATTGGCTGTACGACCTGGTCAACGTCTTTTCTTCAATTGTTGTACAACGGAAGACCTTGAAGGGCCAAAAGATCGCACTAGAGACGGTAGATTGGTCAGTCAAAGGACCATGGAATCAACATCGAAGACTGTTCGGCTTGAACGAGTTCGCTGGCGCTATCACTGACCTTGCGATGCAAAAGTCCGGTACCGATATCCGATCAAAGATTCTCCCCCATCATGTTTTCCAGCTCCAGTGCATTGTCGACTCTCTGACCGTGTCTCGTGGCTGGATGATCAATGGTCTCAGAGATCATGTGCTTGTATCACCTCCTCAAAACTTTCGTTCGAGAAGAGATGTCGACTTATTTCTGGACCGCAATCTTGAGAGGCCCTTTCATGGATTCTGCCAGTCGGTCGATGTGCTAAAACAATTGTTCGAAAGGGACGCTAGGCTGCAGGGCGGCCCAACTGGGCATATGGAACACTCACCCCTCCTGACAGAATTACAAGAGGATTTTATAAACTGGCTGGGGGAATCCAAGTACATGCATGGCTTGTCGACGATACCTCCATCTCAGTTTTCAACCACGAATGCCAACGGTCTCTGGGAATATTCACCCTTTCTTTGCGGCGTTGGCCTGGTCGAAGCTCTGGACTTGGCATACAGCGTGGGTGTCTGGATATGGGACCGTATCCCAGAACCCATGTGCGCCATACACCTGCACAATATGCTCGTGCAAAAGGGCTACATCGAACAAACGGTCGGATTATACGGTACTGTGGATGAGCTCTTCAAGAGCTCCTTCTTTGGCGCCAATCGCGACAACCCAACCTCGAATTTCAGCCAAGCATTGCTTTCTGTCACCGGCGACGCGCGTTCTCCTCGTGCCAACTTACACCGGCAAGCGCTCAGACGCCACATTGGCCGAACCGCCACCGACTTCCACGGCGTCCTTGACTGCAGCGCCAACCGGTTCTTCAAGACCAAATCGCTGCTCCGACTTTACCGCGAGGCCGAATGGGCCCCTGAGCGAATCCCCGATGCCGAAATCCCGATGCCTTCAAGCTTGGCCATACTCCGCCTCGCCCAGGCCAAACACGAGACGGACCCGACGACAGGCAAGAAGGTCATGCAAGACACCGAACTCGTCAGGCGCGCTAGGACCGTAGGCATGGACGACGAGACGATGATGCAGGCTGCATTAATTGTACAAAAACTGAGCAAAGAACGTCAAGTTTCCCAAGATTTCTTGGCTTCCTTGCCCAAGGAATACAAGACATACCAAACCCCGGACTTGAATCGTTCTTCTTCTACTTCTACCAAAGGGGGCCAGCCCTCTGGCCGCGACTTGTTAGGCCTGCTCAAATTCGACATCCTCAATGACGTGTCCGCCAAACTACGACCTCTTTCCAGCTTAAACTACCTTTCGGCCACGCTCGCTTTCATGCTCGTCTTCACTCAGGCAGAAGATAAACTCCGCGAGCTACATAACCCCCTCTGGATCGAAGCGTATGATCGAAACCCGACCATGACGCGCGAGAAACGAGCGTCCTTTACCTCCCTTGTTCTCGCCCAGCAGGATGATGAGTGCATGCGTGTTCTGGCGGAAGCGTTCCAGTCCCCGCGCACAGGCTTTATGAATCACATCTATTGGCTTGATTTAGATGACCCTGATCAACTGGCAAAATCATCTACAGGTAATCATGATGATGATAGTCCGATGGGACCATCTTGTACGGTCATGTGAAATATCCATAGGAGTCTTGGAGCCTTATAGAATATGCACAAGTTAAATACCCTTAATATATACAATACTTCAACGTCCACCTCCCCCTGAAAACATAGTGTCAAACGTAGCGTCAAACAAAGACATCAATTTGTGGATCCTTGCATTGGGTAATGAAGCCCTTGCATGCAGCTCAATTATAGCAGGAGTCAAGATGGCGCCGGAATCTCAATTCTTTCAACATCACCATGCTATGAAAATGAAATGAATTGCTGTGAACTACTATACGATGAATACAAGCTCCGCAGGCGAGGCCGCGGAGAATACTAAGAGTCCAGGAATCACACGTTCAACTTGTTATTGCAACAAGAAAAGAATGGTTCCTCAGATGTCTTATTGTCAGCTCCAAGCCATAGAATCTACGCGCCCGCTTTGGGGGAACCTTGAGAAGATCTCAAGCGCCCGATCTAGGTTTCACTTTCGTATGATGCCAGGATATACATATATATATAGAATGACGATCATGATCCAAATCCAGAAGTCTGAAGACCTGCAAGTGGATTGTAGACAAATCACAGAATTTATTTTAACCGCTCAGCGATAAATGAACAGATGCAGAATGGATCGTGCGAACAGGATAGAAATATATAATGAGTCAAATAAGACAAATGTTCTTGGGCGCAAAAGGGACAGTAGATTTTCGGAAATTTTATAAAGTTTTTTTTCTCTTTTTGGTTCAATTTCTTGTTTATCCTAGAGTATTCGGAATAGAAGAGAGAAAGACAGAAGGATACAAAGAAAGAAATAAAGGGCAGGCAGTCGAACGAAATTGCCATGAGTGTTCCGTGGGAATCGGTAGTCGTCAAGGTCAGATTCGTTGTTCACACTATGGGCCTGGCAGGATGGGATAAGAGCAGAAACCACTGGTCGATATTTCTTGTCCTTCAAGGTGAATCCTCGTCAGTCCGGCTCAACAGGTCTCTCGCAAACGGCAGTGATGAGAACGGAACCTTTAGCGTCACGTCGCATCCATTCGTGCTGTCGGACTCGCGGCTCACATACTTTGATTATGATACCTGCCCTGGCCTGCTTGTCGGACACTGTCTGAACCTCATATACACCAAACGCCGCAATAATTATCGAATGACCGGTTCTGGAAACGGATGCCGGTTTTGGGTGTAAGTGTTCCTCTCTATCGCTATCCTTGACACAATTCTGAAAGGGCGTTCTAAAAGTCTGGCTATTCTCATGTAGTTGGACAATCTTCTCAGATTTCGAAGTGCAGCGCTATATCCCAATTACACCTGCGGAGAAGGAAGCTTTTGGTGCATTAATCCAACAACGATACCACAGAAGCGCCCATACACAGCAAATTATTGCTATCTCGGACCCCATGGAGATTGGACAATTCCTTTAATATCTCAACGTCGTGAAGAAGAGGGGGCCCAGAAGGAACTTTTATGACGTGATAATTTCAGGCATCGGATGGATCGCGATAAAATGTCGAAGTTGTTCTTGTAGCTGGTTATGATCGGTCGGATTGGAGCTATTCGCAAAATCAACACTGTCTGATATGTTCCCACTTCGGGGAAACTTACAAATTATACTTTAGGTTGTTCCTGTAGACGCGATTCAACATTCTGAGTTGACGGTTCTTTTCGCTGTCATCTTCGCTCCAAGGGTAAATTTGTTCAAAAATGCTCAAAAATGCTTGAGAAAATTCATAATCTGATTGTGCTGCAAACCGAAGGCAATAAATTTCAAATGCTCGCGGGTAGAACCCTGCATATTCCCAATCCAAAAGACAAAATTTTCCATCCGGAAGCAGCAATATGTTGCGACGAACAAGGTCAAGATGACAAAAGACGCAGTCTGCTGATGATCCATATTTGAATCTGAATTCCCCGTTCGGGTCTCCCTTACGCAAACGAGCGCGCTCATTGAGCCAGAGGTTAAGGTCATTAACAGAAGTGAAAGTTGTTCCTGCGCCGTCCTCAGAAAAGAGATAACCTCTAGGCGTCCCTCCATTTCTCGGCCCAGGAACCATTTCCTGCCCTGTTTCAAGAGAAGATAGTGTGCAAATCGCCATGGCCAGACGTTGCAATAGCTCTGGTTGATTGTGAACTGAAATCTTTTCAAGTGAGATACCCTGAACATATTCCATTACGAGGTACCCAGTACCAGATGTCCGGAAGTATCGGTAGACTTGCGGGACTGTGAGGCCAGTGTTCTTGCAAGCACTGGTTTGTGTGTAAGCGTATGCTTGATTTGCTGCCTCTTCTGCCGTGACGCTCCATCCGGCCTTCACGACGATGTCGCTGGACAACCTAATAATTCGACGTCCACCTTCCGAACTCCCATTTATTTCAGATTTGGTCGTGTTGCAGAAATAAACTATATCTTCATTGGAAAGAGAGGAGAGGTCTAGATTCATGGCTGTATATGCGAGCCACCGTGAGTAAGTATTTGGGTATTGATCATGGGTCGTCAAGGTATGCGTCTGGGGTCAGCTTTAAGCTCTGAACTTTGGCTAGAAGGGAGGGTTGGTTATGCTTGGTTATCTCGCGAGAGGTTAGACATTGTTGGAAATTTTGAAGTAAATTGAAACGTGCTGAGGATTGAGGACAAAGAAGACGATGGAGTCGAGTTATATCTGCCAGTGGATGCAGCTGGCTCGTCACATCCCAGCTTGAAGTTGCGGGCATTTTACACGTGACACTGTGACTGTTCATGGTGAGCTGGGTGGTACAGAGGAACAACAGGGGGAGCTTACAGTGAGTTTGAAAATTACAGTCATTAGTACAGATATGATAAAATATGAGGGAGAGGAGAAGTTCAAGTCAATCGGCAGAATGAATATCAGTTTTCCTTATCCCAGCTCCCCAGTCATCATGATTTCTTGAAGCTAGACGCCGTGGCATTCATGAGAATTCTACCTAGAAGTTTGTTATTTATAGCTAAGCGATATCATGATCAACGGACCATGTCCCTCGGCTCTGTCCCTGTAACATGCGTTTCATCATCTTCCGGAATAGAATTGAAAGTTTGGTAGGGGCTAGCATCCTTCCGATCAGTACGTTTCGTCTACCTTTTTCATCTTGCCTTAATAGTATTGCGAACATTTGTTATGTTTATGAGTCTATTGGGGTATTTCCTATTGCTTGTGTACGCTTTCAATCCTTCTGTTAACACCTCTGCAGAAGAAGGAAGAATGCCAAAATGCACGGCCACACATGCACAAATTTCACTCAGATATAGAAAAGGGGAAAAGAAATACGTGTCAAGACAAAGTCCATTTCACTATCTAAAAGCAATTGTCCTAAATAAACTTGTCTGCCGAGAAAGAAGAAGAAGAGACCTCAAGCGAGAGAATTTCCCAAGAATAAAGAAATTGAACGAATTGCCAATGTACGCCACTGGGGTTGCGAAGAGGAATCAAATGGCCAACACAAACCGGATAAAGTATGCGTCCATCTCCATCGTTAGAATCGACTAGAGGTAGTCAATAATCGAATCGACAGAATCGTGAAATCGTGATTGACAAAAAAAAAGGGAAAGGGAAATTTCCAATAGATAGATGGAAGTTTTAAAATCGAGCGAGAGAAACATAGAAGTAAACGAGATTTCAAAAACAAATAAACCGTGAGCTGAGAGATATCTCTAGGGTATCAATGCCGTAGCAAGTTTGCGGCGCGTCACACATTAAATGTGAAAAGCAAAGCTATCCAAATATAAAAACGAAAGTCCAATGAGAATTGACAGAGGGGAACATAAACCATCGAGGGAGAGCAAGACGGCTAGTGAGGAGGGATAATGACAAGGAAAGCAAAAGCAACAACATTCAGAAGGGCGACCATGCGCTGTCGCAGCAACATATCGAATTTTTGTACAAAGTCGTACTTCGTAAAAAGAGACGAAATGGAGCGCGGCAAAAACTCAGGTCCTAGGAGGCCACAAGCCCTGAAACCATCTCGTGCATCACTCGGGGATGGTCTCGATACGCAGCCACTTTCGTCCAAACTTATCTAACACAAAGCAAATCTCCCACTTGCGAACGCGGGTAATTGCCAGGTTCCCATCGATCAAGCAAGCAAGCCGTATCGTGACATAGTGTCAACTCTGTTATGAGATCCAAGATTCGCTCGCGTGTCCGGCCTCGACGAAGAGACGGGAGAATCGTTGGCGAAGTATATTCCTGGACCGAGGACATCACGATCGGTTGAGGACAATGGGAAGAAAAAAGGCAAGACCATTTTGCGAGCAAATGTTGAAAATGGAGATGCTGTGAAAGACAAATATTGGGTGATGCGAGATCAGCAAAAAAAAATGCACACTGGAAGCCAGCTATAAGAGGCCAGAGTCCACAAAAAAAATACTTTCGTAAATCTGCCGCATCAATTGCAGCCCATGACGGCATCTAGATGAGAACTAGATGGCACAACGGCAATAGACGGGTAGATATAAAAAAGTTTTTATCCCACGACTAGCCACACAAACATGCAGTCGCCTAGCCCTGATTCACACTAGCAAAAGGAGGTGAAAAAAAGGAAAAGGATCCTTTGCAGCTTATCTCTTCTCGTCGACAATAGCTACGTCGCCGTAACTGCTGACGCGAGCATGTCCTCGAGCGTTGTCTTCATAGGTGACGTCATTGCGTTGTCCTGCGTATCCGACCTTTTCGTCGCTGAGTTCACGGCGAAGAATGGTGGATGAACCGGGACGATGGCGGGATTCAAGAGAGTTGTCGGAGCTACCAGGAAGATTGGTCCCACGCAGATTGGTCTGTGCCATTGGTGCCATGGCAATAGGCGCCGATGGGCCGGCTGGAGATGCACCTGCGTACACGGGCCCGCCTTCAGCTCGAGTTTTGTCTCGACCGAAAAAGAGGATGACTGTGCGTAGTAATCCTAGTAGAACAATAATAACCCAGACCAAAAGTACGCAAGACGAGATGATTGCCTCGGTGCGGACTCCTTCCTCAATCTTCTGAATCATGCGCACGACAGCATCGGTGACTTGATCACTCGCGGTACTGCCAGTGTTGGCAAGGAAAGAATCCGAAGGGTTGTTTGATGAGTTGGCAATTGAGGACGATGCGCCGAGGGAAAAGACATTGTCGGGGAACAAGGGAAAGTCAACATGGGCATTGTTATGCACCCATGTAAGTCCCTTTTGGATTCCCTCGACTTTCATCCCAAGAAGGCAGTAAACAATCCCTTTGATGGGCGCTTCGAGGGGTGTGCCACCAAATGTGACGTTGAGCACATTGTTGACTTCAGTCATAAATGTGTTGAGCGTACCATTGATGGCGCTGGTAGAAGTGTTGACCCAACCGAAGACATTGAGGTTGATATCGTTGTTTGTCGAGATGATGGCAGAGTTTGTTCCGTTGGCCCACTGTTCCGACGCATTGTTGAGTGCATAGACGATTTTGTCGGCAAATGCGCTGACTTCGGTCGCCAGGACCGGAACCTCTTTCTCCACCGATTTGAGAAGACTGTATTGGCAGAGACAAGCGAAGAGACCAGCAAGGCCAAGAGACAAGACAAACAGCGCTGGAGTCGTGGTGCAGTAGGCAACAAACCAGCGCACGAGGATTTGGCGGCGCGTACTTGAGAACTTGCTCGCGATGCGGATACCGATGGTGCTTGAGATTGGTCGACTTGCAATTTGGACGACATCCATGGGGTCGAAAGCTTCTTGACTGAGGAGCTGGGCACGGCGTTGCATGGTGCGCCAGCGTCTAATCTCGCGGTAAGCCATGGGAACGCAGGCAAGGATTGCGAGCACGATTATGACCCCGATGAACACTTTCCGGGCCAGGTTTGCGATCGAGCGAAGATTATCAAAGAAGTCGTTGATCCCGTTATTGTCGGAGCAAAAGGTCATCTGCTCCTTGGCTGGGATGGGCAGGACAGAGCTGTCAAATGTGAAATTGCCGAGATGTCCATCAATCAGTTTCTAGGACAGACAAACGTTAGCTGGGACACACGTTTTTTTTGATGAAGGTGTAAAAGCTACTCACCTTGACTTCTTCAAAGGGAAATCGGATCGCATTGTCTGTAAAGTTCTTAACCTGGGCAAAGTCGGGCATCGAGCTGTTGAGTTGCTTTAGGCTATTCTCCATTGAGGATGGAACCGAAAGCTGAACGCCATTCAACTCATCCAGAGATGAGCTGATATTGAGGGTTGGGATACTGAATACGCCACTCAGATGCTTCTTCAAATCATTGTAGGCGTCCTCGAAAGTGTCGATGCCTTTGTTGATATCATTTGTTAAAGCATGAAGAGTCTTGTTGAGCGCATTCCCCGCATCCTCAACGACGGTAAGTGCGACATCTACAGCTCCTCGCGCCGCAAGCGTGATAAGACACTCGTACGTCCCGACAAGATAGTTGATGTAAAAGACGACAAGCTCTTCGACCCCGGTTATTGTCAAAAGCAGCATAGACATGAGCCCATGTACTGCCTTTTCGACGCCACTTGCGGCCATCTCATTCACGCCCTGAGACATGTAATGAGGCATGGAAGCCATGGCGCTGCCCATGCTCTCGACGCCAGTGCACGCCGAGAGAGCTTCGCGACGAGCAGAGCCAATGTCGTTATTTAAATCGCGGACAGCAAGCAGAGAGCGGGCAAGCACGAGGAGCAACAGAATAGTCCATCGGTTGATCCAAACTTGAGAAAGTCGGGCGCGGAGACCGAGATAAGGTGTGAGGGTGGGCGCTGTATGAGGGGCAGGTTTTGGGAGTGGGAGGTCCTGAGCGGCATAGTGGTTATAATTTCGCATCTCATGGGGATCGCCGCCGGCGGAGAGAGATGGAGGGAGGGCCGGATAGGAAGGAGGATGATCATTATCTGAATGTTGTTGCTGCCCTTGACCAGCAGAGGACATTGCGGTATTTGATAGCAGTAGATGCCTGAGTCCGGCCAGCGGAGACATGATGTGAGTCTTTTAAGTGTCCGAAAAGTCTAATAAAATCGAAATGCGAAGAGACAATAAAGCCGATCAAAGCGGATTTGCAAATGAAGTAATAAAATTGAAGAGTGCGCCAAAGATGCAGGTCTAGGATGGAGAAAAGAGAAAGAAAAACTCCGGGGATGCAGATATTATGCGAGAAAGTACAAGGTGAATACCGAGAGAGGAGGGAAATGCAGCAAAATAATTTAACAAAAGGAATTCGTAAGAAAAGGCGTTGCGTATATGTAGAAGGTGAAGGAATAGTATGGCGAGGATGGTTGGTGAATATGAAAAATGAAAGAAGAGCAACAATAAGCGTCCCAACAATGGCACAAAGACTTTGCGCGAGCAATCCAATCAATACGAGAAGTAGACAATGGACTTACTTTTCTATTCCATCTATCTATAGAAATTTTTCGATTTCGATTCGTCCGACAGGGCAACCGCCCCGGCGGGGCCAAATGATTCAACGCGCAACCCAGTAGTCAAGGAAAACAAAAGACTTAGTGAAACAAAGGGACCTAAGTTAGTCGAGAATATTTCTCGACTAAAAGTCGACTTGTGTTTCGAGCGCAAAGTCAAAAGTACAAAGGCTGGCTATTCTGGGAGTCTGGGGTCGTCTCCTTCTCGGCCGGGCGCCAACCCAATCACTAAGCGCCGAGAGTCGAAACAATGCGACAACTTGGGAGATTTTGGTCGACCAAAACAATTGCTTTGCGTTGCCTTGACACACTGGTGATATATAATGGCTTGTCGGAGGCGGTTCGAGCTGCATCCGTTGTATCACCAGCAATGCGACGACGATGTTCTGACCGTATCTCGTCGTGGTGGTTTCGTCGTCGTCGCCACCGGCACTCTGGGCTTGAACTCGCTATGGAGAGCGTATAACAACTTGATGCCAGGCGCAACGCGCAGCCTTACAGCTGGCGAAGCAGCCTGAGACATCAGCTATTGCCATGTTCATTTATACGCTCTCCTTGAGTGGCAAGATGATAACATGATCATCCATCATAGCGAGGGGAGCACCGACGAGCGCACGAGAGGCGGTGTCCAACTTTCGAAAGGAAACCGGCTTAGGCGACGAGTGACGATCGATTTGTACCGGCTCGCAGTCCGAATGTGGATTCCCTAGCGATGACGCTGATTCCCCAGTCCCAGGGCAACCCAGAGACAGGTACGCGAGCTGATAAGATGCCTCATCCCAGCGAATCGAGTCCAACGGCTCGGCTCCACACCAGCCTTATTTCTTTCCCTTTTGCCGTCATCACGGTTTTAGAGTATATCAACTCTGCCCAATCTAAGGACTTGACATGTCGAACTATGAAGCTTAGCCCATGCTGATCATCTTGATCACCTAAGGTAAAAGTCGGAACCACAGCCACAATGCCACTCAACCAACAAATAATATGCGGTGTAGGGAATAGCTGATCAAATTTATGGCCAGTTGTCACGCTTATCGTAGAACTTATGTCATTGAGCAGACTCTGAATTCTTCTAGATCACATCACTTATGTACTCTCAGCAGTCAGAAATGGGGCGAAACCTTTCGGTCATTGCTCCACTGGAGATGTGACAGACATAGCAAGATTATTAATGATTGTACACCTGGCTGTTCGTCAGTATATACTACTGGAAGCTAAGAAGCTATGTAAATTCTTTGAGAGACTCACTCTCATCGCCGAAACTGGAGCCGGCCCAGACGCTATATATGATTGTAAGAGCTAGCTTTATGCGAGACGGACGAGGTGACGCACTTTGAGAATTGCTGAGCCTCCTCACTCAAAAGGCGATTTCATTTGAATTCGTATAATACTCTCTCAGTGGAAGGCATATAATTTCAAAATTTCATGCCTGTCCGTAAATGTGCCTGTCGCTTGTCGTGGGAGTTGCCGCTCCCTGTTTTTGCACGAAGACCCGATCTAAAAATTGGGCACGGGTTATCTGAAAATCTACTCCGGTATAGTATCGATGGATTTACTGAGATATCGCGCAATCGGTTTTACAGCAATAGACATCAGTATCTTAGGGAACGCTCAGCAAAGATAAATACTAGAAAGCATACGGAACCTTTGGAACAACGTCGCTGTCAATATATGTACATCATCTCATTAATTCATATTCTAACTTTTATATATAGAAGAAGAAGAATATCATCTTCCACAAATATCCGCCGCAGAGTTTAAAGACTCTGCGAGTTTCTACAAGGATATCTGCAAAATCATACAAGAGCACCAGCAAAATTTAACGGCTCAAAAGTGAAAAAGCGCTTATCTACGACAATTAAGTAGACTACAGAGTGCCTCTTCCGCCGACCTTGCTCAAAGCCTCGCGTTGCTCAGGAGTAAGCTTGGACGCGGGCAGCTGTCTCCGGGCCTGCTTATCAGTCGGCGGCGCAGGCATGAAGCCCACAGCAACTAGATAGGCAATGTATACGCCCATAATGTCTTCAGTGACAGCAGCGCCGGCAGAGGCATCAACCCCGGTCCATTGCGCGTCAGCCTTAAGCGAAGCGCGAGTATTGGTATCGTCGAGTTCCGCAGACTTGGTTTCAGCGGGAAGATCGCCGGTGACGAAGTGATAGAGGGGCATCCTGATTTATCAATAGTGATTAGCAGAGTGCTTAATCCAAGGGAAGATAGAATGGCGATGCAAACTTCAAAAGCCTGACGCGCATTTGAACCGAAAAGCCTAATGAAAAGTGAAACAGAACTTACAATGCATGCTGAGCCTTCTCATTCTGGCCTTCGTTGGCAACGTACTTCTCCAAGGCGTCTCTCCAGGTCGGGAAATCGACCTTAGGCACATTGTAACCGTATGACTCAAGGGAGCCAAGAAAGTCATTGTAAGTCAGACGAGGATGGCTAGTCACCTGGGCCACGCCAAGAGGCGTGACGGGCGGGAAGAACGCCGAGGAAGCCACAATACGAGCGACATGGTCGACTGGCACGGTGTTGACGGAGTTGGTGATATCCGGCCGGCAGTCGAGCTGGATGCTGCCCTTGAGGAAGCGAACAAGAAAGTCGTCGGTGTTGGTTACTGTTTAGATTGGTAAGCAAATGACTCTGCAGATTTGAAAGCATTGCTTGATATGGTAATTATGAGCTTACCTCCAGCGTGAGAATCGCCAGTAACGTAACTAGGCCTGATGATGGTGCCTCGGAGCCCACGCCGTCCGGCCTCTTTGACCAAGTATTCCGAAACCCATTTGGTCTGGCCGTATCCAGTGCCTAGGCCCTTGCGGCTTCCCTCGAGATCATCTCCCTCGCTGATGCCAGCCTTGCCCTCGCCGACGAGCCTATCTGAAAGTGCAGCATAGTGGGGGGACTCGAGAGTGGCAGTGGAACTGACAAAGGCGAACTGTTTAGGTTTGCCGCTGGCGCAGAGGCGCAGAGCGTCAATAGTACCTTGAACATTGGCAGCCTTAAGGTTGGAATAAGGTAGCACCCAGTGGACCATGGCACCGTTGTGAATGACAACGTCCACTTCATTGACGAGACGGTCCCAGGTATCCTGGTTGATGCCGAGGTTGGGACTACCAAGGTTGCCTCTCACGCACTGGAGCCGGCCAGCCTCCCACTCAGAAGACCAGACATTGTAAGCCTGGCAAGTGGCGCGGACACGTTCAAGCGCAGCAGAATCATCCTTGGCACGAACGAGGGCAACGACCTTAACAGCAGGGGAGGAACGGCTCAAGAGATCCTTGAGGAGGTAAGCGCCCAGGAAACCAGTCGCACCAGTCAAGAAGACGGTCGGCTCCTTAGCCGACTTGAGGCTCTGGGCAAGCTCAGACGAGGTGAAGCTCTTCGGCAGGGTCTCGATCAGCTTCTCGGCGTCACCTGCATAGTCTTCTTCGTACGAAATCTCATTGCCTTGGGAGTTTGGTACAACGCTCTCAGCGTTGGGGTGGATGGCAGCGGGGTTGAGCACGTGGTCAATCTGAGCTGCAAAGCCCCTAAGCGTGGGGTGACGGAAGAAAGCAGCCATATTGAGCGAGCACTCGAATTTGCGCTTGACATTGGACAGCATCTGCTGCGCAAGGATACTGTGACCGCCAAGGTCGAAGAACGAATCCTCGGGGGCGATGGTTCTGGCATGAACGTGCGGGATGAGAGAGCCCCAGATATTGGCGAGGTTTTGCTCAGTGAGCGTCAAGGACGCAAATGACTTGGAGGAGCGACGGGGGGCCGCTGCCTCAAGCTCAGTGATGTCAGGGAATGGCAGAGCCGGCTTGTCGATCTTGCCATTGGGATTCAGTGGCATTTTACGCAGAGGAATGATGACCGATGGCACAGCGTACGATGGCAGCTTGCCCTTGAGAAATTCACGCACGTCGTCTCGCAGGGCCCGGAATCGTCTCAGCATGCCAATCATACTGTCGTCCTCATCATGGTCCTCGAGGCCACGCTCTTTGAGCCAGTCCTCCCACTTCTTAAATTCTGGAATGACGTAGCTGACGAGTTTCGGCTCTTCATCTTTGTCTCTCCGGACAAGAGTAATATTCTCACGGACGAGTGGGTGACGAGTGAGATGGGTATTGATCTCACCGAGTTCAATACGGAAGCCTCGAATCTTGACCTGATCGTCGGCTCGCCCTGTGCATTCTACGTTTCCGTCGGGTGTATAACGTCCAAGGTCACCAGTCCGGTAGAGTCGGTCACGGGGACCAAAGTAAATCTCCCTCCATGGCTCTTTAACGCCACTGCTCTCAACCTTCTTGTTGTCCTCCTCGACCCATTTGTTGTTATCGACGAACCAGTTCTTCACAAACTTGGCTTCGCTCAGTTCGGGTGCTCCAAGGTAGCCCTCGGCAAGACCGGCTGCACGCACGTAAATCTCACCGTCTTCTCCCTGCTTGCAGAGCTTGGTAGCATCTTGGCGGTTGACGACCAGCAATTGAACGTCCAGCATTCCTTTGCCGGCAGGAATGATATCTCCCATGCAGTTCATATAAGCGGGATCTTGCGCCCGGCAGGGTAACTCGTAGTAGCTGACAGCACGCTGAGTCTCTGTGGTACCATACATGTTGACAATCTGCACGTTGGGCGCAAGACGCTGCAGCGCCAAGCAATCCCGCTTGATGAGAATGTCTCCGACGAAGAAAGCGTGATGGAGGTCGGGGAACTGAGCGCTGGCGCCACCGACGAGAATCTGTCCCATGGCGGGCGTCAAGTGGGTCACAGTCGCGCCATACCGGCGCATCCACTCGGCCAAGTTCTCGTGCTGAATATCATCCTTCGCAGGAACCAGGAGCTGGGCGCCCAGGAACAAGGGGGTAAAAATATCACGTTGGATAGGGTCATGCGCAATACCACTAAGCATGGTGAATTTGTCCTTTTCTGTAAGGTTGAATCGCTCGCTCATCCAAGGGAAATAGTAAGTCAGGGAGAAATGTCTGCCGCGAACACCCTTTGGACGACCCTCGGAGCCAGAGGTGAAGGAAAGAGTTGGGTTTGAATCAGGGCCAACAACGACGCCCGGAAGCTCAGCCTTGAGAGGTACCTGTGGAGCAAGGACATCCTTGCCGTCCTTGAGACCACCAGACAATGATCCATCATCCTTGAGAATCAGCGCCGGGACCTCGGTTTTCAAACTGAGGTTTTCCGAGATAAAGGTGCGGACCGTGTCCGAGAGTGGACCGGCCTCCTGTGAAGCCTTTTCTATGACCACCAGAGCGCGTGGCTTGGCAACGTCAAGATAGATAACCTGGCGATCGGGAGGGTATGCGGGATCGATGACGGAGAAGGTAGCGCCGGCCTTGAGCACTCCCATGACGGCGACCACCAAGTCGACGCCACGGTAGGCGTATACCATGACTACATCTCCCCTCTGGATGCCAGACTGGACTAAATGATGTGCCAGAAGGTTTGACGCCTCATTGATATGCTGGTAGGTGAACTCGCGACGCGGGGAGCTCTCGGAGGCTGTCTCGATAACGCACGGTCTCTCTGGGTGCTTCTTTGCATTCTGGGCAAAGATGTCATGAATCGCACCTCGAAATTCGCTCCAGTGGAGATCGGAGGTCGGATCCGGTGCAATTTCCATCTTCAATGTGCAAAGGATGTAGGGGAGGCGGAAGGGTGGAGGAATTTAAGCTTCTCGACGGGGTTGTGGTGAGTCAGGCACCATGCGAAGTGGGATGTTCTTGGTCGATTCTCTATGCTATTGTCAAACTTCAATTAGCCATTCGAACTTCTTGAACCGTTTGAAAGTTTGTAGTTAAGCTATAGAAACTCACCTCTATAATGCAAAGAATAAAAACAAGACAAAGAAGAAGAGCAGTGAGTTATCATTTGATTGTCGGATTAATCTTCATCCTCCCACTTTCAACTTCATCTTCTCCGTCATCGGCGTTTTTCCCTTTTGGGTAATTTGTGCCGCTAGTCCCGATATGGTAATTGGTCCCTTGCTCCTCCACAACGTCCCGTTGACATGTTTGCGTACAACGACAAGGGAGAGCAACTACTTCCCCAGCTCTCAATCCTTGTTCACTCTTTGCTCTTTCCATTGTGCTTTGAGGAGCTCACCGCTGGTACAGATTGCAGCATATCAATTACAGATACATTATCGATTCTGCACAGGGGCTTAATTTCGCTCTTGATTCTGCTGATACACTTTTGTCCATTGGACCAGTTCACCTCTGTGCGGCCTTCCTGACAGGGGGCACAGGACATCGGGTGAATCTACACCTCTCTTTCAACGCTCCGAAATCTCCTACTACACGCTCGCTCTGCAAACACATGCCAGAATTTAGTTAAAGCCACGTCCATTGAAAGACTTTTCGTGCCTTGGAAGCGTGCTTCCACTTCCACCATCATGCCCGTCCAACCGACTCTGTTTGGCCGGGCAATCTCTGGACGCCGGCTGCCGCCGCGACGTTTCCTGGTAGTTTTCGCTCTGATTGCGTCCCTTGCCATCTATTCACTTGTTCAACTACTGCCGTCATCTTACGCCGTTCCCTCGGCTCCATCGGTCGGGGATCTTTCAGGCCAAAAGTCGAGCAGCCATTTGCATCGGCCAAAGTTTCCCAAGCTCAGCGTCCCGAGCATCCACAATCCCTTTCGACAGGCAGCGCATGAGCCGCCAGTGCAAGCGAATAGCACAAGTGGAGAAGCCAGCTGGTTTAGCGACTGGAAATGGCTGAATCCATTCTCTTCTTCCATTACACTGGACGAGAACCGCGCCGTGCTGCCGCCGCTGCGCCCTCGGCCCCCAATCTACACGTTCTACGACCCGAACGCAAATACAGACAGTGAAACAAGAGATGCAGAAAGCAAGCTACTTCTCGCATGGCGTCGGGCCTGGTGGGCACAGGGTTTCCGGCCGGCGGTTCTTGGGCGAGCAGAGAGTATGAAGAATCCCATGTACGAGTCGCTCCAGCTGCTTCGGCTTGAACCAGATATCGAGGAGGAAATGGCGCGTTGGCTGGCGTGGGGGCATATGGGCGCAGGTATCCTCGCCAGCCACCTTGCGTTTCCCATGGCGTCCTATGACGAGGCTCTACTTTCCTACCTCCGCCGTGGCGACTACCCCAAGTTGACCCGATACGAAGGTCTGGGAAGCGGTCTATTCTGTGGTGACCAAAACGCAATAAATGCGGCGATCAAACAAGCGCTCGCCAACCCAGAGCTGCGCAACTCCAAATCCATAGTCGATTCCCTTCCCAAGGCCACATTTGATGTCGATCCCAATCACGACAGCATTGCGCTTTATGATGCTGCCACGGTAGCCTCGAAATACAAGCCCATTGCCGAGAAAATAACTGGCACTGACGCCGGTTCCGCAACTTCATCCTCATCCAAGGATAAAGAAGCCGCTGCCGCCGACTCGTCCGCGGCTGCGTCACCAGCCGAAGGTCTGCAACAGCTCGTCCAGCTCATCAATTCTCACCTGCACCTAATCTTCCAGAACAACTTTTACGATGGGATCCAAGTCCTCAAGCCCTGGCCGCTGCATACCACAGCGCTCGTGGAACCTGCCTACGAGATTGCCCAACGACTCGCAGAATGTTCATTTACACCAATGCAATCATCCTGCCCGCCCAACCGACCGCGCTGCAAGCCCTGTCTGCCAACCCACCCCATGCAAGTCACCACGCCCGAGTCCTTCTTCAACACATCAACCAAGTACATTATCGGGACCGTGCCGCACCCTTACACTTTGCTCTCCCTTGCCTTCCAGCGCGAACAAAAGGATATCACGACACGCTTTGTCCGCCGCGACACGGACCGCGACGTGTGGCTCATGAAAGTCACAAAGGAACTCACCAAGGCCGGCGGCACGGGCTCTTCGCGCGTGGTACACTTTAAAGACTCCGTCGCCAGTACCTGGGGCGCCGCGCATTCGTACTGGTTAACTGGCGACACCATGCCCATGGATTCAGACTCGGCATCTTTGACCGCGGACGTCGATTGGCATTTTGGCTTTGTATTGCCGCGTCCAGGCGAATACGTCGACGCAGGCACCTCTGAGACTCCCGTGCCCGGCCCAGAGCGCCGACCGCAGCCCCCCAAGCCCAAAATCCCCCCACCATCGACCGAGGAGCTGGCTAAAGAAAAGGCCATGCTCGCCGCCGCCAGACAAGTGCTCAAGAGCAATGATAAGAAACTCGAAGCCGTCAAGGCCATGGTCGAAGCGTGGAACTTGGCCGATGCAGAGGCCTGGCGGTTCGCCAGAGCTTTTGCCGCGCGGGCGAATGTCGAACGGGCCAAATGGGAAGAAGACGAAAAGAACTTTGCCGGTACAGAGAGCAGAGGTATCGGCTGGGGAAGATGGTTTGATCGAAGGACGCAATAAGTCTTAGGCGTCTTTTGTCTCCCCCTGTTGCCATATATTTCTTTACTCTTTCCCACCTGTAAAGGTTTCTAATTGCGATCACACCAAATTGGCCCAATGTGTTTCATTGGACAAAGACACAGGTGGGGCACCGGTTTCGCGTGCCATTTTTGAATTCGGTTTGCATTTCTTTCTTCTTATACTTCTTGGATCGGAGTCGGAGTTATCATCATCATTATTCATTTATCGATTTACTATATTCTATTATTCTATCATTTCTATTATTACCATTACTTCTGTTATGATTATTATTATTATTATCATCATTATCCCTATGATGGCTCTTCTCACCGTCTATATCAAAGCCAACTTTTTTTTTCCTTTTACGTATTCTGGATTCCCCCCCCCCCCCCCCTTTATCTCCTTGTCCTGCTTCTCTCATCTTTATTTTTCCTTTTTCTTTTCTTTTTTTTCTTTTCACTGGTCATTATCTATACTCCACGATCTAATTTAATCATCAAATATAACTCTACATTTCAGCACATTATATATTCACATTTTATACAAATCCCGTTACCATCATCTAAAAGGTATTAGTTCAGATTGTATGTGATGTCCAGATGTAATATCACTTCCATCGAAGCGCTGCTAGTCATGATAGACACTGGCATTTCAGACACAAGTAAATTGCGTACAAGTCTCTTGCTATCTGACTCACTGACTCTGACTTACAGACTCGGGCTCTGACTCGGACTCACTGGCTTACAAACAAATAGGAGAAAAGGAGGGGAAAGAAAGAAAAGGGGACTCTGCGTGCTGGTACCTAACGCGAGTAAGAAAAGACAAAATTAAACTTCAAGAATAAACGGTGAAATTAAATCAAAATAGAACGCCAGGGTTTAACAAAAATGAAAGAAGGGGGGTAAAAAATAGGAGAAGAAAAAGAACATCACCACCACCACCACCACCACCACAACGTATATCTCTACTCAAGGCGCATCGACAACGCCAGAACTGGCGATTCCTCTAACCCACTCGCCGACTTCGAATCCAAGTCTACGCATCCACCAACTGTCTTTGACTTTATTAACTTGTTCTTCTTCCTCCTTTTCGCCAGACGATTCCGTTTCCGATTCCGCTGGGACTGCGCTCTGCGTCTCAATTGCGGCTGTGGATGTGGTTGGGGCTGCAGCAGTAGCAGTAGTAGTAGCAGTAGCAGTAGTAGTATAAATGGTGGAGGGACTAGACTGGGTAGTAGTACTCAAGGTGCCGCGCTCGACGCGCACAATGATGATGCGTGCTTCGGGACGGATTTCGACGCCGATTCCAGGACTTAGGCTGAGACTGGAGCTGGGGCTGTGGTTTGAGCCTGGGCCTGCGCCTGCGCCACTGCTTGGGATTGATGCCGACTCAGGAAGAGGAGTAGAAGAAGAAGAAGCAGGAGCAGGAGCAGCAGCTCCGGAAGAAGGAGTAGGGCTGCCCGCTGAAGCTTGGTCCCGATTACGGTTCACGAGTCGAGCTTTTTGGTTATTTGGTATTGGCGACGCTGCAGCACTTGGTGATATATCTGTGGGGGGCGTCGTTTTACTTGCTACTAAAGGTCTTGGTGGTGACGGTGTAGTAGAAGATTGTGATCCCAGTGAGCGCGATGGCGATGGCGAGGGAGCGTTGCTTTCTCTTCTCGTCGAATTGGACTTGTTTCGATCACTCTTGATAATCTCACTATTTCCTTCCTTCTTTTTAGAGTTTCCAAGGTCGGTGGCATGGTGTCCCTCATGCTGCGGTTGCTTTCGTCCCTCAGTCTCGGAGAGCACCTTGGTCTGCAGCCCTTTTTGGGGTTGAGACTCTTGAATATCTCCGCCTCGGTTCGTCTCTGTATTTGCGCCTCCCTGTTCGCTCGGCACAAAGTCTGCTGAGCTGGACCTTCGATGCGTAATCACTGGGGTCACTGGACTCATGGCCGTCGCTGATGAGCCGCCCACTTCTTTGACATATATAGTCAAGTCCGGCCCAACGATTCCCCGCCACAAAGTTGCCATCCATTGCCAGTGATCGACTGGGGCATAGGCGTCGGCAATTGGGATGCGAATGGCTGCTGCGTCAGAATGGGCAAGCATGTAATTCGTCACCAGCGTCACAGGCATCGCAGACCCAGACAACTTTTGAACCGGAGCCGCTGTCGATGCCGGCCTTGCTGTTCCAGTTTCCTGCGCCAATGTTTGGTCTCCCGGTCGTGATGTTATGTATTTGACAATATCGGCAGAACGCGCATGCCACCGCTTGATGCAGTCAAGGTATTCCACCAACGAGTCAGACGATTTAGGTTCTGACGAATTTGCTGCCCTGGACTGATTGGGATTTGTCACGTCCACAGGGTCCGAGTGTGGAGCTTTGCTCTGGTCAGAGGCATCCATTTGGTTGGTGTCCAGTTTCTTCTCTTTCAATGCCTCTCTAGCAGTGCCCGGTACCTTTTTCTTGGAGCCCTTTTCAATCCCGGTCTTGTGTATTGGTTCACCATCCGATCCAATGCCATCCATGTAGCCGTCAGACTCCCCTCGTACGATTTGCACTGCACACTCACCACCTCGAATCAAAAACTCTTCAAGTGACTGCACAATCGTGTTCAGCACAACGCCTGGTGCGCCTTCCACGGCGACAATTGCACCGCGAATCCTATACGTTGGAGAGGTGGATCCTCGTTGGCCGGGCATCGCAAGCGGCGGGCTGATCTTGTGTAGAACTTTGATCTTATTCGTGGTTGGGATAGTCGTGACCATGGCTTCAATGGTATTACGTGCTTGCTGTGCTTGGTTCATCTGCTGCATATTCTGAGGGGACGCCGCTTCCATGGACATTTGAAAACCTCCATGGCTGCCGGACCGAGCATGGCCCAAAACATGGGATTGAGGGCGCATCTGAGAAGCGTGAATAGGAGTCACCGCTGGGATGAGAGGCGGCGAGCGCTGATACTGAAATTGAGGAGGCGCCAGATGGTGAGGGAATGGAGTGTGCACGTGGGGATGGGTAGGAGTGTGGGAATGCTGGGAGTATGAATGTGTGTGTGAAAGAGAAAGAGGGTGAGCTGCAGCTCCTGGACGGCGGTTATGGTGAAGAATGCTGAGTGGGTGGTACCGCGAAGCTGCATTTACCGGTGATGAATTAGATGTGAGATAGGCGGCTCTAGTGGCCGATCCGGGCGGAAGAAAATTCTTTTGGTACGGAGAATAAGACTGCTGAGGAGAGTGTGCTTGCGATGGAACAAGATGAGGCCGAGACGGCGGCGACTGGGATGGATGATCAGTCTGTAGAGGCGGAAGAATGAGTGAGGGATCATGTCGTTGCGGGCGTGGCGGTGGTCCCATCAATCGAGGCGACGCTGAGCCTAAAATCTCTGCACGAGACAGAGATCCCCGACGATTTTGCTCTCCGCGGTGCAATAACGGTACTAAAGTTGATACCCTAGGACTAGCTGTTTCAGAATCAGGATTCGATCTTGGATGCGGCTCCCCAACAGCATCTGAACTGCCCTGGCCGCTGCTGAGGCTGCTGCTGACGTGCTCGATACGGCGTCGTTTAAAGACAGGGGAAACTGAGAGACGTGATTCTTCTTCTTGAATATCTCGTTGTCTGACCATGCCTCTCACCTCAGAATGCTGATCATGTTGCTCCTGCCGAGGTTGCATGAATACAGCAGCAGCTCGGTGGCGATGGTGCTGCGGAGAGGAATGGATCGGTGTAGAAGGGGCCATGACGGGCGGTAAACGCGGAATGCCTTCTATCCCTAACCCAATACTTTCAGATTGCCCTTGTACATGAGCAGCAGCGCCGCTCGAGTCAGATAGAACAAGTCCCTGGAGATGTGCGGACGTAGGAGTAGGTATTGCAGGTGTCTCTGGAACCGAAGCAGTCCCCTTAGGAGTAAAGGGAGTATTTGGAGTATGAGGGGTAATAATAGCCCGTCCGCCGCATTTGAGACAGCGACCCGTATCTCCCAGAGTCAACGTCGTAGAGTTCGTTGATGCACCGCTGACACTATTTCCTCTACCGTTTCTCCGGGGCTGGTATCTATAGTCTGGATATTGCTGCTGATGACGAGCCTTTTCTTCCTACATGTACACTTCTTGTCAGAATCAAACCCTATATTCAAGTTCAATTTATGACGGGAGGAATCCAAAAAGCTGAAAATCTTCAAGCTCCCCGATATCTTTTTCAACAAGACTTTTCAACAAGTCCTTTTGCGTACCTCAGCCAACGCCTTCCAGGCGTTCTTTACTTCGGGACTCTGTGACCGCCAGTGCTCGCCGATGATTTTTGAAATCTCAGGATTGGACAGGCCAGGATTTTGTGCTATGATACCGGCCTGGAAATGTTGACGATAAAGGATGAAAGCTGTAAAGAGTGAGATGAGTAATTTGAGTCATTAATCTTTCTGTGAAGGAAAAGTGCTTTCTTTAGGGTTTGATGGGATAACGTCGAACAAAGAGATTCGGCATAGTATGGCTATGCACAGAGCGCTAAAAGCAATATCGCGCGGCCTTCCGTAAATAGCGTACCAGCCAAACAAAAAAAAAACAAAAACAGATGCACCTGCATCAGGCAAGGGAATATGAAATTATAAAACTGACGTATGCGGTAACCCAAGTAACAACGAATAGATAAATCGCCAATATTGCTGCGCTTTTGCTTGAATAAAACGTGCCTTGAAACAAACAGAAGAGCTCAGGCTAACTTACCATTCCGCGGCCGTGGAATTTTCGGATCCGGTTGGCATAAACACATGGTCATCGACGGTGTATTACCTCCAAAAGCATTGCCTGTGTCAACTCCTCCGATCGGGTGCCCTGTTGCAGGCTTCACGACTGACATTCTTTGCGTTTGGAGAATAGAAGGGGTAGTACGACCTGGGCTTCCACCTTGCAGCTCCTCAGATCCAGGAAAATGACTCGAGTCTTGACCATATCCATAGCTGCGCAGTTCATCCACAATTCCCTCCTCGTGAGTGAGTAGCGCAAAGCCCCTAGGAGGAAGGGATGATCCATTCGGAAACCCAGTGCCCGTCGTTCCGTGGCTGGGGATGCCGCGTTGAAGACTTTTATGGCCCGGGTAATTTCCTGAAGGGCTTCGCGGATGGTCCACGGTGGAAATATGTCTGTCTCTCGCTGACTTCGATGAGGGTGAAGCAACTGATGCCGAGGTAGGCCGAATCAGCGAGTAATTCGATGGCCGCGGCGATGGCAAGCCTCTCACGGAAGCCGATGTAGTAACAGTTGTGGTTGCCATCGTGGCTGGTAATGAAATTTCTCGAATACTCTGTTTATGCGCTTGAACTCTTCCTGGATGAGATAAGAGGCCCTTGTTCATTTTCAAAAGATTGAGGCTTGCAGAATAATTGCAACGGGGCGTAATTGACGTGTCGCAGCGTCATCACACTCTCCGCCTGTAACGCAACTCGTCCAAGACAATACCTTTTATGATAATTGCCAGCACAGCGCGATAGCTAGTTCATATCATGTCCATGGTCAAACCCGAAATTGTGGTTCAGGGCACGAACCAAGGTCAAAAGAACTCGGGAGAGAATGTGCTTCCTTATTCTGTGTTGTTTGTTTAAGTCGCTGCAGGGATAGATTGGGCCTCTAGAGATCTAGAGGGGGGGAGGGTGGTGAACAGGAGATATGTGCACACTCTGTTTATCAGAGAATTTGAGAAAGCAAGGTCACAAGCAAAGGAGAAGAAGATCATTCAGGTATGATAACCGTTGCAATCAACTGAAGGCGCGTTCTTCATCAGGCCAAACAATGGTAAGGGGCGGAAAAGCGGAAAATGTGATAGATGAGATATTGAGGGATTGAGAAAAAGTGATAAACATCAGGAGCAAATTCAAATTATTCCGCCAACAGGAAGAGACAGTAATTGTGGCAATTACCAGATCCAGAAGTGACAAATGGCAGGCATATTAACGAGTTTCTTTGTTCTTTGTCCATGCAGGCATGCTTGCGTGCATCCGCCCTACCCCATACATAGTCCGATTCATCCATCCGGTCATTTTTCGCCTTTTGGGGGTTTCTTTCATACAAGCGTTGTTCTTGAATGTCGGATAGTCCTGGCCGTCCCACTTTGCCATTCAAACCACTGATTGTTGTGCCCGTCAAGTCATTGACTTATTTGTTCATTGTGTTCTTAGTCAACGTGAGAGTTGGCGAATAGATTCATGTCTATCGCATTCAAACCAGTAGTTCGAGAAACCAGTTCATCGGAGAAGTTATTGGCGTTTTTAGGCCTAATGATCCTTATTCAAGTGCTTCGGATCACTCCGAAGACAATGACCATGACAGGTCTAACAGATTTCTTTGTTGATCCCCTGCGTGAGCGGGAAGCGCATTGAAGTGGCGAGTGATCTTCAGGCGTACGGCCGTGGAGTGAATCCATTGACTGAATGATCGACTGGTCCGGTGACCGTGCAAAAAGACAACGCCAACAATTCGATGGTATATGCAATTGTTCCCAGCGTTGCGGCTGTATGGCCCGGCTTAGATCTGGCGGTTTCAATGAGACGGCGAGAAACTGGTGAAAGCCCCTATCCTGTTGAGGTTAAAAGCAGCCAGCTCATTGTCAGACGCCCTGCTGCACTCGGTCGAGCCAAGGCACCACAAACCGTTGAGGCAGGCATGGTGGTTTAAGACAACAAGGTTCCATTCCCGAGCAGAGCAGGGTAGCATATCACAGTCGACCAGTCGACTCTGTCCTAGCCCGCTGATTGGATTCAATTTTCTTTGTTCTTCTTGCTCAACACCACTGCCGTCGTTCAGCAGGGCAGGGATGGGGGAGATTTCTTTGTTCTCGTCGTTTGAGAAACTAAGCGCGGGGTTAGTTGACCGGGGGAGGAATAAACCCCTTTGGGGTGATCAACGTTTCCCTGGGTACGAGCGGCGCAGTTTGCCAATAGAGAAAGAAGCGATTAGTTTCCTCGGTTCAACGGGTCCCCCTGTCGAGCCGCGCCCGGAACCAAACGAAACTCATTCGGCAACTTTACCTATTCTTGGAGTCAACAACGGAATAAGACACAATTTCTGAGGAGATGGCCATTCACATGATTTTGTTTCTTTTCTACGATATTTCTCGCTCTTAATTACATATATAGCTGATAAGTCGGGATAACAATCTCGATATGCAATCGAGAAGAGAATGATGTAGAAGAGGAAATAGAATAAAGAAATCGAAGAAAAGGTACATTCGTATAGAGAGTGCCTCTATGACACCTTCCCTGCCGAGGGAAAGAGATTCTTTATGAATGAAAAATAGACGAGAAATAAAATAAAAAAGAAAACAAAAGAAAAAGGGGGGGGAGGAGCCTAAGATGCTCGCACAATGAATATCCAACTTGCTTTGGTGCTAGAATGCCTGCTGATGAGATTAAAGGTAAAACGCCGCGCTGAAACATACGCCAGAGAGGATATCAAGATGCCGGAGATGTTTAAAATGCCAGGGATACTGCGGTGAACATGCGAGCCGAATCTATGGCAAGGCGCCTTCAGTCCTCCTCAGAATAAAAGAACGAGCATCGACAGACAATACTTTCGATAATTTCAACCATGTACAAGGCCCAGAGTCATGTTTACATCCTCTTAAGCTTCGCATCGAATAGAGCGTCAACGTCCTTGGACATGACCTCTGCGAGCTTTTGGTGTGCGGCTCCTGTCAGTTGAGTTTCGTCCCTGCAAAAGAAGGCGCGTTAGCACTCGGCCCGATTCAAAAAGACGTGGTGAATTTCACAACCGCACATACCAAAACAGGTACTTCTCTGGATTGTCGCACTTCTTCTTTTTTCGCAAGGAGAGCACGTTGGTGGCATTGTTGTGTCGGCCTACGGACAAGCAGGGCTCGAGAGCTTCGTCCCATTCGGGATCGCCTTTGCCTCGACCAGTCATGTCCGATTCGCCGCGCCACCACATGTAGTAGTCGCGCATGTAAGCGACAAGCCACTCATTGGTATCAAAAATGAAGACTCGGCCGCCATTCCACTTGCGCGAGCGCTCTGCGAGATTCTTGTTCCAGCGAGTGGTCAAAGAAATCGCGCGCCGCTGCTCTTCGGCGGCAACGTCCGAGCCTTCACAAATGCCCGTGACATTTGTTCGCACGGCCTTCCAGGCCGGGAGCAGAGTGGGATCAATAGCCTGGGGCATAATGGCCTTGACAGGGCCGTCCCATTCTTTGGCGATGATGTCGAGAGACTCAAAAATGACGTCAATGCTGTTGTCAATTGCCATCTCAGCCGGGCCGTCGTCCCACGATGAGAAATGCCAAATGTCCCAAATGCCAAAAAAGAGTGCAAAGACGGTAGAATTCCGCTCGTCGACCAACTTTTCCGGTGCAGCGGACAGAAATGTCTCCCTCACGCTGAGCCAGTGCTCGACTTGCGACTTGAGGTCGGGAACTTGTTCCGCAGTGGTATCGTTTGTGTACCGCAATCGCATCAATCGGTCATTGTCAACTACCGCGCCGTCGTAGGAATTGTTATAGTATGAATCAGCCAAAGCACGCGCATAGTTGTCGTGTTGAGCGTGAAGCTAGAGCACCTTGTCAGCAAAGTCCCTTGCCCTTGATTCTCTCGTATTCCTCCAAAATGGTCATGGTTTTTGAGAAATGGGCGCACGAACCGATGATGACAGCCATTGAGTCCAGACTTTGCCTCTCTTTGCATCCGTCGGAGAGATGGGGCCCTCGAGTGGCGCTTTCATGGGGTAGACCCCATCATCGCTCCAAGCGTCGCCAAAGACGACAAGACGTCGAGGCTGACCGGTCCAAAGTCGTTGTGCACGCGCCGGGACTTTCAGCGAAGGGAGAACCCAGGCAATATAGAGAGCACAACAGAATGCTGCTCCTATTAGAGCGTAAAAACGAGTGAAGAAGCGCATTGTAAATCGTCAACGCCGGTCCTGTTTCTGGTTCGGCTGGGCGATCCGACGAGCGCAGGTCTGGGTTCCGGTTACAAACAAGGAATGGAGGCCGCCCGCGGCCTGCAGTACAAACGCGGCTTATCCAGTGTCAAGAAGAAAGAAAAATAAAAGTTCCCAGTCTGATGACGACGATGAAGGGGGAGATCAACAGATGAAACGGCAAAATGTTCGAAAAGTGCGGGCCAATGGGTGGTAAAATCCCACTGGGGATCGGGCCACCTCTGGGGACCACTCTTAATCTCGGTGGGCGAAATTGGGTTTTGGTTTTCCCCTTTGTCAGAGAAGTACAGTGTACAGTTCTTTGTTAGTGGGCCACGCGGCCAAGACAGACTATCTGGCGCCAGTTAAAAGCTAACCGGAACGGCGAGCGATCCCAATGACGATCACGTCCTAACAACGCCCAAAGACGGCGGGAAATATAACCTTGAATTTTCTCGATTTCATACGACTATCAGCTTGCTCTCGTTTCCTTGGAAGGTGAAATTCTGCGATCAATCTTATGAAAATGGAATGGAAAGGTCGATTTTGACTAAATCATGGGGGAAAAACGGAAAAAAAGGTGTCAGCAATAATCACCAGGCGAGCACAAGTGCCAAGGATTGATGCTATTGTAGTAGGCCAGAGGCGGGTGCAAAAAGGCCACCCAGCGTGATACCGTAATCCAACAACGGAAGACGGTTGGAATGATGAGATGGAGAGCACAAAGAGAGAGAGATATATATATAAAAGAAGTATTCCGACCAGGGAGTAATTGCAGTAGGATCACTGAGCTTAGAGTCCCAACACGTTGCGCCGGGACGGCGAAGGCTGGGGGCATACGGCTTTCTATATCAAGAACTAAGTGACTGTATGGCCATTTCCTTTTTCTTCTCCACACCCATTGTGCTGCCATGAGCCCTGTCAGACTATCCCATTGTAAGGATAAATTGTGTAGATTGCCTCCCATGCTTCGCCTGCCAAGAGATAGCGAAGGGAAGAATCAAAAGGCTATTCGTGTAGGGAAAGGGATCGTGTGACCCATTCCCATCTCTGGACGTCTCATTGGTTTTGCAGAAGAAATGTTGCTTTCCGTTGGTGATGGAAGGGCAGATGGAGCAACTAGTCCCCTGGCTCCTGCTTTCTGAAGAAGCCATGTGGCAGCAGTGGTGGAGAAGGTCGCGCAGGGAGATGCGGATGTATCCCACAAGAACTTTTATCTGTACGCTCTCTACACAAAGGGCCAGTGGGAGAGGTAAGAATACAAGTACATACAAAGAGCCCGGTATGAAGGTTCAGCAGGAAGTTAGGTAGAAGAGTGGCGATCTGTGGCGAGCTTCCAATTCCCAAACGATGGATTGCATTTCTTATAACCTAGCAGTGGACCGGGCTCTAATTTGTGTTGATTATCATGATCCCCTTACCTCCCGTCCTCCTTTTCCCCGCCTAGGAATAGACCGATCCTCTTCGCAATTAAAGTTGCGTAGGTTGAAAACGGGTAACAAGATCTCAAGGGTCCAAAAGGTCCATCTAACTTGAGCGCCGGTGGAAGAGACGGCGTCACTACCGGAGTATATTGAGAAACGGCCAAAGTTAAGTCACGATAAAGGTCAAACTTACCAGCCTTTTCCTAGGTTGTAACTGACCGAATACGACGAGAGCGAAAGTACCTGAACTAACTTAGGTGTAGAATTGTAACACTTGGCGACCAAAGCCCCCAAAGCCCTCCCCTGGTAAGCTTATCCCTCCAAATACTGTAGTAATGTGAAACGGATGGGGGAATACGCTCCATATGGTCGTTGCTTCTCTGCAATCCGAGATAAAATTGTGCCAAGAAATGCCAAGCCGGGGAGGAAGGGCACTAGGCTGTATACGCTCAACTGTGCAGTAACCATAGTCCCCCGTCCTTTCAGCCAAACCCAGCTCTTCCTGTCTTCAAGCTTATGCAACATTTGCACATGCATGGCATATATGTTGCTGACGACCATTGTTTTTCTGTCCAATATATCTTCACCGTCGTCTTCAGAACCAAGTAGTGGAGGCATCACTTCCTCGAAAGCTCATCCAATACAATTGTTGAAGATAGGGGATACTATTTGGTGCTTTTTCCAATGCCAATGCAAGGCGGAAGGACAGCATGCAAAGTAAGGGTGGCGCGGGTGCAACAATGCCAAGAAACCAAATTTCCTCTCTCCGAAAGACTATCCTTACTCGCTATCCACTGAGCAGCTTTTATGCAAAGTTGTGCATCCAGTGAAGGAAGGAATCCAGCACCTCGCTTCCGGGTGCCGAGAAAGTAATCTTCTCCGTAGAGATCAAGCAGGTCGTGCAGCGTACATTGCGCTTGCCTCAGCCATGATGTCGGTCGACGAAATAGTTACAAGAGCATGGTAACCTAATTTGGAAAGCCTAGTATTGATCTAGAAAAAAATTCTGGTGTTTTTTTTTTTTTCGTGCGCAACCCTTCTTTGGCCCGGGTTTGCTCTGCTTCTTCCGACTTAGTAAATTTGCTTTTACCTCACCAGAACAAGGGACAGCCTGAAGAGATCGTTTTTGATCATAATCAGCGGCAGTCAGGCAAACAGAGCCCGTGTGTCATGCAGCAAGGTAATTGGAGGCATAATGAAGCTTTTCGGGCATGAGAACAACAATCATTACGAGATTTGCGAAGATGAGGGGATTTTGAAAATAAGAAATGCTGTCATATGCAAAGATACGCTAGCGAGAAGAGTCATATAATGAATAAGTCAACGCGAGATCCAGATGAAGATGACGAAAATAAATATTCAATTCGCGGAAATCCAAAAGACCTGTATGCAATACGTGAGCCGGCGCCTTCGCAAAGCGCCTCCAGCCCAGCTGCTCTATAACATAAGACGCGAGCCAACCATGTCTACTCTCACCAACAACGACAGAGGTCCTGTTGAAACTCGCCTCAGACCAATCTGATCTGTTTCTCGATGCAGAGGGGGAGAAAAAAGAAAGAAATGAAACCAGGAAACAAGATATTAGACGTACGAGACTTCAAAACGCCCACGCCATGCTCCTTGGCGGCTAAACAATCACACAAACTTTTTTTGGACTTTCACAATGTACTGGAGACCATGCAAGATATCCCCGTCATCCTTGTCACCCCATCATCTTCTACGGGACGCGCCAGCAGGACGCTTGGGAGTAGGAGCGCCAACGTCGCTCTCCTCCTCGTCCGAATCAACATCATCATGATCAACTTCATCCTCGGAGAGCTCCTCGCCCGTATCAGCATCTGTTTCCTCGGCCTCATCGTCGATAAAGCCCTCGTCCTCTTCATCATCTCCGCTCTCATCGTCTTCGTCGACGCCATTGACGGTGGTTGGCATATCCTCATCATTGTCCTCGCTGCCGCTGAAATCCTCGTCCATGTCGTCAGCCTCATCAGCGCCGCCTTCGCTATCCTCATCTTCTTCGCCTTCGACATATATGACATTCTCCTCTTCGTCTTCATCTTCGGCCTCGGCAGGTCGAATAGACGCTTGCATGCTCTTCCGAAGCTGCATTTGCGCTTCAAGCATGTCCAATTTCCCCTTGAGTGTAAGGAGGGGCTGGAGACCGCTCGCACGCTCTTTGATGACCCGGTTAAGAGCGCCAAGCTTCTTCATCAGCTCCGGCTGGCCGGCAAGATAACCACCATGAGAGATCAGGGTCCACTGAACCCAGACCATAAGACTTCCAGCCCGACCAGGCCGATTATGCAAGCGCTCAGCAAGCTTTTGGAGGAGCGATGCAGCGAGGGCTGAGTCCAATCTCTCAATCGTGGAGCGAATGGTATTGAACTCTGTGGTGTGGAAGCATGATTCGAGGAGCGCAACGTCGTTGGTCTTGAGAGACTGCGTCAAAATGGTCCCCAAGGAGGTACCAGACGGAGGTTGCAATTTCCTTTGAGATGGAACCAAAGAGCGGGATGTGACCTTCCCATCATCCAGAGCGTGCTCTACGTCAACCATGTCGGATCCGCTCGCGCGAATCAAATCTCCAAATGACGGTTCCGCGGCCTCATCTCCTTCCTCTTCTTCGTCGGAGTCACCATCCTTCATTTCAACGTCGGCTTGTGCAGTTTCGCTTGCACCAGCACTTTCAGCCTCGCTCTCCTCATCCTCGCCGCTAGAGAGCTCTGCGAGTTCTTTCTGTTCATCCTCTGCACCGTGACCTCTTTCGACAACAACGGTTCGCGACTCGTCGACTTTACTTTTTCCCATATCCTTGGCGCCATTCATGACGGTAGCACCAACCGTGGTGCTCTTCCCCCTGATGATCTCCTTCTGGCCCTTGAGAAGAAGAGCACCGGAATTTTCATCCCGCCAGGGAATACGCTCAAAGACAAGATTGATGCTGCCGTCAACCCAAGCAACGACCAAACTATTTGCCTCAAAGGAGGCATTCACAGCTGGGACAGGCGTAGCTGATTTGTCCGGCCTTGTGATTTTCAGGGAAGCCTCCGCCTTTCTGGTCATTTGTCGTCGCTTCGATTTAAGACTGGTTGATTGGGAGTTTTGGAAATTATCAAACGGTTGGGGGAAGATTTCCACAAGACCATCTCTGGTCACCGCGGCGAGAACCTGCTCGTTTGATTTCCCAGACGTATCTTCATCGTTGTCGTCCGCCTCCTCAGAGAAGAGAGCCACAGTCTGTACGTCACTATCTGATACTAACGATCCCACAAGCTTCTGCGATTCTCTGTCGAAAACATTCATGAATCGATCAGATTCTGCTGCCGCCAAAAATGCTTTTGGTAGATGTGAAGCTGAGGGAAGCGATGTAATTAATGAATGGATAGGGTTCGTAGATCCAGTAAAGGTAGGCTGTTCTTCGGTTCCTACGGTATCCGGGTTGATCACGTAGGCCGTGTGCGAAGCACAGATGACTGAAGGATTTGTCGGAACAGGTCGAGCAAGGGTAATTGCTGCATTCGTCGGGAGGGTAAAGGTGCTACCAAATATCAGTATATGTGAACCCAGTGAGCATTGTAATGGTGATTATGGTGCCTACTTGAGAGCCTGTCTCTTGCGAAGATCCCATTGCACGAGCTTTCCTTCTCCACCTAAGCTCCAAGCTTCCGCGGCCTCTCGTCTATTCGTGAATTTGAAGTCTCGGATACCCTGTGAGTGGACAACAGGAAGTTTCCCGATAATCTTTCCCTCTGCAGCAGAAAAGAAGCAGATGTTTGAGTCGCTAGTACCAAATGCAACGACAACGCCCGCTGCGTCACCAGTGACAGCGCCATTGGCCATTGTTTCCCGCTTTCTCTTCTTCTTAGGAGTTTGATTGTCGGCATCATTGCCGCCAAGGAAGCCCCAGTCCAGAGAATTTACCGTGGTGTTGGAAGGAAGTACATGTTCGCAGCGCAGACGACCAGTCAAGGTGTCATGAATGCGAAGATGCTGTGAGTCTAAGCCCTGGATAACAGAGGCAAAGAGAGCCAGCTGGAAAGACGACGGCGCGAAAGCAGAGCGCAGAATGGCAGAATTGTTCGACGACTGCACAGAAGATGCAACAGCGGGCGATGCCGCCGAGGCTTGGGTGGATGGTCGGCCGGAAAACTTTTTGGTCACCATGACTACCACTTGGGCAAGACCCGTTGTCTCTACAGTGATATTGAAAGGCGGGCGATTGAAGAGGATCACAGATCCCACGCACCTTCTATTTCACAAAAGAGACTTCTGTCGCGGTGATAATCCAGGTCGTTGAACGTTTTGGCGGAGCTACTACTTTCGAAAAAAAGTGGCAGAAGCGATCGACGCTAAACCCTATTTGGATTGAACAACGGCCAATGACCTTTTCGGCCTCTGCTCCTCCGGCACGGACTAACGTTTGAGCGGACGCTTAGGATTTCAAAGACCTGGAGAGCCTACGGAGTACAAGCTCTGATAAATAGCGAGTGGATTTTTGGGGGGAGGCGAGATATGGTCTAATAAACCGGTCACCTGAAAGTATATGTTGCTGATTTTGTTTGAATTCTATGCTTTTCTCCATTACTCTTGTCTCTGAAAAGAAAGAGAATGTTACAAATAGTAGTCCAGCAATTAGTAGAACAATGGCAACGTCTTTCCCAATATACAAGTGTAAAATAATTTGCAATGCAAAATATTGTCATAGTCAATATGTTCAGGGGCTTATTTGCTTCTCCTGTGGAGCATCTTTGCCTTTTTTCTGAGACATGGTACACTTCAGTAAAAAATCTTTGTATTGTTTATTTTCAGGTTTACGACATGATTGAAGGTCAACAAAAATATAACCATAGGTAGTTACTCGAACAAATTATACATTGCTGATAGAGAAGTGAAGGCGCCGGGGAGGATATAACTCTGATCATTCCGATTCATGGGAAAAAATTTCCCTGTACGAACAATTTAAACTCCATATTCTTTATGTGATAAATTAGCAAAAAAGGAGGCGTCACGTGAGCATCGCAAGGAGTGATGTCAAGAAACAAGACAACAGAAAGTTAAGTTTCATTGTCCAAGATTCGTTGCGGATTGTACCTAAGGTACATGTCTGCCTGATACCTACAGATAATTTATTGAGTATCTGCTCAAGTTGAGGTGGCTGCGTCTGAGTGGCGTTTGGGGCCACTGCAGGGGCAAACGTGCATATTGCTCTGCTAGTTCTTGGATGGCTGGAACTCGAAACTGACGTTTCACACAATCTTTGTTTTGGTACTCTTTCGTTATGCTAGATCATTGGAATACACCCGATTTGACCCAAGATCCACCAAAAAATCCACATAATTGGTGGTGTCCTTACCGTTAAGCTATCATTGATAAAAGTTTGTAACGCATCGGGTTTAGACAAACCCTCAAATGGCGAAAGGGTGCTGCCAAAACCTTATTGCAACATGGTCGCTCGGTCGAACTGTCAGAGTGGTGGGAGCGACGAGCAGGCGCCTGGCGGATGTTGTATGTTTGTTGTGTTTAAAAGTACAAAGGTACAGGATGATGACAGTGAAGGGGGGAAAGAAAGGAAAGAAGAAAAATTGTCTTCAGCCATACCCGGAATGGGACAAGAGGAACTGACCAGGCAGACAGGACTGTAGGACTGACAAGGTCCGAGGGAAGTCGGAGGTTCATCGCTCGCCTAAGTAGTTTGTCTTCCTAAGCGAGGACGAACGGCAAAGTAAGTACATATTGGTCTCGAGGATATGATTACACGTCATAAAAGGATGAGAGAGACTTTAGAGGTACAAATGGCAGTTCAATAGGGGCCGACCGAGTAGACCGGCAGGCCGTTCTTCATGATAAATCAGCCAATCATCATTGAGGACAGCTATTGAGATGCGTTTGCTAGGCCCAATTCATGGTGAACCTGCCAATCAAAAATGCGAAAATGAGGTGGGACAGCAACGCGTTAGGCCGGGATCCAAAGAGGCCTAATCGCCAGTCCGGCTGCACGTTCATTACAAAAGGCTATCGCATCCCTCCCCCTTTGCCAAAACGAAATTTCCGGCGGTCTCCCCCCATTTACCCTCCCCTCTCTTGTTTGTCTTTGCTGTGTCTACGGAGTACTGTTAAGCTCTCGCGCTCCCCTTTCTTACCTCTGCTCTGTCCTCCCTCGACTGTCCCTACTCGCTTCGTCCCTTATCATTTGGCAGTACCGGGTACGACCACATCAAAACACAAAACACACATATACATACACCGCTTGCTGCAGAATAGCCGCACCAACGACACACACTGATCCTTGACGTATCCTGATTTGTCCGAGATCTTTCGGATCGCTTTAAATCAGGAACACCTTTGACGCACCGACCATCGCTTCGGTCCATCGCTCTGGTCGTCGTTGCCAAGGCTGGGAAAGCTCCTTTCCCCCCAGGCTTCTTTATTCGCTGTCATCGCGCATTCTTATTGGTCCTTTGACTAGTGGTGCTTTCTGTCGTCGGTGATTGCTATCGCTCTGCTTTCACCTTTGATTCTGAGGGTGCCTATTGATCGACAGTGCGGTCCCATCGCCCACAACTGCACCCACACACGCACGGCGGCCGGTGACGGACAACTGAGCCGACTCACACGATTACGCTACTCTTACCGCGCCCTTCCCCGCCAACACGGTTCCAACTTGCCGGGGTGACCTGTTGACCAGGGCACTCTTGCTGTCGCGTTTGTGTCGACGCGTCGTGCATGTCGCACTCGATTTTGAGGAAAAAGAGAGAGAGAGTGTGTGTGTGTTTGTGTGTGAAGCTCTTTCGCATCGTCAGTTGCCAGGACGTGTGAGAAGAGCGAGCAAATTCTTGCCACAAAAGGTAACTGTCAGTTCCAATTACCGTTTTTGATTTCTGAACTATTTCGTCATTCTTCTTTCTTTTATCGTTCGCTGCTGGCCTGGTCTGGCTGTGCTAGTTTCTCTTGCGCTCTCTTGTTTTTCTCGCCGCTTCTCTTTCTCCTTCCCTCAGTTTACTTTTCTTTCACCTCTCAGTTGTCCACCCACACTCATATTGTCATCACCCACCATAACGACCCATCCATCCATCATCATCAATCTGGTCACGTGAGCTCATTGTGCTCTTTGGCCTTGTCGCGTCACCCTCGTCTTCCCTCTTCTCGCCTAGCTCCGTTAGTTTCCGTATAATAATTTCATTCTCGCGTCTCGCTCCTCCTAATCCTCCATTTATTTCAAGCCACCCCCACACCCTTGGGTTTCAGACTCTCTCGCCGACCACACGTCATCCCGAGAAGTCCTTCCTGCGCGCGCAACACATCCCTAGACTCTGTCGCAATTTGTTCCCCAATTTCACATCATTCGAACCCCTGCTTCGGTACCTGAAAATCATTCTTGACTGGTACAAATCATCACTCTTTACGTTTCTTTGGGAGGTGCTCGCTTCTGTATTTTTTTGGGCCTGCGCTCCCCTTAACCTAAGCACAAATTCGCACCCCCTTGGCTCGTCACATTTTTCTTTTTCTCATTCCACAACTTGCGCCTGACCGTCCATGGCAGTGATGAGCTCACAGCCACCGGATAGCAGCGCGCCGGAGCTCAAGACGCCGCCCGTTCCACCATCAGATAAGATGGCCCTAGATGCAGACATCAACGGGTGAGTCCACCACAAACCACTTCCTTCAGATCGTCTTATTTTCCGTTGTCGCGTTTGATCATATATTTATGAGACCAAATCAAGCAGAGCTGCCAAGCAGAATGTCACCACTACGGCCCTCGCGTCCACCGAGCCTTCGAAGCCTGTGACGGATTCCGCTCATCCATCACCTCCTAAAGATGCCCCGTCGAACACGGCCAACGGTTTCCAGAAAAACCTCGTCAGCTTCGGCGAGAATCAGTCTCTTTCTGCCGCCACGTCCTCGAATGAGCCAGCGCCTTCGGCTGCTGCCCCTTCAAATCTAGCGTCAGGCGAAACAACTGCGACTCCTGTCCCTCCGGTAGTGGAAGCACCTACATCAGACGTGCGGCAGGAGGAGGCGAAAGTGGCATCATCTGAAAACCCCGAGAAGACACCTGAACGTCAGCCTGCCCAAACATTTCAGGGAGTGTCGGAGGAAAAGTTGGATGAGAAGGCGCCAGAGCAGGGCACGACCCAGCCGCAGGATCATCAAATGGAAGACGTCGCTGACGCAATCTCTGCGAAAGCGGATGCCCCGATCGCGCATGAAGCTGGCAAAGAAGATAAGATGGATATTTTCTCAGATATCAATGCGCCAACTGCGTCCACGTCGACCGCGACCGATGGCGGCGCCGCCGAACCGCCTCGTCATCCCGCACCTGCACCCGCGCCTCAAGGTGCTGCACCTGAGACTCCTCGTGAACCCGCTCCCACGCCTGCTGCAGCCCCTCCAACCATGCTGAAGCCAGATCCCGAACCGACCAATGCCCCACCGTCACCTGGAAAGAATGCACGCGAACGCGAAGACGATGAGGCCGAAGAACCTGCGCACAAGCGGACTAGGACAGAGCAGGATGGAACGGTCGAGCCAGAATTTAAGGTGCCCGAGCAGCCGGCTTCCGCCACTAGTGCAGACACTGGCATCAGCCATGTGCCCTCTCCTCCAGCCGCACCCGCAGAAGCCTCTCAACCCATTACGCCAGCCCAGCATAAGTTTCTCCTTCATGGCATTCGAAATATCAAGCGCACCAAAGATGCCTTTGCGTTCAACGCTCCCGTGGACCCCATTAAGCTCAATATCCCCTCTTACTTGGATTTCATCAAGAAGCCAATGGACCTGGGCACAATGGAAGACAAACTTAAGCGCGGCGCATACTCTTCCATTGACGAGTACGTTTCCGATTTTCACCAGATTGTCGAGAACACCACAATCTTTAACGGCGCCGAGCATCCAGTTACCAAGGCTGCAGTGAATATGAAGGGCACGTTTGACAAGCAGATGAGCAACCTGCCACGCGCCGATGTCACGGAGCCCACACCTGCCGAGAAGAAAGCAGCTAAGAAGGCTTCTGTTTCTAAGGCTAGCGCTGCACGACGAGAGTCGAGGGCTGTTAGTGGAGCTGCTGCGCGCCCATCCACTGCTGCAGCTCCTGCACCAACTACTCCTCCTGCTGCCGCCGGCTCGCAGACTTTCGCGCTGGGTCCACAAGGGGTGCCACTCATTCGTCGGGACTCCATGGCAAGCGGTGATGGCCGTCCGAAGCGCGAAATCCACCCTCCTCCGCCTCGCGACCTTCCTTATTCGAGCGTGAAGCCAAAAAAGAAGAAGTATCAGCTGGAGCTCCGCTTCTGCCAAGAGGTCGTCAACGAAATGAACAAGCCCAAATATCAAATGTTCGCCTTTCCATTTTATCAACCTGTGGATCCCGTTGCTTTGAACATTCCCCACTACCACAAAATTATCAAAAAGCCAATGGATCTTGGCACCGTTAGCTCAAAGCTAAAGGGAGGACAGTACGAAAACGCCAAGGAGTTTGAAAGTGATGTGCGTCTCATGTTCGCCAACTGCTTCAAATTCAACCCTCCTATGGACCAAGTTCACCAGATGGGTCGGCAGTTGGAGGAGGTGTTCAATCGCAAATGGGATCAAAAGAAGGAATGGATCGAAGATCATACTCCGGCTTCTGGCCCGCACTCACCTGGCACTTCCCCCGAGCCCGAAGAGGAAGAAGAGGAGGAGGAAGAAGAGATGGAGGAAGAGGAGGAGAATGAAATTAGCATCCTGCAGAAGCAGATTGCTGCCATGTCGAAGCAAGTTGAGATGATCAAGAAAAAGTCGTCACCACCGGCCCCGACGAAGAAGGGAGTCAAGAGCGCCAAGCCTGCAAAGAAAGTGGGCAAGAAGAGCGCCACTACTGTCACCTTACCAGCCAAGGTTGAAAAGAAGGCCAAGCCCAAGGTCAAAAAGGAGCGCATTCCATATGTCACGTACGAGGAGAAGCAGGAGATTTCCAACCGCATCAACACTCTTCCCGAGTCTAAGATGGCCACGGCACTGAAGATAATCCGGGATAATATGCCAAATCTTAGGGTAAGCGCTCTTTTGCAAAGCTTTTAGCAAATTTTTTTTTTCTTTGCACGTGGATGTTAATGCGCAAAATAATAGGGTGTGGACGATGAAGAACTTGAGTTGGACATCGATGAACTCTCTAACGAAGTCCTTTACAAGCTTTTGACTTTCGTTCGTAAATATGCTCCTGGCCAAGATGCGCCTGAAGAAGTCTCTGCGCCTGCGCGGCCCCGATCAGATCAACCTCGCTCTTCCTCCTCCTCAAAGCCAAAGAAGAATAAGCCAATGAGCAAATACGAGCAGGAAGCTCGCATTTCGGAGCTGCAAGGACGATTGAAGGGCTTCCAGCACCCTGGATCCGACGGGTCGCCTGAGCCAACCAGAGAGGATGACGAATCGAGCGGGGATGACAGCGAAAGCGGCTCTGAGAGCGAAGAAGAGTAGCCGCACCATGCGTGAGACCGCGTGCTGCTGTTCTTTGTCTGGGGCTCTGTTCGTCTCTCACCCGCTCGATGATTCCTTCCGCCGACAATGGCCCTGCCATGAAAACGAGCACGAGCCTGCGACTGACTCGATGGCACTGAACGAGATTTTCTTTCTCTCTTAACGCCATGATACGGCTACTTGAGATTTCTGCGGATTTACTCCTTGCTTTCTAGTCTTTTCCATGCGCCAAAGGGGAGTCTTTCTATAATCGGCGCGAATTTGAAGGCGGACCCTCTCAATTTATTCAAACTCTCACGTCCTTTCCCTGTCTTTCAACACCTTTTTATTCCGACCTTGTAAATATTCCTCCCTTGCCCCCATATTACCACCTTTTTACTGTACCATTACCCACTTTCTCTTCTTTGAACTCATTTTACACGATAATGATGGATGACGAATGCTTCTTTTAGCGGGAAAAGGAAATCTATTACTCAATTTCTGGACGTCTCCATTGAATCAAACTTCTATTTTTTTAAACGTCTATTATTTCCCCTCTTATCGCCCTTTCGTCTACACTACCCCCGGTCCGTCTTTATTGCTTTCCCATTTCTTTTTTAAATTAACCGTTGCGGACGTTATGTGTTGGACACAATGACGAAATGGATCGAATTGATCCATGGGGTTGAGGGGGGAAAATGTGATCGGTTCTGCAATGGTTTTACTGATCTTTTGGGATCAACTTGATGGATGGAGAACAAGTTCGTGAGACGTCGGGTCGAGACGCGCGTGTGTTGCCAGATGACATGAGCATGGAACAAAGATTTGCCATCTTGACCATGCTCTTTGTTCCTCGGAAAACACCTTCACTGTCGTGCAGTGATTTGCCTTTCTTGACTGGATCTGATGATTTCTCGCCGGACGGAGGCACCCCTATCTAATGTACGATATGCTGCTTCCCATTTAATTCAAGCGATTACTAGCGAATGGATGGAGTGAACTATGTCTTATGCAGTACGTATGACCTCGGTCGGTGTTTCTGCTATAATATCAATGAGCTGCACGATGGAAAATTTGAAAATAAGTCTGGTGTAGACCTGTGACCATGTGTAATCAAAATAAGACTCGAACTCCTTTGCAGTGCTTGGGTAAATTAATTAACGAATGCTCTACTCCGATATGGGCGAGTATGGATTTGCCGACGAACCCAAGAGAGAGCGGGCGAGGCGAGGCGAGACGATTGATCGCTTCAGGCTTGCGGGTGTTGTAGCTTCAGTAAGTCTCGCTGCTTTCGACTTTGCGACACCTCGATTTGCAAGCGCTCTCCGCCCTGCAGCATTTCGTCTTGCTCCCATTTCCCCACAACCATCGCCTCGAGCGTTGATCCTTGTTGTCACCGCATCTCTTCGCTTGTAAATTTTGGTGGTCAACCGTCCTGACAATAACAATTTTCAATCTCTACTGTTCCTTCGACACAGGAGCTCGACGACCACGAATATAAAGCAAGGGCCATCGATCTCCCGGCCTCGGACAGACTCCGGTTGCGCTTCAATTCCACAGCGTCTACCGCTTGACTCAATAGACACACTACGTCGAACTTATCTCTCGAACGTATTCTCTCTCAATCTTGAAGAGTTCACGCACTACTTGACATCAAACTCCTTTCGAGCTCGAAGCGCCAGTGTCGTCTGCAAGCACTTCGACGTCTCCAGCCGCATCGACGTATCTCGTCCGAAACCGACAGGGCTAGACTTTCAAAATGGTTCAAATCAGTGAGGTGAAGGGCAATTCGCGCGAAAACCGCACCGCTGCCCACACCCATATTAAGGGACTTGGATTGCGGTCAGATGGCACAGCTGAAAAATCTGCCGCTGGATTCATCGGCCAGACTGCCGCTCGTGAGGTAAGAGATTGCATAAGCTGAATAAGTTTTCCTCCGTCTCTTTTTCGGTTTCGGGAAGAGGCCTCCAAATGGGTTGAGCTTGATGCCTTGAAGCGGAAAAAGATCCCTGGTTGAGTACTGCAATGGGAGGCTGAATTGGCGGGTTCGGATATTGTTCGTTTGACGCCGGCGAACAACTACAATGGAAGACATATTGGGGTTCGGTGGAAGGAGTCCCTGGAAGAAACGAGGGAGGCCCTGAAGTACCGCTCTTCGGGACCAGCGACGTCTTGCAATGGCGTGCGACGGCAGCCAAGAAAACACGGCGTTGGATACCCATGGCTTGCAAGACTTGAAGTTCAGGGAAAATGTGGCCAGAATTACCTTTCTCCCTTTTGGAAGCTTTGAATATCATACAACAACTGAGCCCATGGACTTCTGGCGTAGGAGGACACCAAGAGCCGAACCCCACATTCTGCTGAACCTGCCTCCCTCCAAATTTTCTTATATGCTATTTGGACTTAGTCTGACCTTTCTGAATATTATGCTGACGGGTCTGTGACAGGCATGCGGGGTCGTTGTTGACCTCATCCGGGCAAAAAAAATGGCTGGACGAGCCGTATTGCTCGCTGGTGGTCCTGGCACTGGTAAAACCGCACTCGCCCTCGCGGTCTCGCAAGAACTCGGCACCAAGGTGCCATTCTGCCCTATTGTCGGCAGCGAGATTTACTCCACAGAAGTGAAGAAGACGGAGGCACTCATGGAGAACTTCCGAAGGGCTATCGGTAAATATTCAAATAAAATGCAAGCCAGCGTCAGGCATGCTGACGGATACTAGGTCTACGGGTTCGAGAAACCAAGGAGGTCTACGAAGGAGAGGTGACTGAGTTGACGCCGGAGGAGTCTGAGAATCCCTTGGGTGGCTATGGCCGCACAATCAGCCACCTCTTGATCGGCCTCAAGTCATATCGAGGTACCAAGAAGCTCCGCCTCGACCCGAGCATTTACGAGGCGATCCAAAAGGAGCGCGTCACCGTTGGTGATGTCATCTATATTGAAGCCAACACTGGAGCCGTCAAGCGCGTTGGTCGGTCAGACGCGTACGCTACAGAGTTTGACCTTGAGGCCGAGGAATATGTGCCGATCCCCAAGGGCGATGTACACAAGAAAAAGGAAATTGTGCAGGATGTGACATTGCATGATCTCGATGTAGCAAACGCCCGCCCACAGGGAGGACAAGACATCATGAGCATGATGGGCCAGCTTATGAAGCCCAAGAAGACGGAAATTACGGACAAGCTGCGACAGGAGATTAACAAAGTCGTCAACCGGTACATCGACCAGGGTGTGGCCGAGCTCGTGCCTGGTGTCCTATTCATTGATGAAGTAAGTATTTCGTGCTGATATCTACGGCAAGTTTCCCCCCCTGCTTTTTCTGACTTTGATTCTAGGTGCACATGCTCGATATTGAGTGCTTTACATATCTCAATCGTGCTCTCGAGTCGACCATCTCACCTATTGTTATCCTCGCCTCAAATCGGGGTAAATGCACCATTCGCGGCACCGAGGACATCGTCGCTGCTCATGGCGTTCCTCCGGACCTCCTCGCCCGTCTGCTCATCATCCCTACAAACGCTTACGACCCCGAGGAAGTCAAGATGATTATTCGTCTCCGTGCACGTACCGAAAACCTCTCCCTCTCCGAGGCTGCCTTGGAGAAAATTTCCGAGCACGGTGTCCGTATCAGTCTGCGGTACGCGCTGCAGTTGTTGACTCCGGCAAGCATCCTGTCTCGGGTCAACGGACGCAAGGAGATTGATGTGTCCGATGTAGCGGAGTGTGAGGATCTCTTCATCGACGCGAGAAGAAGTGCCAACATTGTCAGTCATGCTGACACGTTCATCTCGTGATTCCATTCTGGTTTCTACTAAGAACGAAGGGGATTGGGTTGCTTACTTTCTTTTTCATGTTACTTCCAAAAATGGGGATCTGAATGTTCAAGAGGCCGACAACGGCACTATTCTTCTCGAGGCGTTTGGTTTGTAATGCACGTATCTATCAGTTCATATCAGATTAGACGCTAGAATTGAGCGTTGTTTAGGTGGTTTAAGAATTTACAGTCGTAGATTGTGTGAATGAGATGCGACAAAGCATGAAAAGTATGTTGAAATGAATCAAGCTTTGCCAGCTATCTCGAAACAGTAGTGTAGCAGTGCATGAAGAAATTGGTTTGTCAGTGGATCGTGGGTTTGGTTTTATGTTGTTGTGAGTTCTGCAGTGCTGCGACTACGGGGTACTTTGAAGTTTGCCGATTTCCATTTTAGCTGCGACTTTCGGAGAGACAGAACTCCCCGCTATACATCACAAAATCCACCCCACTAAACTTTACCACCTCCGACATCCTTCCGTTACCTCCATGTGCTAAACCAACGAACCGACATTCAATTGCCTGTCAGCCGGCTAGATCCTCCTTCAAATCTACCTCCTTTACCAGCTGCAACTTCTCTCATCATGGCCGGTACTCCCCGTCTTACCGTCCTCATCTCCGGCAACGGAACGAACCTTCAAGCTCTTATCGACAAGGTTTCAGCCAAAGAACTTTCTCCGCCAACCACTACTATTGTGCGTGTTATTTCTAATCGCAAAGACGCATTTGGTCTCGAGCGTGCCCGCCATGCGAACATTCCCACCCTATATCACAACCTGGTGTCCTACAAGAAGAAACAACCTGCCACGCCCGAGGGCATTCAGGTTGCTCGTGAAGAGTACGATGCTGAGCTCGCGCGCCTTGTCCTGGCCGATAAGCCGGACCTTGTAGTTTGCCTGGGTTTCTTGCATGTGCTGTCGCCAAGATTCTTGGATCCCCTGGAGCGGGAGGGTTTGCGGATAATTAATTTGCATCCAGCATTGCCTGGAGCTTTCTCTGGCGCTGTGAGTATCACCGTACCTTTGCTGGGATCAGGATCTCGCCCTCATTGCCTACTTGGTTGCATTGGGCAAAGGCCAGCTTCTAGCCCGTCTTTATAAAACAGACGATCCCTGCTGGAATTGAATGCATATGCTAATTAAATACTTCTACGCAGAATGCTATTGAGCGTGCACACGACGCTTGGATGCAAGGCGAAATCGATAAGACCGGCGTCATGATTCACAATGTCATTTCCGAAGTCGACATGGGCAAACCCATCTTGGTTCGCGAAATCCCATTCATCAAGGGCCAGGATGAGGACGTGCATAAGTTGGAGCAACGCATTCATGAAATTGAATGGGGAGCGGTAATTGAGGGCACGCAGATTGCGATTAACAATGTTCTAGCGCAGAAGGGAGAGACTCCGGCATAGACTTATTGGCTATCATGCAATTGGGTTTTTCAATCCCGGAACAGTGAAGCAAAGCTTTGACGGAATCTATGCATCAAAGATACTGGACCAGAAATGTCATTGAGATTTGGATGGCGGGCTGCGGAAATATCACGTAGCTCTTTCGAAGGACAAGAGGCAAGGGCAAGATTAGGATATATACCCATGACTTGCGCGTTTTAAAGTTTTTTAACGGGAGTCTACCAGAAAAGTTATCTAAAAGTTTAGAATTTTGAATATAAGAATATTAGATTTAAAGTTTACAAAGGACAGAACCTTTATGAATTAATTAGAGGATGACTGGGTGTTTTGACGGTCTACTCTGTATCAGTTACTATTCCAATACTACGGCGAGATTTACAGTAAGACCTGAAGACCTTTGCTAGCCGGCCGAACCCTTCGCTATAGCCATCCTCGTTGCGTCGCATGTCGTTATCGCTTGCAGGGCTCTTATCGGTGGTTAGAACGGCCCGCTCGCTGTACTGCCCTGCTTAACCACCAACACCACCCCGCCATTACTCTACCTTTCTCTGTCCACGCCTTTTACGCTTTACGAACCACGACTGGAGCAGCTGGCTGCTTCTACCAATTGTGCTTTGCCATTGCTAGAAACTCCTCGAGCAGTCTATCCTTCCGACCCAAAGACTCAACACAGGGGAAATCCGAAACAAAAGCAGTTAAACCACATTAGTTTGTCGGCATATTAGGTGGAGCTATCTTTAAGGACGCATCAATCGCAGAGCTCTGTTTACACAACGACGGTCCCATAACGGAAGAGCAGCCGAAGCAAGATGACGGGACAACTGCAGTCTCAGACAACATCAATACCTAAAACTGGCGGATCGAGCCAAGAACAGCAGCAGCGTCTCCAACAAAAGCAGCCCCACACCGTCATTGTGGGTATAAGCGGATGTTCGTCCAGCGGAAAAACGACATTAAGTCGGTACCTCCGTGATCTGTTTCCAGACGTATTTATCTTGCATGAGGATGATTTCTATAGACCAGAGGAGCAGTACGTTTTCGTTCTAGCCCAACACTCATAACCTCCTTGTCCACCAAATCCTTCTTATCCAGAATGCTAATTACTCTCTGCTAGACTCCCATTCAAAGCTGGACTTCGTGATTGGGATTGCGCCGCGTCTATTGACATTCCCGCATTCGTATCCGCGCTCGAATATATTCACGCGCACGGCAGTCCACCGCCTGATCTCGAGTCCAAAGAAGACCAAAACGATGTCGGCCCCAGCCATGTCCCTGAGGAAACGATGAAACGCTTGAAGAATATGGTGAAGAAGTGGACAGATTCATTCCGAACGGATGCTCCAAACATGTCTTCTTCTTCTTCTTCTTCTTCTCCCCGTGAAGACGGAGAAAGGGAAGGTGAAAGAAAACAAAATCTTGGTCCATCGCAAAGTCCACCCCGTATCGCTCTAGTTGACGGCTTCCTCCTGTATGGCAGCTCCGTACGCGACACTCTTCTCCCGCATTTCGACATCAAGCTCCTAACTCGTGCCCCTTACTCCCGCGCCAAAGCCCGTCGCGAGGCTCGCTCAGGCTACGTCACGCTTGAAGGATTCTGGGAAGACCCACCAGGCTACGTGGATGATGTGGTTTGGCCGAATTATGTCGACGATCACGCGTACTTGTTTGCACAGGGAGATGTGGAGGGCCAAGTTAACAAATCTACGGCGAGCGAGTTGGGGGTGTATGTTACCCCAGAATTGGATATGCAGATGGGAGAGATGCTTGAGTGGGCCATCGAGGTGATTACGCGCACGGTGAGATAGTTGACTGATTTTACTAAAGGAGTTTTGTGGTGTAAGGTAGGCTTCGTCTGTTGCTTGATGATGGTGCGCGAGTGGAGAATAACACCCGAGAAGCCGCCGCGAGAGAAATGGAATATGATATGAAATGAGTATAGATATAGATATAGATGCGTATATGACATTCGAGCACGGCATCATATAGTACATAGTGTGCTTAGCATAGACTTGAAACTAAATGATAAAAAGAGATAATCCGCAAAGTAGGGTATACGCTGATAACAGTTGACATTTTTAAACGCCAGCGACAGATTCAGAAAAGAGCTTAATCCCGACTTCTTCTTCACGTTGGTGTTTGTATTGCTGTAGATATCTTGACAATGGTATCCTGCACTAATTTTCTCAGCTCGGAAATACACTCGACAAAATCCTCAACATGGACTTTTCCGCCCGTCACGCTGTCCAGCCATGTCGATAGCGCGGCGGTATGCTGTTCATGCCGTTGATGCTGGGTTTCCGGGCTTTCTTGTTGCTTTTCCTGTTGATCCCGGTTTACTCCTTGATCGAAATGTTCCACTACGGCCTGACGTCCGTCTTGATCCCGGTGTGCTTCTACCGATGGTGACGGTAAGGTAGATGATAGACTTGATTTCAAAGGGGACGGATCATTGGAGCCTGAGACAGGAGATGCAGGAGGTTGAATAGGCACGACAGGCTGTAAGCCACGTTCTTCGAGAGTGGTATAGATGCAGGCAGCGGCAATCGTGCGCGCGGGAAAAAAGTTGGACAGATGATATGAGCGGCATCTGTCCGAAGAAAGAGTTGTTAGTTTTTGGCTTGACGGACCCAAGTCATATGAAATGGATACATACGCATCAACAGCTCTAGCGGTACATGCCCGCGCAACAGCTGTCTCCATGAGATCTACCATGCGGTATTCGTCACGGTACTCTTGGCCTATGGCCTCATACGGTCCATCCAGACAGCTCTGCCACGGACCCGACGGGATGTTCACTTCCCCGACAGTTCGGTCAAGATAGCGGGGGACGAAGTGTAGTGGAAGCGATACTCGTAGATCGAATTGAAGCACGCGCAAAAGTATGAGCTCGGCCTGTACTACCGTTGCGCGCACAGAATCGTACAGTGGCGAGGGGAACGTCAATGGTTTTACGGGAACCTCGTGCGCGTGCAGGAGACGCCATGCGGGCAGTAGAAATTCGCGAAGACGCCGTGTTGCCTCGGTTGTTTTGGATGCGAGGTTGAGACTTGCCAGGGAGAGAGTCTGGATGTTTATTCATGCTTTAGTTTCTTGTTTGTATGCGGAATTGGTGGTCCAAGGGGAGAAGAAGAAGAAGAAAAAAAAGAGAGGAGGGAGACAATAGGGAAAGGTGACGTACATGAGGGTCGAGAATGGGAACGTGCATGTCATTTTCTTGGTTGATGGAGTTGCAGAAGCGCTGGTATTTGTTGATATATATGAATGACATGGCGAGTGTTTCTTCTGGCCTGAGCATAGAATGATAATGTTAGTTGGCTGTGAGGCCAAAGAGGGAAAAGCTATATAGGTAGGTCTAAGCTTACAGGCGCAGAATGTCTGCCATGAGACTGCTGAATGCGAGTGCGCTGGTGGGCCGCGGTATAGGAGGTGTCCAGTCTGGCATGATGAGTGCAGTATGAAAGCGTAGTGAAATATGTCAATTGAGCTGGATATGTAGGATATTGTTCTTCTGGAGAGTTGAATCAACAATGCGACAATCTAAGGCGGTGAATGAAATTGACCAATTAGCGAATGCGGAGATAGCGAGTTCCATGTCCGATAGTGGGAGCGAGGCTACCAAGTTTATTCTTATTTCATCTCGAGCTCCTTTGACTCAACTTCAAATGGAGAATTGAAATCACCTTCCGGAGATCTCCTTTATTTACCTGTGGAGCTCGTTAGCATTTCATTGAAACGTCATCTCATTTATGCGTCGTTGACGAACCCTTCCCCCTCGGCGGTGGCTCCCTGCCCGCTGGCCTTTCCCGCTTGCTCCTCGACTCTAGAGAATGCTCAGTTCATTCCTTTTGACTTTGCTTTGATAGCTGGATGAGCAATCCGGATGAATTAGCGTTTCAGAATGGCTCATCGTTCTGTTGACTCTTTTCTTAACCACGGCAACACTCCCATCACTCCGGCTGACGAAACCCGTAGTCCGGTAAGCTTACGATTTATCACACTCGTAATGTTTATGCTGACGGCTCTTTCTTAAAAGTCCTCCGAGAGACTTCAGGTATTCACCGACTCATATGCCTCGAATCGTTCCAGCCGCTCTTCGTCTGTTTCTTCTGTCATAGCATGCCCGCCGCCTCGGAAACTTTCCACCGCGCAAAGTATTCTCGACGACTTGACCAACTATGTAGCAGCGGGATCCATTAGGATTGGCGGCGAAGATAATCCAATAAATTTCAAAAAAGAAGGGTCTCTAGAGCTACTCGCTCAGGGTGAAAATGCCGCCTCGGTATTCATCGAATATCCCTTTCTCAAGCAACTTCTGGCAGCGTCCTGGGTACGAGCATTCCTCTTGCAAAACAGGAAACACCCAGATTACGGATCGATACGTTGCTATATTTTGGCAGAAGATGTTGGCAGAGGCCATTTGAGACGGACGGACAAGAATCTGCGCAAGGCTTTGAGGACAATTCTTGCGCATCTTGATGTGGCACCTGAAGCTTGGAACGCCGGTTACGAACTGGATACGCAAGCAAGACCGATGCTGAGTGATGCTCAGCCAGATGCATCATTGTCGTCTCTCTTCTATCTCTACAATACACTGAAATCTCCGGATCCGAGTCCCGAAAACGTGCCGGTCAGGCACACAAGGTCTGCGATGGAGACCTTGCTGGACCCAAATGACGCACCAGATGGCCTGAAAACAACGCTCTATCCCTACCAAAGGAGATCGGCAGCTATGATGCTTCAAAAAGAGGCCGCACCCACTCTTCAGCTTGATCCCCGTTTACGTCAAATGGCCGGCCTTGATGGGAGGACGTTCTATTTCGACCAGGAAACGATGGGAGTTTTGCAACATCCAAGGTTGTACGAAGAGGCCAGAGGAGGAATCCTGGCTGAGACCATGGGCCTAGGGTGAGAGCAATGCTTTTTAGCACTCTCCCATCGAAGCATGCCGCTAATGTGTATAGTAAAACGCTCATTTGCCTCGCTGTCATTCTAGCAAGTAAAGGACATTGGCCGCGTATACCCGCAGAATATTCAACTGGATTGCTTCCGCGTCGGGAGAAGGTTGGTTCTCTCCTCGACATGGCAGCCAGTACGATTGGAAGATATTCAATCCCCTGGAAACCACATTTCGGGGCTCTGACAGAGGCTGGTGAAGACCACAGCCGATGCATCGAACTCCTCAAAAAGAATGTCGGACGATACGAAATCCCTGGAGCACCTCCTCGAAGCTTGCGTGCCACAGCCATGCCAAAGAGCCGGCCGATACGGCTTTCTACCGCCACTATCGTCATTGTCCCTGCCAATTTAGTCAATCAGTGGTTAGATGAAATCAAAAAGCATACAAAGGATGGGAGCCTGAAAATGCTTGTGATGGACAGCCTTAAGAAGGAACTTCCTGGTGCCGAGGCCTTGGCTGATTTTGATGTGATTCTGTTTTCGAAGCCTCGTTGGGAACGAGAAGTCCGCGATGGAGAGGACAGCAAAGGCCGTCGGGCTCCCCAGGGAATGCAGCTGTCCTGTGCTTGCCCTTATATTGGCGCTACACGTCAGAGAGACTGCAGTTGCTTCAGAGACGTCGAGATTTATTCATCGCCGCTAAAGCAGATCCACTGGTTACGGATCATTGTCGACGAAGGCCATAGCTTTGCGTCTTCTGGTTCCAAGTCCAATGCAGTCCTGGTTGCCGGCGAGCTTCAGACTGATTCTCGGTGGGTCATTAGCGGAACTCCGACAAAAGGATTGATGGGTGTTGAAGTCGAATTGGCGGCTAGTGAGCACCAAAAGGTTGAATGGGAGGAACGGGATAACTTGAGCCCAAAGACGCGAAGAAAGGCTTTGGAATCGCGCAAGTCTGGCGCCGACTGGCTTCAGGAGAAGAAGGACGTTGAAAAATTAGGTCGCATCGCGGTTGACTATCTCAAACTCCGGCCATGGGCAAATGTCTGGCCAATTGAACCCACGGCGCCGGCATGGATGTGGCATATGTATCGACCTGCCGCTGCCGGCCAATTTGCTGGGTATTCTGAATGCCTCAAACGTACTCTAAAGGGATTGATAGTGAAACACCGTGCAGAGGATTTTGAAATCGACGTACAGTTACCTCCGCTCTATAATCAATTAGTCTACCTGGAGCCAGCATTTTTCGATCGTCTTTCCATTAATCTCTTCTTAGCAGTACTGACGACTAATGCTGTTACTTCGGAGCGCGAAGATACAGACTACTTATGGCATCCAAGAAACAGGAAGTCACTCAACACGCTGGTCTCGAATTTGCGCCAAAGCGGCTTCTTCTGGACCGGCTTCAGCGAAAAAGATGTGTCCGAGGCGCTCAAGCACGCTGAAAATTACCTCGAAAGCAAAGGGGACCAATGCCCCGAGCGAGATCGCAACGCCTTGACCAAAGCATTAGCCGTAGCAAAGATGGCTCTTCAGTCTTCGGGATGGCTCGCGTTTAGTCAATTTCATGAGCTGGGATTGTTTGTCGAGAAATGGCCTGAAGAACATGCAGCTGCATGGGCGCTCGATGCCCGCGCTACGATACCTATGGTTGTCGGTCTTACACAACTCATCAAGGCGCAAAAATACGTCAATAACCAGCTATATGCCTCTGACCCGAGCACTGGTCTGTCGGCAGCTGGCAAGTCTGCAATGGAAGCGGCTTTCGATCACGCCAGGACTCACAACAAAGACAGTGGAACCAAAGACAAGGGAATTAGCACGTCTAGCTCTCTACAAGAGGCTCCACCAACTCCCAAGAAGAAACACAAATGGTGGAAAGAACGTGGTCGGACACCAAATCCAGTCGAGTCAGTCGCGACGAATGGTCTTAAGTCCGCTCTCAAGAGACCATCTGCGCCAGTCATGTGTCCTGCACTTCCACCTGACTCACCTCTTGCTCAAGCTTCGATTACAGGCACTGCCTCCGCCAAGTTGAGTTATCTCCTAGACAAGATTCTCTCGCTTTACCGGAGTGAGAAGATTCTTGTCTTTTACGAAGGAGAAGACATTGCCGTATGTCCACTCGATCTTTACCATCCGAGTAGTATCAAAGTAGGCTAACGGTTCATAGTATTATATTGCGCAAGCTCTGGAAGTAGTCGACATTCAGTACCTCATCTACGCCAAATCGCTCTCCACTGAACGTCGTTCGTCTTACGTTGTCACTTTTAACACGACTGAAACATTCCGAGTCCTCCTCATGGACGTTAATCAGGCATCACACGGACTCAACATGTCTTCGGCCAGCAGAGTGTTTTTTGTCAATGCCATCTGGCAGCCCAACGTCGAAGCACAAGCCATCAAGCGTGCCCATCGTATTGGCCAGACGAGACCAGTCTACGTCGAGACCCTAGTACTCAAAGGCACAATCGAGGACCAAATGCTGCAGCGCCGAAAATCTATGACGAACCAAGAACTTCAAAAAGCCGAGAAAAGTCTCCTAGATGACAACGGCATGACATCCATCATCCAACACGCAGAATTCCTTCCGCTTTCTCCAGAGGAAATGCAAGGTCCGGCTCAGATGGCACCTCTCAAACACCCCCAGCAGGTCTTTGCCCGTCCGACGCGCTGTGGGGTTTTGAATGACGATCCTGACGCTGGCCTCATTGGCATATCCACCGCAGGAAAGCCAAAAAAGCGCAGAACAAATCTACAAGCTGGCTTTGCTCTTCCCACAGATCCCTGTGTCAACGCAAGTGGAGAGGCAAACAACAACAGCAGCAGCAGTAGCAGAATGAGTAGTCCTGCCTTACCACCGCAGCGGAGCGTCGCATTTGATACTTCAGCCGCAGACGAGATTCGAGCTGCAGGCGGAATCATCATGGAGCCGCCGCGAGCAAGATCGTCACCAATCAAACCGAAGCCAAAGAAGGTGGCCAGATTCCTCATTGACGATGACGATGACACCGAGCAAAAGTCATCACAGACTACTCCTTCGGGAACGAGCCCAGCGACTACCAAGTCCCGTCCCAGCGTCAACTTCTCCATGGAGGGTGTGGAGTATACTTCTGCTCCTGAGTCAAAACCCGTCTCATCCCCGCTCCCTCCGACGGCCGCCAAAGCCACTTCTCTCAACGGTCCTGATATTGATAATATTCACCACGGATCAACCAATACCACCCCCACCGCCGTCCATTACGACTTGTCAAATAACCCTGCTCTTCGTCTCCACTATCCGGACAGCCCTCCCGACGCACATCATCACTCCACTTTCTCTACTTTTGCAGTTCCGCCACAATCATCATCATTCTCCCAGCATAATACTACTAATGACCACCGTTCTCCGCCCCCATCGACATCGTTTTCTCTCGGGTTCTTACACCCTTTTCCACGCCCTCCTGCTTCTCCGCTTTCTGCGTCGGGAAGCACAACTGCCACCGAAACTCCTCCTGTTTCTTATTCTCCTCTCTCCTCTTCTTCTCTTCCTGCTTCTGGTTCTCGTTCTCCCGCGGGACGTAATACTACTTCTCCACACGGACAGACTCCAGACGCATCATCAAGCGCGAATATCAATCCCAATGAGCCAGCGCGTTCAGCGACTAATATCCCTCCCCCTTCTTTTTCTCCTACCACTACCGCCACCGCCACCGCCACCGCTACCGCCGAAAATACTACACACGAGCAGAAACAAGAACAAGAGCCACTTCGCAGACAGTCTTTGTTTGGCGGAATATCTCTTCCTCCTGTGCCGGTTTATCGTCGGCCGTTCTAAGACCCTTATCTTTTTTTTTTATCCCCGCGACATATCTCATCGTCCCCCATAGTTCATTCTCTCTTTCATCCTTGTCGTATTTCGTCTCTTCCATCTAGCGTTTCTGAAATGACACTTTACACTTTGCAAAGTAATACCCGAGGCGTGAGGGATCCATGACACTTGTTCTTACCGGAGTTACGTGGATAACTGGAGGGCTCGGGCTCGGGCTCAGGCGGACGAAAATTTACAGTTTCTTTTCTTTTCTTTTTTTTTTTTTTTAATGGAATCATCTTCGGCGCGGTTGATGGAATCATCTGGGGCGCGGTCAAATGGAAATAACGAGATATTATGAACAGCCACGTTGTATCTAAAATGAATCTTTCTTTCTCCTTTTGCTTATCAATTTATGTAAAAACGCGTAAACGCGTAGTTGATACTATCGAATTTGTGTCTGCGTATAGCGGGTCTCGCGAGCAGCAGGAGATTACTTCAACGAGGCGGAGAAGAAGAAGAAGAAGAAGAAGAAGAAGAAGAAGAAGAAGTAAGGCAGTTGGGAACGATGCTGATCTCTGGATTTGACTCTGTACACTTGGCACACAAGACCTATAGATCGTTATAACCCGTAACGGCTTGCTCGGATCTCAGATTCTTTCCACAGTGAAGCTGATATTGGATTCCGCTGTAGGATACTATAGGAACCGGTGAATTTTGCGTGCATCTAGGATATACGATCTTGCACATTTGGTTCATGCGCTGCACCCCGCTCTGCTGGAAGCCCTCTTTTGGTGTGCATCGTCCTGGAGACAAGTTCTGAGTGTTGAGCCTCCCACCATCATCATCATCTCAAGTTTTCCTTTTCCGCTTTTCCTTCATCCACAAAGGAAGAACAGAACAAACACCCCACCCCTCCTACCTTCCACCTTGAACTTGAAAGAAGCTTCAACACGTTTGCAGTTCTTCCCCTCTTACGTGTATCTTTCTTTCTTTTTTCTTTTTTCCCCACAGCTTAGCTCGGAAGAGCCTGAATCTTTCACGATGGAGTGGAAATCGAATGTACTCTTGCTTCTTGCAATCGTCTTCGTCCACGTTCCTGTCCACGTGTATGGCTGGATGAGAGGTTGGCTTGAAGCGCGTCGTCAGAAAAGGTCCATGGTTCGGAACAGGTACGAGCTTTTCTCAAGACACCCTTATTCTGTGGCTTTTGCGTAGAGAAAGAGAAAAAGAAAGATGATGGCGGATGCGGATGCGGATGCGGAGCTAACGCTGCATACAGCGAGAATGGTTTCAACTTTCGCGGTCTTCCTCCTGAGATCCGAAACATGATCTATGAATTGGTTCTGGTTGTCGACGAGGTGCACTTTTTTAACCGCCACAGCAGATCTGATTACATGATCGTCAGACGAGTGTCTCCTGACGGCGAAAGAGTAGGGGTTGCGCGGCCTCTGCATCTAGGATACAACATATCCCAACACGTCTTCGTCCTTGGCCAACATAATCGTTCCACATTTACGCCGGCTCTCTTGCGGACTAATAGGGCGACATATCTTGAAGCGATCACGGTTTTGTACCGTGAAAATTATTTTATTTTTAGGCCGACTGTAGACAACCAAGCGTTTTCTTTTCTGGAAACAGACTTGCTTGCAGGATGCCGAGTTGGCGACCTCGTCAGATACATGTGTATCATATATGACTCTGACCCGAGATATCATGAATCAAGCAGACCTGGATGGATCAACATCTGCAGTTTTCTCGCCCGCAATTTCCCGAACGCTAGACTCCGCACATTAAGATTCCTCATGAGAAAGAGGGCTGCGGGCCGCGGCAGAGTTAGATTGCAAATCCGTAGTTTACGGGACCTCCGGGTGCATCTTCAAATGGTGGACCGGCTGGAATTCGCCTGGGAAGCCATGCTTATGTCAAGAGACCACGGCTATGTGTACCGAGTTGAGTACTGGGAGTAAACCATGGCTCCTCACCCAGCAACCTTCGGCAGCCACTAAGTGGGATTGATGAGACAGAGAATGGTCCGCAATCCAATGCGCCATCATGAGAGATTTCCACCGAATCATGTCCGTAATGGTGGCACTTCGGCTCAATGGGAGAGTGACGACTTTTATACTCCGCTGCAGGAGGATTATGAAAACAACTTTTTCGTGAGATTTGTAGATTAGTCAATTAGACTAGTCAGCTAGACAGATGGACCAGTTGCTCCAGGCCGCTGAACACTTCTGCGCCAACTGTCTCTTCTGCGCCTGGCTTGTTAAATTTGCCGTAGCGGAGGTCGCTCAAGTTGTCAACCACATTTCTAATGTCTGACAGCAGGAGATTGGCTTCACTATCAAGCTCGTCATTCTCTGCTTGCATATCCTGGCAGGCTTTCTCCATGCTTTCAATAAGTTCCGGTAGACCTTGAGGCTCTTTTGCCGGAAATTTTGCTAGCATGCCATTCATCTTTTTCCCTTTAATGTTAACTCACTCCTCTAATAGTGTTTCTTCATCTGTCGTTGAGCAACCTACTTCACGTTCAATTCTAATATCAAGCTCATTCTCAGTAGCAAAGCTCTCCTGCTCAAATTGCTTTCTTGATCGCACTACTTCTCTGCGCTGCTTTTCGCCTCTCCGGACTTCTGCCGCAATACTCTTCTTGACTTCGTCTATTTGCAGAGCCCTTTGATGTTGTAGTTCTCGATAGAGCAGCTTGACATGTGGATGAGATTGTAAAGCGCGGGGAAAGAGGTCAGTAAACTTCTTCAAAGAAATGATTGACGGAAACGACGCAGGCGGAAGAAGAAAATTGCCCAGAATAGAAGCCTCAGTTGGAGCCATGGTGATAGGAAATAACGCGTATTAACTTTGCTTAGACGAGAGAGTCCATGCAATTGCTCGCTGGAAATCACCTTTACACAGGAGAGGATGCACCTTGATACACGGCTAGATATGATTGACAATGTTAAAATAACACGATAACCCGCGACAGCAATGAAACAAAATCAACATGAAAAGTGCTTTGGATGAGAAGAGGTGTGGAGTGTGAGAACGCGTTGTTGCTTGAAGGCAGTGATTCTACGGCAACTCACAGGCCCCAAGCGAGCAGTCGCGAATCCCTTGACCTTCTTGGTCGTGCAGGCTCAGTCTCCCATGTCTCTTCTCCCATTTACAAACAATTTCAAACATCACATCACCTAAATTTTCAATTCTCTTTTTGTCGTTTCCATCTTTGATATCCAAGTTGCTGAATTAATAATTTCTTCCAAATAATCTCTGCCGAAATGGCTCCGACGTCGTCCCAGCCGGCATATGCAAAAGAGGAAAGGGTTCTATGCTTCCATCACGAGCTCCTATATGAAGCCAAAGTACTTGATTCAAGAACAGCAGATCCTAATGACAAGAAGAGTCCTCTGCAGTATCGCGTTCACTACAAAGGATGGAAAAACACGTAAGTATAGCTCTACTCGTAATTTATTCTGCGATGGAAGATTCGGTCAAGGTCACGGGTTTCTTGCTTCAGTCGTTTCATGTTGGCTGCTTCTCTGAGTTCTCATGTCTTTCTTCGTCTCTACGTTTCTTGCATCTCATATTTTACGATTCAGTATGCTTTCAAAGCTACTTCTCCTGTTTCTGTTTGACATCTCGGCATACACACATCCTGTTGCCATCACATTGCCCAAGGGACTAACACCTTCCTCCCAATCAGGTGGGACGACTGGGTTCCCCAGGACCGCCTTCGTAAGTTCACCGATGAAAACAAAGAACTTGCGGCAAATTTGAAGAAAGAATTGGCCCGCAGCCAGCAGCAAAAGGTTTCCAATGTTCCGAGCAAGAAGAAAGCCGCCAGTTCCGACTTCAGCTCCGCCAGAGGCAGTGAAGAGCGTCATTCATCGGTCCAGGCCACCACTGCTCCGCGTGGACAGAAAAGAGGTCGGGACTACGAGATTGAAAAGGTTTGTGCAAATTGCAATTTGTTGACGTTATTGTTTTTCTAGCCGCAAAGAAGAAGAAAAAGCAGCCCCGCAAGTCGGAAGGTAGTGGGAAAGTCTCTGCTCAAGACGGTGAGAGATCAGTACCTTCTTCAAAGCAACCCCCAGTCATTTCAAATAACCCCAAAACTGTTTCTGCAAAGTCTCTTCGTTGTTTGCGTTCCACTGCTGCTGCCATGCGAGGGAATGAAAAAGGTACCGTGGGAGACCAGGGTGCTTTGACAGCTGAGGACATTCTGGCAAACTCCCCGCCTTTGGACCCTCGTGACAAGCCAATGCTACGTTCAATCCCAGAATTCCACCCTAGTAGTCTTCCAGAGCTTCATCATCAATTTGTCAAACTCAACCTCGAAGATCCTCACAATGAAGCGAAGCGTCAATTCTTCGCCGAGCAGGATTCTTCTCTTACACTCATGATTGCTGGTTATTCAAAGGGAAACAGCTTGCACCCGCTCACACAAAAATCTAAAAAACAGGAAGAGGTTTTCCACTCGCGTCCATCCGTCCGCCTCGTTATCCCCGACCACCTTAAAGCCATCCTCGTCGACGACTGGGAGAATGTAACGAAGAATTTGCAGCTCGTCCCCCTTCCCGCCAAGTTTCCAGTCAACAAGATTCTCGACGCCTACTTCGATGATGAAAAGGGCAAGCGCCGACTCGGAAGTGCCGAAGCCGACATCCTGGAGGAGGTCGTTCAAGGCGTCAAAGAGTATTTCGACAAATGTCTAGGAAGAATCCTCTTGTACCGTTTCGAACGCGAGCAATTTTTCGAGATTCGCCAACTCTGGGAAAATGGTACCGGGGAGTGGGAAGGAAAAGGCGCAGGCGATGTATATGGTGCTGAGCATCTTTGCAGACTTTTCGGTGAGTGTCTCTGGCTCGCATTACTCTTCCGTATCATCGCTACCGCCTTCAAATGGAGAGCCTACTAACCCTATTTACAAAGTCTCCATGCCTGAACTCATCGCCCAAACAAACATGGATCAACAATCCGTCAATCGTCTCCGCGAGGAGCTTGCCAAAATGACACAGTGGCTCGCCAAAAATTCATCTCGCTATTTCGCGGCTGGCTATGAGAGCGCCACACAAGATTACATTGAGAAAGCACGAGGCTTGACCGGCTAAGCTCTGAGTGAATTTTATTACGGCGTTGAGGGGGGAACCAAATGCAAATCCTACCCAACGTTTGATTTCAGTCTCTAGGCTCCACCGCAGTCTGGGCGAGGCTTTTGCTGCTTTTCATCGATTGGACAGATCAACGTCAGACCCACAGACATTTGCGTCGGTATTTTCTCTTTTACAATGCGTCTGAAATTTCGCCCGGCTTTTTTCCTGACTGATCCGCATTTGATTGGGCGTCGCATGGCACTGGTTCCGGGCCTTGGCTGGTCATTTTTTTGACATTCAAATATCTGCGAAACTTTCAACAACTGGCGTAGGACGGCGCTATTGGTCAATATCGAGGCACTTTGTCTTTAATTTTTCCTCCTTCCCATTTCTTGTGCCTTCTCCTACTTATTCTTTTTCTTCTGAATATCTGGATCAAAATTGATCCCGCATGCTCTGTATCTAGCCGCGCATTGAGTATGCGTCTAGGGAATTTCTGCTTTACGTTCTCTTGATACGATGACATTCAAATCAGTACGGGAATTTGATACACCTAGATTGATTCTTAACTATAAATTTCCTCAAGTGCTTTTCCTTTTCTCGTATTCATTTCCACGGGCAGAAAATCATATTTCGGCGTCCTGCGTCCTACGTGCCGTGTGCCTCGAGTCTCAATTGAATATTGCCCTTTTTTTCTGTCCTTTATAGCATGCATGACTACTTGTGAATTTTCCAAGGTGCACTGCGTGGATATTGATTCAATAGGATGAGATAAATTCAATCTACTCCGCTCTGTCCACTACTTCTGCCATATATGTGTCTTGGGATTAATGTCGGAAGCCAGCACCAATTACATGTCAGCCCTTTTCCCCTTCAATCGCTTGTAGGTAGGTATATATTATTGAATACCAACATATTCTAATACATGCGACCATAGACTGAGGAGAACTGGGCATCCCGTCCGCTCTGCCATACATAAGCCTCAGATCGGCGGACTAGTAGTTGGGTCGGTGACGACCAGCGAATCCCCGCTGTTGCATGTTGTTTTCTTTTTTTCCTTTTTTTTTCCCCTTCATCCCTGTTTCTCCAAACTTATTTCAGCACTGCTTAGTTTTGTAAGTTATAAAAAAACACAAACCTTCGGTATACTTTTTGTCTTCCTGCACTTTTCTTGCTTCCAATGAATCAGAAATTTTCCTGTATCCTGAACCCGATAAGCATAATACTACTTATTGTCAAACAAGGCAATATAGAAAAGAGAGGTTTCTACTGATGTTCAAATTTACATTGAAGATGAATAAAAGCATGCAATAGTGCACGGAGTTGCTATGATTGATACTTCGAGCTGACGGTTTGATAATAAATCTCAAGATGTTCTATTCGATATACTAAGATTCTCTACTAAAATTTATTTACGAGCAAAGACCGAACATCGGACACAGCCGTCCGAGCAGCTTGCTTGAGCACGAGGCGATGTTCAGCCTCTCTATATTTATTCCACGAATCCAATCCGTCTCTGGTCTGAAACGAGAGGGTGTCGTAACCTTGGCGAATCATCTTGGTCACTTCTCTTGGACTGAAGTCTTTACCACGACCTTTTGCCTTTTCAGACTCCAGGAGGGTGTGATAATGCTTTGTGACGCCTATCAGTGTCTCGATGGAGTTTGTCGCTGCACGCTTTGATAGATCGTGAGCGGTTTGGAATCGTGTTACAGTATCGCCGCTTTCGACGAGTTTGTAAAAGAGATCATCGTAGGAGGCGGCGTCGGGAAGGAAGGCCTCGCCAGCGGATATGGAGAAGGCAAGAACATTGACGAGAGAGTCGAGGAGGATCTGGAAGTCTGGAAGAGTTTTGAAATCATCGGCATAACTTGTGAGGAAGCGCATCAGGTTTAGGAGAGAGCGCCATAGTTCGGACCAATGATATGCTGACACGACATTTATTAGAAATCATGTTCTTGTCGAATATGACGTCGGATTCTAAGTACTTACATAGTCGAACGCGTGATCTACTAAGAAAAGAGACCATCCGAAGAAGAATACCGATACAGGCGCTGTTCCCGTGAGAAAGTGAATGCAGAGAAGAGGGCTGCAAAGACTTACAGATAGAGAGCGACATCGAGTCGACGTCGCAGATTGTGATTGATTGAATCGACCACAATGTCCAGTATCACTGTCGCTTGGATACGTTCGCCTGGAATTAATGGTAAATAAGGTTGCCTCTGACGGCATAATCGGACGTAAGATTTGCTCTCGTCACTGCAAATCCGCTTGCAAAGGACTGGGTCTTCGATAATTATTCGGAGCGTGAGCAGGTTTATATGCGAATATAAGGTTGTGCGAGTAGATCGATGGGCGTGATGGAGAAGGTAAGATGTGAAGGAGAGGAAAGAAGCGAAGGGAGCTTCCTCGTGCTTTTGCGCGGGGGCAGAGACAAGATTGTGACAGAATAAGGAGTTCGCATTGGCAAAATCGTAGGTTCCTAGCAATATGGCTGCTTGAGGTATAGGGCTGTGCGTGTCAGCTCACTGCATAAATTTTGCGAAAGTATAGGGTTCTTACAGAGCGGCAAGCTGCGCTCTTGCTGCCTCGGGGCTTGGCGCTTGTTGCACTGGCTTGGGTGTACCGGTCAATGCACCAAGGCCAAAGAAGGAGAGCGTATTGTTTAGAGTCCAACCCTCCGGTAAGTCATTCTGAATTGCAACATATTCATCTCTTGCAGATGAACAAGTTGTCCCGACGCTGCGAACAATTTTGAGAATAGCATTTTCGTTGACGAAATCTTCGAGGCGCAGCCGATAGGGATTCTGGAATTCAAATTTATTGTAGTTTGCAAGTAGACCAAGAAGAAGAAATGGTTCAAATGCTCCAGATTGGGTATCACGGTCCTGGGTATACTGAATTGACATAAGCATGGTCATTGCGGCGTGATCCAATTGAAATCACCTACCTTCATCAAAGATGGGAAAAGATCGCGGTGAATAAAATAGGATATCAAGCTTGTTTGGTATGCCCCTGATGTTATCGAAAGTGCCACATCAATTGCCTTTTCTCGGAGTTGCACTGCTGACAGTCAGGGATTACTTCCAATGAGTGCGCACATTTAAAGGACCTCGTGGACTTACTGGTTCGTCCATTTCGTATTATATTGTCCAATGTATTGACAAAGTCGGTAAAGACATGATCCACCTGATCGAGACCTGCAAGAACTGCGATGATGTCTGAGCTTGGGTTTGTATACCTTTTGGTCAGGACGGCGTGGAGGAAGACTGTCAAGGTCTAGGTTATAAGCGTGAATAGCCAGAAATTGATTTAGCCAGCACAGAAGCCTACATCGAGTGCAATCTCATCGGAAGGAGCTGTTCCGGATTTAATGCGCTGGATCGATTGCGCAAAGAGTTGTCTTGACTCGTTCTAGGTTTATGTGAGTATGAAATCACAAAACGTAACGACATTTCATACATGTAAATGGAGGAGCTCATCAGCGCTCAGATTTGTAAGGATTCTCTGGAGCGTCACTCGGTCCGGGCGTAGCACAAAAAATTCCCGCCAGAACCCTTCGCTCTTTTCGTCGTCATTGTCGTCCTATCGAGCGTGTCAGCAACCGTTACACCTCCGTAGAGAGAGTATATGAGCATACGCGAAATAGTGCTTCATAGAGCTCAACAATCTTTGGCTGGAAGGTCTCAGGTCGGGCTTGCTGGGTAAGAGGAGACGACTCCATACCACAGACTGCCATATGAACCAGACCCCTAAAATTATCGGTAAGAGAAATTATTCCCGATTGGTAGAATTAATCATGACTCTAAGAAAGTCGCTTTGTCCTTGAATGTCCGCTCCGTGTCCGCTTGGGGATTTGGGGATGATAATCTCCGATTGATAACTGTCAGAGATAATCTTTCCGTTGGTTGATTGACGATCTTTAGCCAATCAAACACAAGTAAGAGATGTTCAATCACACGTGAGTGATTGGCTCATTTCGATTATTCATTGCTTAGTCATATCCAATATGTCATCCTTCCGCGGGTCCATACTGGTGGGTAGTCATGGGAACTTGAATCAAAGCTTCCTCAACATCTTTAACGCTCAATTAACGACAAACGTTCATAAAGGTCTTTCGCCTTGTGGCATCAGCGACATAGATTGCATTTCTGGAAACGAAATTTTACCATTCTTTGTTCAATAACCAGAGTATTATTCTTCGTTGCAAAAATGGCGCTTCCTCGATGTGTTGCCTCATCGGCAGCATCCTCTGCCAGCCTCACGAGATTGCTCAGCATTTGCCCAGTAGCGCCACGCCAGTGCCTTCATGCTTCCCGGAGCTTCTCTTCGTCTAGATCAGCGTTCATTATCACAAGTCGACGTCTGCAAACTGCCACAGCCCACCACCCAAAAAGCTTTGACTCGCAGCCCCCGCCACCGCGGAACAGCGGCGTTCCAGACACTTCCATTGCGGGCGGGGTTCCGGAGGTCAACGATACTCGACCGCCACGATTCATTGGGGAGTTCGAGGCTCGAACTGAGTCGCACTCAGATGAGAAGTCGAGCGTGAGCATCTCCGAGGGAGAGGCACAGAAAGCAAAGCCTACAACGGCAAACCTTTCCCCGACGTCCACTCCGACCCCATCGCCTTCGCCTGCAAAGCCGAGACAGCGGAAGCTACGTCCTCGAAAGGCAGCAATGACTTTGTCCTCGACCGCTGTCGAACAACTTCGAAACCTACTCTCACAGCCCGAACCAAGACTCATTCGAGTAGGTGTCAAGAACCGAGGATGTTCTGGCCTGGCGTACCACCTCGAGTACGTTGAAAAACCAGGGACCTTCGATGAAACGGTCGAGCAGGACGGCGTCAAGGTCCTGATTGATTCCAAGGCCTTGTTCAGCATCATCGGAAGCGAAATGGACTGGGTTGAGGACAAGCTCAACCGAAGATTTGTCTTCCGAAACCCCAACATAAGTAAGTTTCATTCATTCGTCCTTTAGGACTGTCAAGCCAACGATACTAACAAGTTAATAGAGGAGCAGTGCGGCTGCGGCGAATCGTTCATGGTTTAATGCATAATGCATGCTGGTTATGCTCGCGGGCCTTTGGTTTTTGATTATTCACCATTATGATGTCACATATTGCGGTCGGCGACTTTTGAAATCTTTTGGAGTTTGAGCATCGCGATTGGCGTTTGGGCAACAGGAGGCGTTTTGGAATGATGCGAGATGAGCACATTTATTGCTATTTCCTAATTACAAATATGAAGATATTCATCTTTACTATTACAACTACTGTTTGATTTTTGCCCGCTTTCTTCTTTCTCGATTTGATTGATCAGAAGATTCCCGGAGCAAAGTCAAGGACCTTGAGGTCCTCGATTAGTCCTGGTGGCGCTGTAGATAAGCTGTCTACGAAGGCCAAATGTGCTGGATCTCTATTCAGATAATAGTATCGGTCAGCATCATTTTCGAATTCGCAGACAAAAGCATGCGTGAAGCCACCCTGTTGAATATTAGCATTTGGAAACATCCCACAGCTAGTCCAGCTACCAAAAAATACCTGTTTGCCTTCAGGACTGTTATCTTTGCCACCTTTGAATGACTTGATATACGGTTTTCCTGTATTTGGAGACACGCATTTTTCTTGAAGAGAAACTAATCGCTGACAAATCTGTGTATCATAGTGGTGGTCAGCATGATGTCTCCTCGAATAGTTAGTTTTTCTTCTCGGAAAATTTTCATGATCTCGACGTAGTTCCAATTGATGCTTCATGCCATTGCCTCGAAACATTACAACCGGACAGTAGCTTCACCGACGTTCTTAATCGACGAAGTGAACCCAAAACAGCTAACAACAGTATTCTCTCTTTACCAAAACGACATGTGCTAATTGAACCAATCAAAGGGTGTCCTCATCGACAATTCCCGACGAAAGAAAAAGAAAAGAAAACAAGTGTGGAGAGAAGCGCTATGTCAGGGCCACAACGTACATCGGCAACAATATCCGAGGGAGCCGAAGCGCCAAATTTGAAAAAGAGGATATGAATAAGACCCATTGCGCCTTTTTCAGTCCGGTAGCTGTTTATGAATTGATATGCTTCAGTCCGATTGATATCGAAGAGCAATCTGATTTCTGTCGTTAGAATTCAATCGTGGGTAGAGGGGGAAGATTATGGAGCAGAATAGATGAATAAAGGTGTGACCGAAACCGGCAGGATTATAAAGCTTTATATCTAATCCCGGGAGTTAGCAATCCTAGTAGATTTGGATCTCGCGCTGCAGTCATAATTACATTACAGTACAGCGGCTGTTCGTCAAGACAACCTCAGGTGGTTTCCATTCACTTGTTACCGAGATTCGTAGTTGCTCTCATTCTATTCAGCTCACGTCATCCACTGCCAGCAAAGGCAAACCAAATATGAAGAACCATATCTGAAATTTTTGAGCTGGATGAATTATTAGCAGCTCTCGAAGTTCTTTCAAACATCATATAAGAATATTTTAGAGAAAAATTTGTTGATTTTAGAAAGGAAAAAATATATATCGAAATATTTGGAGGTATAGTTACCTTATATCTATAGGATGATGGCAATGTTCAGGCGAAACTTTGCAGTAGAATCATATAAAATTTATAGAGTACTTGTCCCTATATGTCTACTTAAGCATACACTCATTAATATTAATCTGTCTCAAACTTTTGTATTCTTTGAAGCACCTCAGACTACATCTGCGAATGCAATTGCAAAAATAAGAGCTCACTCGTTCGAGATTCTTTAGTATCTGCATCTGATAAGATTCTCCGTCATTCTCAGGGTCCTAGCCGGAGGCCGGTCCGCGCTGCGGAGGATTCAGCCGCCGCTGCCCCGAGCATCATACGAAACTCCCAAATACTACGACATCATATGCAACGTATCAAATCACTGAACCATAATAAACACGACCATCACCACAACAGTATAACGCACATTCGCGCATATACGCTTGCATTTACTGCCAGCGCCTGCCACCTTCCTATGCGCATCCGACTTCTTATTCCGAGGAGACTACCTATCCATCCTCAACAGCAGCCATGGCAGACGAGGACACCGACAAAAACAGTGCCAATATCGGCAGCAGCACTACAACTGCAGCTCCACTTCTGTTGATCATCCGATTCACCACATCTGCGCCGGATCTCCCTCTCCCTATTATCTCCCCACACACCGCGACCGGACTATCCGTCAAGCAACTCATTCGCGCCCATCTACCCGCTGACACTCGCGCGCGGCGGCTACGATTGATCCACGCGGGGCGAGTATTACCAGATGCTTTACCATTAACGAAGACACTCAAATTAACTCTTCCTCCACCATCCATCTCATCTTTGGCATCATCGCCTTCACCTTCACCATCGCCTACGCCGTCGCAGGTACATCAAGACTCTCCTTCGCGCTCGGTCTCCACAAGTCGTTTGCAGAATGTACTCTTTGGGAAATCGCCAACCACTTCGACACCCACAGCAACCGCAGGAGAAAGTACCAGAGGCAAAGAAGTCGCGCAAGAGGATGGAGCAACGGAAGAAGAGGAAGAACACAAGCCATTACTCCAACCGACAACCCCGCAACATTCGCAGACTCAAACTCCCATCCTCACACCAGCAACTCCCGCAAAAAATCAACATAATCAGCCTATAAGATTCTATATTCATTGCTCCGTGGGCGAAGAGTCGCTCTCGCCAGGCGAGCTTGCAGACGAAGCCGCCGCGGCGGAAGCTAGTGTCAAACGAATTACGGACGAGTCTACGCTTGGCGGTGGTGACGCAGAAGCACATGGAGATGTAAAAGGCAAAGGCGTCGCAGGGACAGGGGCAAGAGGCTACGTCGCCGGGAGAACAGGGATAGCAGCAGCAGGGGCTGAAGCCGAGACAGAGGCAGAAACAGATGCGGTCGCTCCGGCCAGCACGACGGCCGCGCCGCGGGGATTTGACAGATTACTTGGTGTGGGGTTCTCACCGGCAGAAGTTGCGGCGTTGAGGTCGCAGTTTGTTGCGCTGCAGTCTCATTCGCATACCCCTGATACGATGCCTTCGGCGGCGGAGATGCGGATGCTCGAGGATCGTTGGATGGACGAATCGGTTGCGGCGGGCAGCGGTGGAGGAAATGCTGCTGATACGGACGATGTGCAGCGTGGTGCGCTCGAGGATATGCTGTTGGGGAATATCATGGGGTTCTTTTGGCCGATTGGAGCGGTCGTTTGGCTGCTTCGTGAGGAGGGTGTTTGGAGCCGACGTCGCCAGATTGCCGTGTTTACGGGCATGTTGGCCAATATTACATTTAGTATATTAAGGGTGACTTCGTAAAAGCCCAAAAAATGGCGGGGGAGAGAGCAGGTGGTTGGTCTGCAATTTCCGGGCATAAATGAGGACTGCCTACTGTGGCTCCTGGAGGACTATATCTGTTAGGGTTGTGTATCTGGCGTTTGTTTCACAGGCTTTTTTGAGAAGCATAGCGTTGGCGTTTTTAGAGCAAGTCATTATATCTTTGCATAATATACCAGACATGCTAGCCAGTCAAATGATTCTGGCTTGAACTAAAATAAATTACTCAGGGAATATTGAGAAAGTAAAAAGAACGGCATTATGATGTACTGTGTGGAATAGGTGTTCACTCCCAATGCTCCGAAACCAAGTTCCATAAACCCCACCGACCTAACGAAATTTGCTAACAATGACGGCAATGATGAGCAATACGAGAATAGTGATAATAGCAATCGTAATTAGCCGATTCGTAGCCATCCTAATAGACACTCGTCAGTTGATGATTGCTCTTCAGTGAGTCGAGGTACATGCTGCAATGATACCCCCACAAATGTCAATGGAGGGTGAACTACCTACGGGCCATCCCCCTCAATGTCTTGATACTCCTATCTGTGTAGCCTTCTGACTCGTTCAGATTCGACTGGGTGTGGAGGATGGTTTCTCTTTGGCGGCCAAGGTCAGCAAGGGTATTTCTACCGATATCTTCCGTCTCGAGTGCGACTCTTTGGCTGTCACGCAGCCGCTGCGTCGAGCGGTCAAGACGATCCGTTCCGGCCAGAAGCTGCTGTCGTTGTTCTAGCTGCGCATCGGCATTGGGATTATCGGAGTATCGCGCGCCAAAGAGCGCCTGGCGGTCATCCGTGAGGCCCCTCAGCTTGCGCTTGAAGGCATCCATGTCGCTTTCATAATTGCGGAATCGCTGATTGATCTTGTTACGGCTGCTCGAAGGGATATTTTGTTTCTCGATGCGCATTTGATCAAGCTGGATCGTGGTGGTTAATTTCATTCATCTCAATCGAAATCATGGCGCTGTGGGTCTTACGATTTCTGTTCCTTCGTCCAAAGTGCGTTCTGCCTGCCCAATAGCCGCCTTGCGTGGCTCACCTGACAGTTCAGAGATCTGATCGAGCTTTTGTGTCAGGTCCGCCTGGATGAGCTTGAATTCGGCTTCGTAGCTATTGAACAGCTCCGTGCCAGCATCGGTGTCTAACGGGTTCGCCATGTTGATTTGATATGAAATATTTAACAGTGAGGGGTATCAAGAAGGAGAGAGAGAGTGTGTGTATGTAAAACAATCGAACAAGTGTATCAGAATCGTAGGGCAAAGCGTAGTTGTCAAGGGCGAGTCGAAGCCTAAGTGTAGGCGGTGAGCGTTAACAAGGGAGGCGAGATAATACAGCGCCGACGGAGCTAGTCTGATAGGCTCAACAAATGGCGGTATTATATGCACTAGTATCCGCGAAGTTCTTCTTTGGGAGACAAAGATGTTTTCTATTCCCAAGTCTGTATCAAATCTCTTTTGGTCTTTATGATTTGAGTCCTGCCAGTAAGTGCCTGGAGGAGATGATGTGATGTTGTTCCTCAGCCGTGGCGCAGTGACGAATCATAATTGCCGCTTCAAATAAGGAGCCTGGCCCATTCCATATCAGGAAATCACTGAAAAGGGAAGGAACGACCCTCTGCAGGACCCTGGTTTCCCCAGACCTCTGCCGTCATATTATTTCTTCATTGTGCTGGATGAGCTTTTTTGCTGTTTGAATGTATAAGTCGTTTCTGTGATTGGCGTTGATTTTTCTTTCTCTTATAGTTTTCATTTTCCAAACTTCCATGCATTTCATGCATATCTATCTTTATCCTGTCCTGCATACCTAGGTAGATCCTGATGGTCGGGTCAAGTCTATACATCATGACTTTGGCGAATGCCACATTCCCTGGATTTGAAGATCCATTCACCCTCTCGTCCGTCATCTACATGAAGCATTCTCATGTAATTTCCCTTTTACTTGTCTCTACCTGCAATGTCTCGTAAAAAAGTTGCAATCGTTGGCAGCGGTTGCGCTGGTATCGGAGCGCTCTGGGCCTTGCAACACACTGAACATGACATTCATCTCTATGAGAGCGAAGACCGTCTCGGAGGCCACACTAATACCGTGACATTTGAGCATGACGGTCACAATACCAATGTTGATACGGGTTTCATTGTGCTGAACACAGCCACATATCGTCAGTTTGCCTCCACTGCTTATGCTTTGCCATTCAGTCACAAAAGCAACAGTCAATTCAATGAATAATCACATGCTCATTTATGTATCTCAGCAAATTTTATTTCGTTTCTCAAACAACTTGATGTCGAGACTCTTCCCACTGAAATGACTTTCGGCGTATCACGGGACCAAGGAGCATTTGAATGGGCAGGAACATCATTGTCCGCAGTATTTGCTCAAAGATCTAATATCTTCCGGCCGCGCATGTGGCGCATGATATTCGACATTATCCGCTTTAATCAATTTGCACTGGATTTACTCGTTGACGAAAGTCAAGACCTAGAAGAAGAAAGCCACTCTTCAACTGGAAAAGCAGCTGCACCTCCATCTTTCAGCTTCTCAAAACAGATCAGTATTGGCGAGTATCTTGAACGCGAAGGCTACTCTGATGCTTTTCGCGATGACTATCTTATTCCCATGACGGCCGCAGTTTGGAGTACCAGTCCGGACAAATGCTCACTCGAATTCCCAGCCATGACTCTTGTCCGATTCATGTGGAATCATCATCTACTCAGTACTGTCCGTGCTCGACCGAAATGGCTAACTCTCAAGCACGGCGGCAAAGCGTATATCGATGCTGTCATGAAGCGATTTCCTTCCGATCGTATCCATCTTTCCACCCCAATCGCATCCGCAAGTAGCTCTTCCGACGGACGAGTCTTGCTTCGCGCTACTCGCGGCACAATTGAAACATTCGACCACGTCATTCTCGCCACGCACGGGGATCAAGCCCGGCAGATCATCCTCCAAGGCGGTGCGACAGAAGAAGAGCTGGATATCCTGAGTTGTTTCCAAACCAGCGCAAATACGGCCGTGCTTCATTCCGATCTCTCCGTATGTCGATTTGTGCTCGTTTCTCATCCATATTCCCTCTATTCACTCACAATTATGGCAATCAGCCTACTAACTTATCTCAATCATACAGCTTATGCCCACGCGTCCCCTGTCCTGGTCAGCATGGAATTATCTCACTCGTAGTAGTCCTGACGCTACTTCGTCCAATGCGCATCCCTCTCCACCTCGCTCTCACCCAGAAGTATGTCTGACATACAATATGAATATGCTGCAACACATTCCACAGGAAACCTATGGACACGTTCTGGTCACATTAAACCCGCTGACGGAGCCTGATCTGTCTCTCGTCCGCGGCCGCTGGACTTATCAACATCCTTTGTATAACGCTGCTGCTGTCTCCGCGCAAGCCCGACTCCCGCGTATTCAGAACACACGGGGGATAAGTTACGCTGGGGCATGGACAAAGTATGGCTTTCACGAAGACGGGTTCTCGAGCGGACTCAAGGTTGCAATAGAGCATCTTGGCGCGGAAATTCCCTTTGAGTTTGTTGATTCAACCTTTTCAAGAGGAAAACGGCCGGTATTGGGATGGGAGGATTGGATGGTGCGTATTGCTGTGCTGTTTGTGCAGTGTTTAATTGCGATTTGGGGGACGCTGGTTTTGGGGAGAAAAGAGCGGATTCCGGTGCAGCTCGAGGGAATATTGGGACGCTGGTCTGGAAAGAAGAGAAAGGCGTTGTGAGTGTCAGGCGTAATGTACATGAGTATGTCACAGAATGTCAAAGACATGTGGAAGCTATTATATTATATTTCTTAATGGTGGAGATGATTAAAGAAAAGCATTATATGCATGAACAAACAAATCCAGTATCATTGTTCGTTTTCCTCTTTTGACAAAATAAAAGCGCCAAAACAATACCAATTTAGAGGAATTCCACTTCGAAGATGAAAATAAATAAACGTAGATATGCGCCGGAGAAAAGATGAATCGAGTCAGAAATAGTGGAAAAGGGTGGAAATTTTAGTCCTGCAAGTTGTTCAGGCTTTTACTTTCATCCACCAATGCTCTTCTCACTTTCGGCCAGTCCGCTGCCTCTCAATTTCATCGCGGAAGACGTTCGGAGGGCCAGACGTAGGAGCATTGTCGTATCCGGTAGCAGCATCTTCAGCCTGCAGCAGAGTCTCCTCTTTGTTTGCACGTCGACCGCCATTAGCCTGCTGAAAGTCCGCACCAAGCGGGACAGATCCCTCATCTTGGTCGAGGGGAATGTGTCCGCCCATTCGTTGTCGTCGTGACTTCCCAATACCATAGCCTTTGCGAGTGCCACGATGCTTGCGCATGCCAAAGTATAGACCGATACTGACAAGCAAGATGATGATGATAGCAATCGGAAGACCAATCGCCAAACCAGTTCCTTGGCTTGGATGGCTACCGCTGCCAGAATGTCCGGACTTGGCTCCAACTAGAAGCACAGTGGGTCCTGTATAAGTCTGTGGGGGAGACCGTCCATTGACGTCTAGCGCAACAAGGTAGAGAGTTAGGTTACGTTCAGAATCGTTGTCACTGATAATTGACTTGGTCATGGTTAGAGAGACATGGCCAAAAATATTTAATGACGGTTTGGACGACCAAGTGTCGACTTTGTCATCATCTTCGGATGCCCCGCTGGGTTTTGCCTCAATGGTCACTGTCGAATTGATGGTGAAGAAACTGGGATCCCACGTGACTATATAGAGAAGACAAGCTGTCAGAAATTTTTTGTCTTGTTTTTTTTTCTCGTTGGAAGATGAAGTTCAGAACACAATGCGCAGAATGAGAGAGGCGTCTCACCGAAATAAGTCTCTCCAGCAACCAATTCCTCGCCCTGAGTAGGCTGGCAAAATGGTGCATTATCACCATCTTTGTTGGTGCATTTTGGAACTGATATTCCGTTGGTGGCGCTCGCTGCTGGAGCGGCCTCCGTGCCAGTGGAAGTAGCTTCTGCGATGGCGCTCGCTGCTGATACACTCGTGGCCGAAGTAGCAGTCGCATCCGTGGCGGGATGTTCGGCCTCCCTTTTATCAATATAGGACCACAGGTCCTTCCAGACAGCTTCGGGTTTGGCATCTCTTTGCGCAATATCAGCTCTTTGCTCGACTGGCCCTGCCAGGGCTCCGTGGCTGCCAAAAAGCGCTGCATAGCCCGCGAGACAGGCGAGAAATCTAGGTGCGTTTTGGGAATACATATTGTGTACTGGATGCTCAACCGCCAACAAATAAATGATCTAATCACTTATGTCCAAGTGGTTATAAATCATCAATGGAGTCCACGGAGAGGAAGAAAATAAACGATAGAAGAGCAGCAATCAAAGGAAAAAGCAGAGAAGATAAAAGAGTGAGCAGGGTGGAGAGTTGGAGGCTAGACAAAAGACAAGTATGGAATCAATTGAATTGTCACCATCATGAGAGGCAACCAAGGGAGGAAGGCTCAACCGCCACCTCAAGCCCCCCTTGGTAAATGAACAAAATGTAGTCTTTCCATGCCGAACAATAAGGCAGTTGATGCTACTTTGGGTGCGATAAACGATGTTGCGATTCCTGGAGAAGGCAAACGCCTCGCATCCAGCCACTTGTCTCACAGCATATCAATGAGATAGATGATCGACCTTACTTGAGGGGGAACCAAAGGGATACGTTTCATCCGCCGCCCTTATAAACCATCTCGTTCTGGGTGGTGGTGAAGGATGTTTACGGTGGGTGGAGTTCCTAAGTTGACATTCCCCTTGCTCCAAAGCAGCGCTAGGCTTGTCGTGGATTAGCGAGGTTGGCTTAACTGGAGGCAACGGGACCCAAGTAATCTTTGGGCTGCGGGACCCCTTATCTCATGGTTATAACGTAACAACACCGCCTGAGGATAAAGTGGCATTATTGTGGTTGCACAATGGATAAGTGGTCATCAATCATTATGTAGGGCACTATCTCCTACCCATTGCATCAATAATAATGACAGAAGCTATATGAATCGTTTCGAAGCAATTTACCGTGCGAGAGTGATACAAGGGATGAAATCATAGCCCGGGGAGTAAAAGGGTAACTTATCACTAAAGCTCTGCAGGCGGCAAGCTCTGGATTGCTATACACGGCGTCTACCGGCAGCCGTAGCTCGAGCTTTCACCACAGCGTATCGCGTTGTCATCATCGCTAAGAATCACGAAAGAGTAGCTTTGTACTTTGGAGTGAACACCATTGCACTTCTTCCTCTTCCGCTCCACCCCTTCCTTAATCGTCACTTTTTTAGTCTTAATTTCGCTCCTTGGTTTTTTTCCCTTTTCTTTCTGGCCCAATTATCCGAAATCATGCGTTTCTCTGCCTCCTTTCTCCTCGCTCTTCCGGCTATTGCTGCTGCCGAGCAGATTCCCCTGGGTGACACTGTGAAATCATGGTTCAACAAGATCCAGCCGCAGGTCCCTGAGCCGGTCGCATCTCCCGTCCAGGCCGCGTCCGCAAAGGCCGCCGACCTCGCCGTCACCCCATTGACGCTGGACAATTGGCAATCCGCTTTGACGCCCAGCGTTTCTGCCGAGTCCTCCGACCCTGAGGAGTGGTTGATCTTGATTACGGGTGGAAACAAGACCTGCCATGGCTTCTGCGACGTGATCGAGAAGTCTTGGAATGTATGTGTTTTGGCGTAACCCCCCCATTCCCCGCCAACCACTATGAGCTTGTCATTCCCCCGCCCCGCTGCAGTGCTCTTTATCTCACACTTTAGTTTCGGGGAAATTTGAAGAACTGCACATGGCTAACAATGGAGTTTTAGAAATCTGTTCCGCTGCTCGCCGCAACCCAATCGCCGCCCCACCTAGCCTCTCTCAATTGTGAGACAGAACGTGTTCTGTGCAAGGCACTGGGTGCCTATCCCACCTCCCTTTGGCATGTCTCGCTGCCAGTTCCCGCCCCCGACCAGTCCAAACCCGAGACTCCCATCCACATTGTCTGGCTGAACCGCACGCACACTGAGCCCTCCGACTTTGTCAAGATCCACAATGAGAAGGTCTGGGAGACACACTCCGAAAAGTACGAAGGCGTCTTTCACCCTTTTGATGGCTTCGTTGCCCAGCAGGGATTGACTATCCCCGTTGGCTACGTTCGGTTTGCATTCTCTCTGATCCCTCAGTGGGCCTTTATGCTCGGCATTAGCTTGTTCACTCGTAACTTTATGTAAGCTTCCGCCAGAGACTCTGAATATTCCGAGAAGAAAGATATTAACCTCCGCAATAGGGGCCGTCGTATGCAGCCTCAGGGAGCCCGTCCCGGCGCTGCTGCTGGTGCTCCAGCTGCCGGTGCCGCTCCGAGAGCCTCATAAAAGAATCTTCGTGTTTCTTGGATGTAACAAGGGCTGATTGAAAGTGCCCCTTTTTATTCTTGGTAACTATTTAGGGAGCAGGTAACAAAATCGGCGGTCCGGTGATATTTACCTATATCGAAGGCATAGGGTCGCATTATATAGAAATATAACAATTGTAATACATCTTTTTGCAAATAGACTATTCCGCTTTTCTCTATCTCTTTATTCTGCACAAAACCAGCGTATACCACGGACCGCAGAAAACTCCGACAATTGACTTGTCTGATGCATCCCCTTCCTCGAATTGCATCTCCCTCCACGCCTCTGCAAATTCCATACCTCCACATCCCAATTGCCCGTTCCCCCCTCTACCCGCTGCAAACAGCTTGCCCTCCGCAGTAAGCACAACAACGTGCCCATCTCCAACCGCAACATCAACAATATCTACTCCGCCATCCACATTCGCCAGTGCCACATCTTCCTCTACGCCCTCCTCATCTACCCGCGCCGGCGAATGAGGCAATTCTCTAATCCATTGCCCCTCTCCAGGTCTTCCGCCCCAAAGGTACAAGTCCCGATCTCGTGATACAGCGGCCGTGACCCAACCACCGGAGACTACCTTTCGAATCGGTATTCCTCCCAGAGATTCCACAAAACCGGGGGTAGATGCTGGTGTTGCAGACGTGATTTCTCGGCCCAGATGGTTATGTCGTCCGTCACCCCACGTATAGACGTTCCCTAAGTCATCAAGAAACGTAAACGCCGTCTGATTAGCGACCAATTGTCGCGGAGAGCAGTGTAAGATAAATTCCTTATGCGCCAGCGCTGGTATTTCTTCTGTACCTGATTGGCCCAGATCATGATGCTGGAGAAAATCGTCTAGACTAAGGTATTCGTGAATGATGGTTCGTGTACTCCTATGATGACTGACAGATTGCTTTCGGATTCCATAGCCAGAGCTGAGGGGAGGCGCTTCTGGGTCCGAATAAGATTCTTCATAGCATGTTGCTACTTTTCCGTTGCCGGCGATGCTCAAATGTGTTTTTGATGCTGCCGGTCCTGGCGGATTATGTGGTTTGAAAGTGCTGTGCTCAGGGTCAAAAATTAGGATTTTTCCAGTGCGATTCAGACCGCCAAGAACGCCGGTATGATCGCCAAAAATTGTTCTGACGTCTTCTTTTTCTGGTGCATTTTCCTTCTGTATGTTCTGAATGGTCGAATAATTTGGCGATGTGGAGGAACCGTCAAGGCGTGCGCCGTTGAGTTTGAGCACATGATCAACGTCCACTTTGTTTGACTTGTTAACACTGATAGAAAGGTACTAAAAACCAAAGAAGAAGCATTTTCTTCTCTTCAGGCAGACTTACAGACTAAATTACTCCAGCCGGTGAAAAGAATATCAATATACTCCGCCGAGAGAAGTCGACGCAGCTGCGGGATATCTTTGGGGTCAGCTTCTCTTGTTTCGTTGAATGTAAGCTGATTATGTGCGTTGAAGCCGCACGCATAGAGCTCCATGGAGCACTGGATGATCAAAGAAGAAATTTTGTTCCCGAAGGTGTTATTTTGAATAGGCTGAGCCGCTATGTTGATGATGCGCACAACTACGTTGACTTTGGCACCGAAGGATTGATTTTGTCAAAAGTATCAGGCATCAAGGCACATTCTTCGATCCAATCAAGTTTTGACCTGACATATGCGAGATTTTGCTTCCCATAAAACAGTATATGCAAATATAAGATATGCATACCCTCCCAAACAAATACAGATTCTATACAAATAAATAATATACAAGGTGTTTACCCAGTTAATGGCCGCTGCCAGGCCATTAGGACTTCGCCCAATAACAGACTTTGCTTGACACTTTTTACAACGTCGCCTTTGGCTTTTCCGGCGCCGGCTCCTCCCTCATGAAGTCATTTTCCAGGCTTTCTTCAGCATCCTCCTTCGCCGCAACTTGCTGTTGCGCATTCAGCTCTTGATCAAATCTTTGGATCTCCTCTTGCAGTTCTTCCACGCTGACCACTCGACCGTCGCTCGACATCGCAGACAAGTTTTGTTCAGGGAGACCAAGCCTCTTGCGCTCTTCTGCGAATCTTTGCTTTACACTCTCGGTCTGCAAGATTCTCCACCGCAAGAGCCAACCCTCCATACCGAGCTCCTTTAGTCGCATCGCCTTGTCGCCCAGCAGGTATTCGTCGAGCCCGCCAACTTTGTCAATTGTTCGTAAAACGCGAGTATTGATCCTGATTCGCAAGTACTTTTGCAGGGCCACCGAGTAAAGTTTCTTGTATCGAATATTGGGCCGCCATTTTCGCCGCGTTTTGATTTCGTTCTTTTCGCTGACTTTGTTGCCGAACTGGATACGGCTGCCGCCATAAAGGCCAAAGTTGGATTGCTTGTACCAGCGCGCAGGGCCATAGGGGTATTCAGGTATGTTTTTATGCAAAACCGCGATTTTGCTTCCCGTAGATCTGGCGGCGACGCTCGGGGTTGAGGAAAAGGCCCGCACAAAGGTGAGCGCAGGGTGACGCATCGCCATGTTTGCCATTGGGACAAACCAGTCGTCGGACGTGGGTCTGACTGGTCTGAATTAAATTTGTCCCAAGAAGCGGTCGGGAATAAGGATAATTGAGGAAGTGGTTCTTTGTGTCAATGGCTCTGGGAGTTTATGGGGATCTCCGTGCGGACGAAGCATTTCACCCCGAGGAGAAATTGATTACATAATCAAATACCTTCGTGAACTTCACGAGTTGCTTTGTTGATGTTTGTCTTAGAGGATGTTGCTGTGTGCAGCGTAGTTGGGAAAAAGTATCTGTTTTCCACTAGAAAATATCTAAATTTCTTCTTACTCAATTGATCTGATTATGTTGCCACCTATTGATGCGTCGGTTCTTGAAAAGAATCCTCAGTTCGCCCAATTTCACAAGCAACTCTCCTTGTCCATTCTCAATTCTGATGGGTCTACCAAACAAAGTGCAGAGAGAAAAAAGGCTTCAAATACGCCTTCGCAGGTGATAAATTTTCCAAGATGGCATTTAACACAATGCTAATCTACTCATAGGAGAAATTGGCTGCCTTTCAATTATACTCTGCAAGGCTTCGACTTCTGCGATGCTCACTTTCAGAGATCACATGCCGGGTCGAGGAATTGCCTGAAGAGGTTCAATTTTCCTCTCCCAATTTCTGAAATTCTAACTAATGGTTTCAAACATTAGCTGCTTGAAGTAATTGAAATCATATCGGCGCAATTAAATACACCGTATTTCCCTAGCGACTGGGAAATACTTCAAGAAGACGTCATCTATTTTGAGGTCAGACTTCCGTTAGCCTTACAGGTTTGCCGAATACCATATATTAAAGTTACGAATAGGATCATATCAAATCAATCGGAAAGGTTGTTTCTGACCACTTGACCTCTACTGCACTGCAGCTTTCAAAGATAATACATTGTACAGGTACCTCTCCCTCCTGCGGCCTGCCCTTTGTTGGTTATTTTCTTTGTTCTAACCAAGATTAGATAACGTTCCTGCAAAGTCCGCTCGGAGCTTGATATCCAGCCTTCCCCAGGAACTTGCAACGCGTCGTGCCGAGACCTTGGAGAAGCAGGAGTCTCTTCTCAGCCAACGACTTGCGCTCGGCCAATTAGCATGTCGAATTCTTGAGGCTCATAAGGAATATTTAGAGACCATTATACGCTTTCTAGAGCAATCTAAACATGGAAACTTCTCAAGAGGGCTGAAAGCTCAGGCAGAGCACCTGGCCGCTCTCGCTGATATCATGGACGGTAAATTACAGTAAGGTTCCAAGCTTATACTAAGATGTAGTTCAATAGCCGCTAACTGTACATAGAATTTTAGAAAGTGATGCTATCTCCCAAATATACACCCCAGATGTTCAGTCTGCCCTCTGTCACTACTATAATCATCTTAAGGATACCATCACCAGGTTGCAGCAGCGGCGCAAAACTGCCAATGAGATACTTGGGCAATATGAAAGCGCCGGCCCAGGCATGAATGAGATTGCATCAAAATACGGCCAATTTCAGAAAGAGATTGAGGCTGCAAGGGCCGATATACAGCGGCTTGGGGGCCAGCCCTAAGGGATAACTTTAGTTTTGCCTGTTCAATAACTTAAAGTTTTCAGCGTGGAGCCGCGCTGAGCACTCTGATTCTCAATGCATCAAAATGCTGACCTTTGGGAAAGTCGCTCTAAAGGAGCATCCCGCATCGAACCTCGACTCGGAGAGACGGTGCGTCATTGCTCGACTCAAAAAGGAATCCGGAACATGAGTTAGTACAAGATTCGGAGATTGCACAAGAAAGCGAACAAAGACGATCAACTTGAAATGAGCACGGACAATGACGAATAATGGTTTTATAACAATGGAACAAAGGCTCCAAGCTTTACATATAAAGGCATTGTTACGCCTTGAGGTAATCAGATCAACTCCCCTAAACAGATCGAATAAGGGAATAACAAGAGTCTGATCTTCACATTCACATTCACATTCTATTCATCGCCGTCAGCCGCTGTCCATTAACAACAATGTCTCTAGAACAGCCATATCCAAGTCAGCCTGCGCGAAGCTTGCTCCAAGTTCTTCCAGCAGAGATACTCTTGGATATGTTCAGGCAAACACGCATGGACAGCCTTCCCTCCCTCATCGAGGTATGTAAACGCTTCAGAGAGATCATCAATGGCCATCGGATGATTCTAAAATGTTATTACCTTGAGCACAGATTTCCCGAACTATATGATCTCTATAATCCCAGAATTCTACTCGAATTAACTCTTCCCAACATACAGCACTCTGCGAGACACGCATATTTTGAAAAGCTTGATCTCAAATGCCTGACCTCGATGCCTTACAAATATCTCGCATTTCTCGAATCCATTGACGACCGGGTTAGAGCCATCATTGACGTCGTGCGCAGCTTTGGAATTGAACAAGAACGTCTCTACAGAACCGTCTGCCTCTTATGGTTCTACCTCTCTCTTGACACACGCTGCTCGGGCATTCTTAAAAACAAACGTGCCCTACTCGATATTCCTGCAGCCGCCAAAAGAGCGTTATACAGGCTTACCTGGAAAATAGCCAAGGGCATGGTCGAGGACCGTCTCCGTAAAGGTACACTCTGGAAAATGCTCAGGGGCCTCAATCCCACCTGGGAAATCGCCGAAGTGACGGATGATGAGAGCTCCAGGACTCCACGAGTCTCATATTATCTCGTCCCCGACTGCGACGGACGGGCAATGCCTCGTCGGGAAGTGTATCGCAGCGGACTACTTGCGCATCTTGTGCAGCAAAGGCTCATGACCCAGACCCCGGACACGCTGTTGGTATTCCTCAGTTCATTTCCCCGCAGACCACAGTACCATCCGTTCTACTCCGAGTGCATCATAACCCAAAACAACCGGAAAGCGTGGCATGTACAAAATATAAGCGGCTACATGGATCGAGTAAAAGAACTACGTTTCTATGTTAGGGCTCCGGCTCATGAAATCCAACGGGCTCTGCAGCATGATAGTCCTTGGAGGGAGAGTCTGGTGGAACGCATGGAGCGATTTCCAGATTTTGCAGCAAAACCTGCAACACGCTGTTATCTTCATGATGACTTTTGCTTGGACCGCTTATTTGGGGAATAGTTTTGTGTGTATACTGGTTTACTGTTCTTTATATTTTTCTACGAGCAGATAGAATACTAATTCAGTCCTATAATTTGAAATTTCCCTCGAGCTTAACATTGACTTTTCCGAATACCAAAAGTCATTCACCTCGCGCCATGTGTTTGCCATTTGCCTTTTCCATTGTCTAATTTTCCATGTGACCCTTATCCCCGCCACTCGCATCCTAAAGGTTCGTCAATCTCAAAGAAAGACCCGGAAACATAACGTATATGTGATTACTCACTAGAGACGTCGATTTAGAAGATGGCGGACGTACTAGGATTGCAGAGCCCTCGGCTCTCTGAATCAAATATCCTTTATCTCCACTCCATATCGTAGTTTTTCAATATGATCAGCTACAGAAAACACCGAGTAACCGCTTCCACGTGTCATGTTCAACCGAAGAAGTGTGATATACGAAAATATTAATTGAAAGTGATACACTTAATCGACGCCTTCATCACAGTAGAAGGAAATCCCTTGGCCTAGAGCTTGTTTGCAAAGATATTGACATTTGTAGGTAATCATATTCAAACTATATGTTCAATTTCAAAATATGCCGTTCGCTTGAAATGCACCAAAGGTAGCCCTCTATCGGTTTTGCAAACACGTGCTAAGCGTATGTACACGACCAACGACGTGATATGGATAAGGTAATTGCACCTCGCGCCCCAGGAATCCCAAAACGCCCGCTAAATTATTTTGCCTTGTTTTGCCTATTGATATAATTGAAAGAGGGGGAAAAAAAAAGAAAAGAAAAAGAAAAAGGAGTGGGTTGGAATAGTGGGGCAAATATCCGTTAGACGATCGAACCGGGGAACAGTAGAGTGTATTTGCCCCAATCAAGAATTTTGCTTGAATCTTTAGACATGTAAACCTTGACTCTTAAGCCAGTCGGACACCGGCCTGTCGGTTCTTCTTTGCCGTAGCACCCATAGCATTGTTCATGCCGGTGGCCTCGCTGCTATCAAGACTGCTAGCAGCAGCACGTTTCTTTTCGTCTTCAATCTTCTTCAACCGTTTCTCAGTCTTTTGCTTGCCAGAGCCCTTGCCGTGGAACTGATGACTGAGGTGCTTAAAGGCCTCCTTCTGGCTCATCTGGCGGCCAAACTCGTCTGTGTAGCGGAGCTGAACATCTGGTTTGTACTCCTTGTTGAAGATGTCGGCCATCTGGCGTGACTCGGCTTGGTCACGTTGCCGGTTCTCAAATCGGGCATATTCCTCACGCTCACGCGCAGACATGCGGTCAAGTTTACCGCTCGATCGGTCACGCTCACGCTGAAGGCGGGCTCGGCGCTCGGCTTCATCTTCGCGCCTCTGCTTCTCGGCCAAAAAGCGCTGTCGCTCCCGATGCAGCGCGTTGAGGTTGCCGCTGTCCGCTCTGTCAACTAGACCGCGCTGGGTGAGCATGGAAAGCGTCGCGCCCATGCCTTGACTGACGGTAGTCTCTTCGTCTATACCTGTCGAGGTTATGGGCTGCTGGCCCGGAGTTGAAGTCTCCCGCTTAAGGCGCTGCTCGGCTTCTTCCTCATCTTGGACATCGTTGTAGGAACGCTCCATGTCCACATCTCCCTCCTCATCGGGCGGTAGTGCCGCAGGAGAGTCTTCTTCAGATCTGATGCCGTTGGCCGGCCGAGACGTTGAGCGTCTCGGCTCAGGAACGGTAGGTTTCTGCAAGTTGGCGACAAATTCAGAGGTTTCGTCTATGATAAGACCTGGTTCTTCCTCTTCTTCCTCCGGAGAGTTGCCGTGTGTTTCCATGGGCGTGGCCGATGCCTCTTCACGCATTTGTCGCGCAATATCTTCAGGCTTGGTCTTCTTCCGCTTCTTCAAAGCCTCGCGTCGCTGGCGAGCCAACGAGGCTTGAAGGTCATCATCATCCACCAGCGATGTGTCTTCAAGGGTGCGTTTTCGATTTGCAGCCACCGGCGCAATGCCCGAATCAACCTCCATACTGTCTCCGTTTTGTTCCGCAGATGGGATGTTCTCGCCACTGGGGAAAATGTCGTCCTCATCTGAGGCCTTTTTGCGAGTGGACTTGGCCTTCTTTTTCTTTGGTTTGCGGAGTTTAACCTCTGCAGGTTCTTGATAGTCGGAAGCTGGTATTTCATTCAATATATCAAGGCTTATAGCTTTTGGCTTGGCTTGTGTTATGACCCCTTCCGCCTTTGACGCGGGCGCTTGCGCCGTGGTTCCTTGCGCGTCGAGCGTGAACCGGTTTCTGCTCTTTCCATCGATTTCATCGTCGTATTGTTGCAAAATTCCGTGCTTATCATCAGACAAATCGTTGGGATTGTATGCAGGTTTCTTCTTCTTAAGCTCCAGCTTTTCTGAAAGCTTCTCCCGCTCGCGCATGTCCAAGTTTTCCAGCTCATCGCCTTCCTCTTCGTTTTCGTCAATCGTAGTGTCCTTCAATGTCAACACTTGTTCGCCGTCCCCGGAAAAGTCATTAAGTTCGTGGCCGACCTTTAGTCCGGCCAAGTCCTCCGAGCCGTAGATGGCCTGTTGCTCGCGCTCCGCCAATTCTTCTTCCAATTTCCGCGCCTTTTCAATCTTCTTTTGGCGCTTCTTCTGCTGAATCAGCCACGTCCTTGTATCAACATCCCCAGCATCATCTGCTTCGCCTAAACCTTTGCCTTCAAGCTTGGCATTTCGAAGCGCCACGTCCCGTGCCTTCTTGATTGCCGCGCTCTTCGCTTCTCGTTTCGCCTTTGCCTCAGCTTCGACTTCTAGCTTCCTCCAGTTTTCATATCCCTCGGCCTGACGAGACTCGAGCGTGCTTCCCTGATCCTCCTTTTCAGCAGAGCTGTCCGAATCGTTGGATTCCTTGAATGCGAGACCACCTCCGCCACCAGGAACTGGCAGAGGCTTCATGCCAAGACTGGCACGAATCTTGTTGGCTTCTTCGATAGATATTGTGTCAGCCATCTTGTCAGTAAAAGCACCCCCTATTTGAACCTCGTTCAAAAAGTTGACTTCCGACAAGTGCTCTAAGCCTATGCTGAACAGAAATCAATCGAAATGAAGAACACAGCATGCACCGCGGTCGACGATGTTCATCTAACCCATACGGCGAGCGAGCCGAGAAGTGAGTTGTGGTCCCGAAGGGGCTTAGCGCAGAGAAGTCTTGGCACCTGCTCCACTGGCGAACTTTTTTTGATTTAAAGCTTGTCCCGATCTTTTCCTCTTCTTCTTTTTCCTCTTTCATATCAACCACAGATCTGTGTTCAGCGATCCTGGCGCTCTCTCTCACGAGAGATGTCTGCTGGTCGTATTGCTGAACATTTCGACCCCCAATGGAGCCATCTCGTCCGTTTAGGACATTTTTCATGATGTCAATCTTCCGGTCGACAGATCTCAGAACAACCAGTCCCTGAGCCTGAGCTCCCTCCGGGTGAGCTCGGCCTGGGGGTCACTGGGGACGCCATATTCCACTTCCCTTTACTGACTGGCCGTTGGCTTGTGAAGTCAGGGATAAACCATGGCATGCCTATATACCTTCATCTTTCCCGGATGAACTTTCCTAGCCCTGTTTCGAGACTGAAGGTCTTGGACTGATCCTCCCGACGGCCGGATTTAAGTTTCTCGCCTTCACCTTTCATGTAGCAATGAATGTTTCTAGTGCGTCGTAAGAAGTTACATTGTATATTGCGATCTATCTATGTCGTACACTTCCGAAACAAACGCCCTGCTATGCTTCTATTAAGCCGTGGCAAACCCGAAGGACTTTAAATTATTCTTAGAGTAATTTGAGGTGGCCGGTCACTTTGTCTACCTCGGATTTGGGACCTGGTCCAACTCCGAGCACAGTGGCACTACCACTTGCAATCTGCGTCCGCCCAGCATCGTGTATGACTTGCGCACAGAGGCCCAGACTGATTGCTTGAGCTTGTAGCAATTCAAGCTCCTCTTCGCTTTTGACCTGGACAGCAACTTTGGCTTGTCCAAGTCGCTCCCAGCGCTGTAGTATCGGTGAATTCGGCGCCCGTCGAAGAAAGTATTTGTAGCAAGCCAACGTCGCGTGACTACACTGTGCCGCGATTTTACCTGTCTCTAATCAGCGGTCGCAATGTTATGATCTGTTCTAGAAGAAAGAATGCTTACCTTTGGTCATGCCCAGATCTGTGCGCACTACTAGCACCAATTTACACTCTTCTTTACTGCTTGTAAAGTTTTGAATATCTCCATTGTCATCAAGTTCTTCCTCATCCGAGCTTTCTTCGATTTCTTCCTCGTCGGAATCCACAGGCTCTTTCGCTGCCTTGGTATGCCTGCTGCCTTGGAATAGGCCGAGCGAAGACGCCTGGCCGACAAAGTATCCTCCAAGCCCCGCGACAATCGCAGTGGCAATCGCAACAGCTGTAAGGGATGGCAGCGGACGGTTCTCAAGGGATGCCATATTCGTCCTCTTAAGCGTATTGTCAAAAAAATATTCTGCCACCGGATGGTAGAGATTCCTGTGAGATTTGTGGCCTTGCGTCGCGACACGTTTCGGCCTACGTCCCATCTCTTCGCTAAACCTAATATTAGCAGCCCTACCGCGCAGCATATATATAATATGAGCCGCTCAGCCCAGATCGGCAATAGTTACACATAGTTCCTTTTGCTCAGACGGGCAATAGTATACCTGTATGAAGAAACTTGAGTGGTTTTTGCAAGGCCCGTCCGCATTTATTTAAAAAATTCTTAGATATTTAAATCTTGATGAAATGTAGTACAAGTATTTGAAAAGGTCTGAAAATATATCCATATTTGAAAATGAAACGAAAGGTTTGGCATATGCTATGGCACACACACACATACAGTAGAGGTATATGGCGACATTGTATCGCGCCATTCCGAAGACCTCGAAATGCAAGGGTTCAATAGGTCGACGACCCAAAAACGCTAGAAAATCGACAAATGAAAGAAACCACCCCGGAACGCCTCCCAAAAATTAGTTTCATACCCACTGAGTCCGGGTTCGGATATAAAGAATAGAACATATCAGAGCTCTGTCATGTATATTTGTGCTGTGCCTTCTGTGTCCTCCATTCGATAAAGTACGGCTCGAGCTCTTCCTCGCAACTCTTCCCGCCGTCCATGTCGCAGTTGGGAAAATTGATCACAAAGTCACCGGGTTTGTATGCTCCCGCTCCAGAAGCATCTGCATTATAAGAGTTCAGCAAACGTTGTGGAACCAGGGCCAACTTGGCAAGAATTGTGGCGTGCCATTGCACAATATGTTCCTGTTACATGTTAGATGAAATTTTCAACTAGTAAGCTCAAGAAATCTTACCAAAGCATGGCCTTCATTCTTTTGAAAGTTGTAGTTGCGGTAAAGTGGATCAAACCAGCTATCGAGGAAATACTTTGCCCATTCTCCACGCCGGAGGACGAAGCTGCCTTGCGCGATACCAGAATTGTCCTGGGCTAAAACCAAATCGATGCGATCTCCCTTGAGATGCGAGAATGTCTTGATGACGCTGTCGGGGAGAACGACGGGCGTATCGCGTAACATGAGACTCTCGAGGCGCTTAGGCGACATGATATGGTCGTCGAGCGCAAGCGAAGGGTTCATAATGAGCGCATTCTGGTCGAGATAGAAGAAGTATGTAGTGTATGGAAATTTCGTCATTGCATGCCGCATCGCGGGAACTTTGGCCCAGCTGCTGGGATGTCCTGATAGGTCATAATCGGTCACCTTAGGGAAAAAGGTAGCGTAGCCTATAGTATTGCCATTAGATATTCAACTCGGCCATATGCCACATCTTAGTACTGCAAGAAGAGGCCTTGTCCGTACCATGCCTAGAAGCGTAATCCCGACGATTTTCCTTGATCTTCTCTGTATAAACCGGAGTATGAACGGCGTCGAAAGCAGTCACTACCACCACTTTCGGAGTCCCAGCCGGAGGTCGATCAGTGAAGATAAAGGAGTAAATCCTTGTAAGGAGGAAAAGAACTGTGATTGCGGCACAAGCTAGGATTGCACCGGACTGCAGTCGTCGGCGTCGAAGAGAGCTCGAGGGAGAGAACTTGCTCTCAGAGAAACTGGGATGAGAGAATTTGCGGGGCGGTAGCGCAAACTGCATGATGAACTTATTTGGTGATGGCTTTCCGAAGCTGTCTGGCCCCAGCCAATTGTCGTCGAAGCACAATCGCAAAAACTTGGTGCAAAAGAGACACTATCGTACGAACGAGTTTATCGGTCAAACAGTCTTGCAGCAGAGCGTGACTGTGGACGCCGATAGTGATGTTGGTCAAGTATTACCCTCTAACAAGGCGTTTCGGCATCCCCTTGCAGGATTGTAAGATTCTCCTGCGACCCTCACCGTGACAGAATAAAAAAAGCTTATGATTTAAAGACAGGTGAAAAGTATCACGATGTCAGTCCTGTATACTATTTGAACACGTCCACCCGGAGAGTAGCGCCTAACACAAACCCCCCCTACTAGTGTCGGCCACTGCCAGGGGATCGTTACAAATTCCGACTTTGGCTAGCGCAGGGACGTCCAATTTGGGGAACACAAATGGGCTTTGGCGTTGCTGCTGTACTGCAGTGTACGTACCTAAGAGTTACAGTCCCCGGTATTCTTCACCGAGAGAACGTTCGTGTGGCGCAGTTGAAAGCCACGGAACCAATACGGTGTAAATAACCCATTACTGGTACCGAGGGTCTTGCGGGCACGGCACTGTAGCCGAGGTTCCAGACAAATCGTCCTTGAATCATTCTTACGTCGTCCAAGCATTTTCAGTCGTGGCGTAGAGATCGCAAGAAGCGGTTTGTGGACGGACTTTGTCACCACGCTCAATTCCACATTTACCAATGCCAAAAGATACGATTCTAGACTTCAGCACTAGTAAGAAGAGGAATTCATGCAAGAAGAGTCAGTGCAGCATCAGACTGCTCGCCATTTACTCTTCAGTATTGTCCGTGTCATGGATCTAGTAACCGTAGATTGATCCACAGCACCCAACGGCTAGAGTGAGATGTAGCTACCTTCGCCCCTCTAGCGGACATTTCGTTACAATGATGTATGATGTCTCCAGGGCCAGATCTCGGGAGTTCAGTGCAATCTTCCTCTAAATCTGATGCTCTGTGACGCAACGACTCTTGCTTAGCACTCTATCCTCGTACTTTATATTTAAAGCTCGCACCCTCTGATAGCCAAACAATACCCAGCAAGCTATCTCATTTTAACCAAGCAAAATATAATCGCAATAGAAATCGTCAACCATGACAGTAGACCAAGTCATCCAACTAAGATGCCAGTGCAACGTACGTCCACGACCATACAGTCCCAATATCATTGAACTTATAGGACGCTAACAATCAATTACCTTACAGAATTATCCTTGGGGCCGCAAAGGCGAGGCATCTGCGGCAGCGCGGTATTGTGCGCAAACACCGGGAACGGATTTTAAGATTGAGCAGGGCAAGGAATATGCAGAGGCATGTATAAAGAATCCAGTCTTGAATAATCTATGCTCAGCGAATAACATGGAAGTGTAGATGTGGATGGGAACATACCCGGTCCTACCATCCTACTCTCTCAAGACAAATGAGGATCTGCAAGACATCCTTGATGCAAATCAAGAACAACTGATCGGCGGTCCTGTACTGAAGAAATTTGGAAGCAAACTCCCCTATCTTCCCAAGGTCCGTCTTCACTCTTCTAATTATGGGCATTCTGGTCCAATTTACTGATTTGTTGATGTGCAGATTCTCTCCATCGACAAGGCGCTACCCCTCCAGATACACCCAGACAAAGATCTTGCTCAGCGATTGCACGAGAAGAACCCAGATCAATTCACAGATCCCAATCACAAACCCGAAATTGCAGTTGCCTTGGGCAAATTCGAAGTTTTTGTGGGCTGGAAACCATTGAACGTTATTCAAGCTCTGTTCCAACTGAAGCCTCTGCAACGTTTCTTGCCAGAAAAGCATACCCACTTTGACAACAACTCTCTAAAATCCATTGCCAAAACAATATTAGCCACTTCGGATGAGACGATTGCGCAGACGCAAAACGAGCTGCTAGCTCTTCCCAAGGCCTCATTCGGAACCGAGTCACATATTCCAGAGCTCCTTCCCCGCCTGCAACAACAATATTCCAAGCAAGACAACGGAAATATTGTCGCTCTCTGTTTAATGAACTACCTGGTACTCAATGCTGGTGATAGCATCTATGTGCCCGCCGACGGAATTCACGCGTATCTTTCCGGCGATATCGTCGAGTGCATGGCGCGCTCAAACAATGTACTTAACACAGGATTTTGTCCTCGTCCCGATAGAGATAGCGTGGAGCTGTTTTCTGCTGCACTGACTTTCGGTCCTCACTCCGCCGATGACTCAATTCTTCCTGCAAAGCCGTCGGATAAGAGCATCAACGGGAAGTCCAGTGTCTATGCCCCTCCAATGTCAGAATTCAATATGCTCACAACCCAGCTGAAAGAGGGAGAGAAAGAAGACTTGAAGCCCATCAACGGCCCTGGTATCATGATTGTTACCAGTGGCAGCGGAACAATGTCAACCAATAGAAAGGACCATGAGCTCAAAGAAGGGTATGTCTTTTTCATCGGTCAAGGCCTCGAGCTCTCTTTCAAGTCCGAAAAGGGACTGGCCACCTACATGGCATATGTCGAGGGTTAGAAACAGCACCCTTGAGAAGCTATTGACCGTTCTGATTCTGCTTCATAATGTTCATTATCATGTATATAAAGATGAATGAATAACGATCATAAGTTTTTGCTGGCTATTTGCTCATACTTTTCACCAATGACGTCTCCCTGCTCATTGACGATTCTTTTGGCGCCCATCTCGCAAATAGCCACTTCTTCTAGCTTGAAATCGTCGGCCCATGAGAAATCTTTGTATTTTTCCAAAAGCTTCGTTGCATCAACCGTTAACTTTGCTTTTCGCTTTCCATGACCTCTATCTCCCGTTGTCTTTTGACGAACAGCCGGAACATAGACGGTATTGAGCATCGTTGCGTGAAGCAAAAGCGGCCGTGTATCAGGAACCAAGAAGCCTGCTTCGACGAATTTCTCTTTCAATTGTCTACAAAATGGAAGAAGACGATCCGAGGCATCCACCGGCTGTGCGTAGAGAATAGACGTTTTCTTTGGATCATGCATTGACACTAAAGACCTGAGTGATATGTTGAGCGGACAATTCAATCCAGACATGTGTGAGTCGCCGCTTTGACTGCTTTGCGGATGTCCCTCACTGGTCGATTTGACCTCAACGGTGCCGGCCGGTTTAGTTTCAGCTCCGTTGTCGGATTGTTCTTCGCCGGTAATGGGCTGTGCAATCTCTATGGGCTCCTCCTTTTCCATAGTGTCTGATGACGCATCCCTGAGCATCTTCGGCATGTCAAGCCCGTGCAATAATTTGATAGCACTTTCGACTTGTCCTGGCTCAAGAAGGCTCATCACTCCTAACGTCAAGTGAAGCGTCTCAAGAGGCCTAAATGCTCTCTGTGGAATAGAGACGCTCTCAGGATGTGTACCCTGCGACTCTGCCGCGAATGCCTCAACAGACGCCTGTAATTGGCTTCGAGAAGCATTCGTGACCAATGGTAAACAGAGAAAATGTGTCAACGGTGGTTTTGGAGGCATCTCAGGAGAAGATCCAAGTCGACTTTTTTTGTTCCACGCTATTGCCTTCCGAGAAGTTTTATTGAAAAGTCTGTTTCGTGACGCAAGGGCAGTTTGTTGCATTAGGCGTCTGGGCAGGCCAGTGAATGCTGCGCGAAATGAACGCGTACTGGGCTATTTTACTAACAAATTTTGTTCTTGTAATCTCCGTTGCAGCACCTAATATTGCAAGCAAATAGATAAGATGATGATATCCATTGAAGGGATGCCGATGATCGAGTAGAACCGCTAGTTAAGCGTAGGGAAATCAATTGAGGCTAAGGGAAGGAATAAATTAAGGGAGCTTGGGGCGGAATCACCCGCATGAGCTTATGCGGGACGCTTCCGTCACCCCGCTAAAGCCCCTCCGTCCGCGGTGATAGATAGTGGGACCTGCCAGCGAACCTTTTGAGCACTTTACCGGTAACCGGCGTTAAAAACAAGATTTGCCCTGAAAAGAGGACCCGCTTTGGTGAACTTTCATCCACTTTCACTTTCTATTGCAACCCTTACCTCAGATGTATTGTGCTTGCAATCTAATCGAAGAGTTTTTTTTTTCCATCTTATTTCACATTACCCTCTGTATGCCAATTGTCAATGCCCAACTTTGTCAACCGTGTAGAAAAAGATTGCCGGGTGGGAGAAAGTAATGATGCCTCCCACCACTTGACGAGAGCTTGACGTATTTTCCTAAGCTTGTCAACGCCTAACTGGCAACTGCGCCTTCAAAACAAAAGTCCGTGGTATGCTAGCGCTGCCATACCGCCTTTTTTGATACCCAATAGCACTCCTTGGTTCCAATTACAGAAATTCTATCATTTGTGCGTAGAGCCTATACGAGAGACTGCGAAGTATGCAGCGTTGGACAACACTTGAATCCTTTTTGGGATAAGCAAAAGCGAGAACACGACGCATATGGGCTCTTTTTACCCGTCATCACAGCACAAAATTCTTGTGTGGTAACGCTACGAAAAGGCTTGTTTGATGAAGAGCACTTTTGATGGATTCCAAGCCACGTATGCACAATTATCTTCAAAGCAGAAACTAACGCAGGCAATTTCGGCCTGAATTAGTGTGCTGAGAGCTTGGACACTTCATAAAGAGTAATTCATTAGACACCATTGCGCCCACAATGGTTCAACTCTTGATTCTCTAGAGTACGGTCCTCCTTTTTCTGTAGGAGTGAAATGCTGCCCCGTAAGTGGGCCACTGTACGCCAGATATGCCGCTGATGCTCCGAATCCCATGGCGAGGCTCAGTGCCTCCGTGTACGTGTTTTTATCTTGCGGAAATTCACGAAGGGTCGTGGTAGAACTTTTTCAGCAACTTCTCCGCCTCCGAATACTCCGCCTTTACGTCCACCAGGGTATCCTTGATGCGCTGCAAACATACTTGATCGTCTGCTTCGTCGACGGTACCGGTCTCGTCCTTTTTGGCGCCAAAGTGCTGAATTTTCTCGCAGCTGTCCTTGACCTTGGTCAGGCCAAGGGTGGCAGATGAGCCCTTGAGAAAGTGACCGAGCGAGGAGAGCTGAGCGAGGTCACCGTTGGCCCTGTAAAGCGCATCAGTCCCCGTGCGGGTCGAAAGAAGAGCAATGTTTGAAAAGCGCAAAACTTACAGGCTGGTCTCCATTTTCGTGAAGGTGCCTTCAGCCTGTTCGAAGAAACCGTAGACAATGCTCTTGCTGAATTCGCGTTCGTCTTCATCGTCGTCCATCTCCAGAATCTGCTCAAAGGTCGGGGGGTCGATGCTATCACCAAAGTCGGGGAAGCCGGTGGAGCCCTCCTCACTCTGCATTACGTGAGTTGTTAGAAACCTTAATCACGACCGCGGACAAGAAGTAGCTTGTTCACACTGGGATGGGATCTAGGAGGAAATAAAGGCGACTCACCCTGGTCTCAGCAATATCCTTTGCGCCGGGCATGATTCTGTTTGTCAACGTGATGATTTCACGGTTGGATGAATGTCTTAGTCAATGTGCCACCGGAAGTGCACGGTTGAAACAAATATGAATGATGGGTTCAGCAAGTGAAACGTTGCCAGACGGGTGCGTATCCTGGATTGTGCCCCCAATTATTGTAATCGGATGAAAGAAAGACAGAGGAGGAAGAGTGTGGAAGCAACCAAATGGGCGAAAGTGGCAATGGATGTTGATCGGGGAATCTTGGATTCGCGCAATGGTTGGTGATTGGCCCAAGGTGGGGTTGTGCACGCAGCAGTTCTTCGTGCAATGTCTGCCCCACTTGGATGGGGATGGACTCTAAACCGCACCGCAAACCAGGTGAGGGGGAAACGAAAATTACGGGGGGTTTTACGACTGCGAACAGCCTCAGCTGATAATGAGTTGATAAGGTCCTCGGGAATTATTGTCCTCTGTGCGCTAAATAGCCCCCGACTTTCTTCTCTGAGAATGAGAAGGGAGGGCTGGTCGCAAATCAAACAACGCTGGAGCGATAGGAGCCCGCTTGGAGATGCAGAGATCGCACGTCACCTTTTTCAGAGGAATGCCTACGGAAGAAGGACGAAAAAAAGTAGGTAGCTAGCTAAAAATGGGGGCTACAAAGGTGTGGTGCTGACCGCCCAGTCAGGATGATGGGCATGTGCACAGCGTGCAGGGATCGACAAAGGCATTTTGTAAGGGTGCAGATGAATTTGAAGGATTGCAAATAAGAAGAATCATCCTAGCGTAAGAACGAATAACTTACCAGGTATGACCGCAATAGGTCTTCGCGACAGCGGGTGGCATGCAAAAGGGGGGGAGCTTTGGGAACCAATATCCCGTCAAAAACAACGCCAACGACGCCACAGCTCTGGGTGTTTAGAATGACATGCTACGGGATCCCGGCCTCGAGTGTTCCCCTTGTCGACTGCTCCACTACTCCGTCGAATTCTAGGTTTCGTGATAGACAGCTTCTAGAGAGGTCAAATTCCAAGAAGGTTAGTGCTACTGGCAGTGGCTTATTGTGCCTATTTAGCTTGTGCCCCAAAGGCTGCGAGACATGAGTTGCCTTGAGTCAATGCAAAGCTGAACCATGCTTGGTGACTGCCCTTTTTTCTCCTGAAATTCCTTTCGCTCTTTGTAAGCGGATAGCAATCAGCCCGATGATGTCAGATGCAATGCGAGTCCCTGCAACTAGCCATCCGAGACGTGCGCCTCCCCATTTGGAAGAAGGCCACGAGGGAAAGAGAACTTTTCACGTCTTTTTAGTCATGGGTACCAGCTCTTAGTTTATAAATAGCTTCACAATTACTGACCCAGCCGAGTGAGCCGTAGGCGGACAAAGAGACTTGCTTTCTAGCTGTGCATTAGATGGGAATGATGAATGACTATAGTATGTTTAAAAGTCACAAGCTGAGTCGTTGACACCTAGTGCAGGTTATAACTGTACGTAGGATGACTTTCCCGTTCCTTGGACGGAGCAGCCTAAATTTCTCAACTGTCCTTCGAGAATCGGATAAAGCGCGCTTATAAGTCCCCGCCCAGGGATGGTCCGGCTAGTTATAGCGTTGCTGGATCCAACGCACGGCGGAAGTACCGTTTGATCTTAGCTACATCCAGTTGCCGACCACGATGACGATCAAGAGATGGGAAATGCTATCTGGCGAAATGATGGACCCAACGGCAGGGTAAGAAAAACAATCATTTGTAATGTTCGCCCCTGATCATCCTTAAGTTTTGCGCCAAACCTGCTCAAGAACTCGAAAGAAATACGGTATCAGCAACGATCAGGTTCTTCAGTGCAGATTGAATGGGACCGATAGTATATCAGTCAATGGTGATATTCTCCTATGTACTTGTAGACGGCCCATAGTGCTTTATACCCATTACAGCTTGCAAAAGCAGAACAATTGTGATTAACAAACGCTATTTCAAAAACACCAACCATCGCAGCGCCAATTCGTGATATTCCGAAAGGGAAATAGAATGAAACCTCGACTGTACATGAATAACCGACGGTGATGCGGAAATCGTCCCAAAGAAATACAAAGATACCGTTGATAAGCAGTGCTCTATTCCGGATAGCTGACGCCCGTAAATTTTCTGCCGAGAACCAAGAAGAACTTAGAAAGGATTTTGATACCAGGGAGAGTGCTCGATAATGATGAAAGGGAGACATGAGAAAGCTAAGCGTATCGAACGCTTGACATGTGCTGATGGTACGATGGCGGAGGTGGCGGTGGAGGTGGTGAATGCCAAGCTTGGTTCGCATTGTAAACTGGTTGGTGCATCATTGGAGGCTGGATCCACTGGTTATGAGTCTGTGGTGGAATTTTGCGCCTATAGCGTGCTCTCGAACAACATCTCCAGAGGCATCCAAGGAAAGTCAAAAGTAGAAAGCCACCGACTGCCGCAGCTATGCCTATCACGAGAGCCTTGTGATCGTCAATCCAGGATCGGATTTCTTTTGATGTTGACGAGCCTTTGCATTGTCCCTGAAATTGTTATCAGCGATGCAAATCCCCACAAGATGTCACATTAGTGCAGGCTAGAGTGGGCTTGTCTGCAGGGAAGATAGATTTTGGGACACTCACATTTTGACAGTGTCCTCCTCCTCCACAAAGCGTTCCGTCGAGAAAATTTTGTTGCAGTCCATAGCAAACGTTGGGCCCAAATTCAGGAGAGGCACAAGAGATTGTACATCCATTGTTGTCGCACGCATATGTGTCGTTGGTTTGAGTGTAAGATCCCATGACAGTTTTGCATTGCTGGTCTCGTGAAGTGCATTGGCCACTTGCACATGTAAGCTTTTGTGTCTTGTTTCCACAACTTTGTCCGTCCGGCGCTGTCTGATCCTCTGGGCAATTTGCTGATGAGCCTGTGCATTTCTCTTCAGGATCACACACGCCAGTGCTTGCCCGGCAGACTCTAGTAGATGGAGCAAATTGGCAACTTTGGCAGCAGTCCTCGTTCGAATCATCGCAAACTGCATTGTTCTTGAATTTGCAAGTCGTAGCATCACAGCATGCATTGTTACCACAGCTCTCAGTTCCTCCACAATCACAGTCCTCGCCATCTTCGACAATTCCATTGCCACACTGTCCGCCAGAAATCGTGGAGATGTCTTTGTTGGCGACTAGGCAGTTTGTCTTGACACTATTGCGGCCAATTGCAGAACAAATGTTCCCGATCGAACATGCGCTGAACTGTGTAATACCCTGACCGGTTGAAGGGTTCATGATGTAACGTTCACCTGCGTCGCAGGTTGAATTGCTGAGGGGGCAGCATTGTTGAGCATTCACTGTGTTGCTATCACTGCAAGTTTGACTGGTGCAATCATGAACGGCGCCGAATGTATGCCCTGTCTCGTGGCTGGCCAAATATAAGTCAAAGCTGACTGTAAAAATGAACGCCGGGATTACTTACGCAATAACCTGCCATTCTGTTGAAGTCCGTGCAACAACGTTCGCACTGCTCACCGACTCAGATCCCCCACTAGAACCTTGGGAGGTTTCGACCCCAGAGACACAAGCCTGGCCCAACCAAGCCAGACCAACGGCCGAACCAGTGTTGCAGTTGGTAAGTAAAGTCCAGTACGCATTGGAATCGTTTCGGCTTCCCCGCCATTGGGAGAAGGTGTTCAATCGATCTTGAATGGTCACGTTACCGGAGCAGCCAACATTCCAAGGAGTAGCTTTCTGCTCAGAGCCAGGACAGTTGCTGTCAGATACTGTCAAGTTTTGCAGTCCCAGAGTTATATTGAACGATTTTTCGTATAAGTCCGAGGCAGAATTTATCTGGGTTATCACATTTTGCCGAGCAGCTTCGGTTGAGTTGAAAGTGCCGGTGTAGGTGCAGTCGGTCGCCACTCCCACTAATGCAACTTTTCGAGTGGACGGGCAGCCGGCAGTCTGCCCTATGGTTGATTTGAGGTTGACACCACCAGAATTTCCGCCACTGGGATTTGAGTCAATCTGGCGCTTCCCCAAAAGAGCTCCAATTGCAGTCGAGCCCCAAGATCCAGCCTCCCCTTTCAGGTCCATCGAATAATATGCATGTTCAGGTCGGAGATTGAATGAAAGTTCGTCTGCTGGACAGCCAACTCCCATGGATCTTTTGAGCTCAAGATCATCCTGTGGTAGGATATCAGAATCTCGAAAAACGATCATAGTTTCATCATTATTGTCATCGAGCAGAGGGTCAAGCTGATGCTTTGTTTGCAGATAGTTCGATCGAAGTTGAATGTGGTGGTGGTTATGGTGTATCGAAAAGGCGCCTTCAAATAATGGATATCTTCCGTCTCTTCTGATAACCACTCTAGCCCATCCTACTTCTTGCCATCCATGTCCGACGAGATGACCCCACGCGCGTCCTTTAAAAACTTTGTGTTCATGACGGTCAATGATTTCTGTACGAGCAATGTCTCCATTCGCATCGAGATATTGAACACTTGCCCCGTCGACGATAATATCATGGTTCGGCTCGAGGGAAAGTCGAACAATGTATTCGCCAGCGTAGAGACTGAAAGTTAGGTCAAAGGAGGAAAAGGCATGGACGCGGCCAGACGGAGTCAGAATTCGAGGTTCGGCGACTAAGGATACTCTACTCAAAGCGCCACGACTCTGAGAATGTGCTAAAAGTCTCGATCAGTCACAGCTCTTGATCCAAAGTGGTAAGAATTACCTGCAGAGAGACTAAGCAGAACTATGAGTGTTAGAAACAGGGCGACAAGATGTCGCTGAAGCAGCATTGTCGGTGCAACTGAGTATGAACAGTGTGTTCGAGTGACCGGCGATTGCAAAATAAAGATTATAACTGCAAAGACATGCTAATAAGGGTCGCATGAAAGAGATATCCGACTTCTCGGGGGATTAGAGAGTGCGACAAATCGTTGTTCGTGTTTCGGGTTGAGGCGGTGCAGATTACCCGCCGTGCTTGGCAAAGAATCGTTCTGATTTTCTTGGCAATGATGCGTAATACTCAGACCCAGTATTACCTTGGTTTGCTGTAGAGAGGCCTAAAACGGACGGAATTTGTCTCCGAGTGAAAGAAAGATTGGCTGACAATGCTATACGGATCAAGCATTGATATTGTAAATACTATATATGGATTCCCCGGCCAAAGTTTAGACGGTGCTTTGTTTGCGGAAGTGGTTGGTTGCGTTGTTGCCCACATAGAAGCGTGAAAAGCGGTCGGCTGGGGTTGGGCTGGGCTTAGTACCCCATTAGTGGTTCGGTCTATCGTGCTTAGTACCGGATACTAAAGCTGCCGAATAGTAGCAACTGTCTTTTACGGTTTGCGAGAGCCAAAGTTTGACCCCAGGCACCTGGGCATTAGAGCGAGCAGCAACATGCGAAGAATGGCACGTCTACGAGCGCCTGTTTCATTGAAAGTAGCAGTACTTAGTCGAAGCGACAGAGGTACTTGAAAGCTACATTGTTATCCAAAGTCGTCTTTCATCTGACACATTCGTTGTCCGGAGCAACGAGCCCTCCGGAGGATCCCTCACTCGAAAGCAGTCTGACAAGATGATCTTCAGCCCAGCGACGCAACGTTATCAACGCGTTGGAGATGAAAAAAAAAAAAAAACGTATTATACGAAATTTGTGGAAAGAGGTGCAAAATAAAGTATGCCGGTTTGATTACTGCGCCGAACTGAGCGAGTGCATGGTCATGGTTACATAAACTTATGCGCCACACAAAGATCCAGCTGATGATCCGAATCATCATCCAAAAGAGAGTGGGTTATAACTATACCACCAGACTCAAATTGGCCGATTCATTTGGTGAAATCCCACCTAAGCGACTGAAGAAAAGTAACCATATTCTCTCCCCTACTTGTTCTGCCTTCTTTTTTGTTAATTCTTTCGTGAAGAATGGACAAGGTCGAGGATCTTGTCTACCACGCTGGGGTCGGATAGCTGTGAGAGAAGTCAGAACATGAACCTGAAATGCACATTCATGGAAGGGTGGATGATTACCGTGGAGGTATCACCGAGAGAATCCTCTTCCCCAGCAAGAATCTTCCGCAAAATACGTCTCATTATTTTGCCGGAACGGGTCTTTGGTAGATCGCCGACAATGTATACAGCCTTTGGGGCAGCGAAAGGTCCAATCGACTTTCGCACCTGGAGAACGAGCTCCTTCTTGACTTGATCGAGAGATGATTGCTCGTCCTTGAGAGATACAAAGGCATTAACGGCCTGCCCTGTAAGCTCGTCATGGATGCCCACCACAGCGGCCTCACCAACGGCATCTACAATCTAAAGTCAACATTACTTGCTTCTAAGCCATAATCATAACATAACTCACGGTGCTCAATAAGTGCGGCCTCAATTTCAGCGGTAGAAAGCCTGTGCCCAGAGACATTTACGACGTCATCTACACGGCCACGAATCCAGTAATAACCGTCATGATCCCGCCCAGCACCATCGCCAGTGAACTACGACCAAGTTAGCTGGAGCCAAATGTTTGCGCAAGTCCGCACAAATCCTTACATAATAACCTTTATAGACGTTCAGATAAGTATCCATGTATCGCTTGTGAGCTCCCCACACTGTGCGAGCAATGCTAGGCCATGCCTGTTTGAAAGCCAACACGCCTTCGACATCATTTCCCTGAATCTCTTCCCCGGACACGGGATCTATGATGACAGGGTCGAAGCCGAAGAATGGAAGCGTAGCACTTCCGGGTTTCGATGGGGTAATACCCGCGAGCGGCGTGATGGCGTGACATCCCGTCTCCGTTTGCCAGTAGGTCTGGAACGTATCTTAGCGTGCGTCAAGAAGTTTGATTTACTGGTTCGCAACTTACATCGACGACATGAGCTTCTTCCTTTCCAACTACCTCGTAGTACCATTTCCAGACTTCTGCGGCAATTGGCTCACCAACGGAGCCCAACACCCTGAGGCCTTTCATCTTATGCTTGACATGGTGATCGCCCGCTCGCTTCAGTAACCGCAGGGCAGTGGGGGCGACGTAGAATTGAGTAACGCTGTACTTTTCAATCACCTCCCAGTAGCGTGAGAAGTCAGGATAAGCTGGAGTGCCTTCGAAAACGACAGTGGCAACGCCTAACAAAAGAGGCGCGTAGACAACATAAGTATGACCAGTGATCCAACCAACGTCACCACCACAGAAAAACCTATCTGTGTCGTGGATATCAAAGACGTACTTTCCAGTCGAAGCCGCGCCGAGAAGATAGCCTGCAGTTGTGTGCATCACACCTTTGGGCTTTCCCGTGGAACCAGATGTGTAGAGAAGAAAGAGGGGGTCCTCAGAGTTCACGGGCTCTGGTGCAATATAAGATGGATATTTTTCGACCTCCTCGTGCCACCAAAAGTCTCTTCCCTTGGTCCATGGAATTTCAGCCCCGGTGCGTCTGTACACCAAAACATGCGAGACATCAGGACATTGCTTGAGCGCGTCATCCACAATCTTCTTGGTGCCAATCACTTTTCCGCCGCGTCTTCCCTCATCAGTGGTGATGACAACTTTGGATTGAGCGTCTAGGACTCGATCACGAAGCGAGTCTGAGGAGAAACCAGCAAAGATGACCGAATGGACAGCGCCAATGCGGCTGCAGGCGAGGAATGCAATCAAAGCCTCAGGAATCATGGGAAGGTATATGGCCACCGTGTCCCCCTTTTTAACGCCCATCTGCTTGAGGACATAAGCTAGCTTAGACACCTGTCGGAGAAGCTCGCCATAGGTGATGATTCGGCCATCGCCAGGCTCATCCGCCTCGTAGAGAATTGCAGGCTTTTCTGGATCCTTGAATGCGTGGCGATCGACGCAATTGTATGATGCGTTGAGGCGGCCCTCCAAGAACCACGCAATGTCGCCGTTTGTCAACGATCCCGAGCGAACAGTTTGAAAGTCACGTTCCCAGGTCAACAGCTCTCTCGCCTGTTTCGCCCAGAATTTGTCGGGATTCTCTATGGACTCCTTGTGAAGCTTTCTATACTCCTCCAGATTTATCAGATGCGGTCTGGTCGAATGTTTTCTATATGAAGGTTATTGTTAGATGATCTTACAGCTTCGTGAGGGAGTAATTTGCGACTGCTTACTTGAACAGGCCCTGCGGCACAGGATATACCTCGTGCGGGTTGTATTCGTGGGCCGCAGGGGCCTTCGCCTCGCCCTCAGGCATTTTTAAGAATAGCTAGGCTGGAGACAGGTGTTGGCTATTTTTGGGGGAGCTGGAGCTTCCGCGCCCTGAAATGGATCTCCGCGCAAGATTCGGAGAGATGTAGTAGTAAATAGTCACCCGACTGAGCACAACAGATAGCGATGGGTTTCCTGTTGACAGCTGAATTGACCGCAGGACAACACAGATATAAAAGCTTTAGATTCGGAGGAGCGGCAAAAGTGCGATTGCGCGCAGGTACTCGCGACGGGCAGCGGTCGGCTGAAAGTGAGAGTGATTAAATAGCGAACGAGTCGAGGGAGCTTCAAGCGGTCCAGAGGAGCAGTTGGCGCCGAGCTCCAAATGGTCCTTTCCAGTCAAAGCGCGGGGTTACTCGAGCGGGGCACTACTGTTTACCAAAGGGTGAACTACAGTTTTAGTTGCTGCTACGCACCGTAGTATATACTCAAAATCTCTGCCTTAAACCCCTTCCGTCCGAAGGGGCGATCCCCACCTACGGGTTTACTACTCGAGCCACACCTCCTGCTCTACTAGGCTATCCTCTTAATTCTCACCGGACGAAGGTGAAGGTTTGATTCTTTTCGGATACTCCAGGCCTGCATGTTTGAGCCGACAGAAATTCCCGATCGCGTTTCGCATATCCCTGCAGGCTTAGCCCTTCATCCAGGCCTTGGTGACGCTCAAGAAAAAATGTTGAGCAACGGACTCCTTGACAGGAGAGGAGGGGGCTCTCGGGCCGGCGGCATACTCTGGTACAGTCCCTGTATCCATGACCAATGATGGCTTGACGCTTGGAGATTCCTTCCTGGCAACTGGCTTCGGTTATCCATTTGATCCAATAACCACAGAGCGGGGATAGGAGCTCTCCCCGACTCCGGGACTTCAACGAAAGTCTGGCCTCCGGAAGTGCCAATAAGTTCGAGTTAAGAATGGCCAAGATCAAGCCTCAACCGGATGCAACTATCAGTCTTGCTGAGCCTCATCTCTTTGTTTACCTCTTACGCAATGCTTTGACATACGAGCGAAGGGGCTTTCCTCGCGCTATTTGATGGGGAATTCTTCCTACCTATTTTCATGATTGCCTTTTGCTTCTGCTCTTATGGCTTTGTACGGAGGTATGGAATTGAAATATATTCAGTTGGTGGGCTGCTGAACATACGGTAAAGCGGAGACCATAACCTCGACTAGAGCTGAATACCCGCCGGCCTTCGGGGGGCACTGAAAAGGAACCCTTGCTGCGGATATGCGGAAAAATGTCGGCATCTCCTCGGAGCACATCATTTACTTGGTATGTGCTGCCAACGGAGAAGGTCCCACTTCTGTTGGCCATGCAAGAATTGTACTTGGTCCTGTGTCATCCGAGATTATAGGAGGCTAAAACGATGGCTTGCATTATTGACACATGCGGTCAGTCTCTTGCGCGTGTCGTCTCAGCGACCCCAACCGATTACACTTTCGAATGTTTTCCGAATAGTCTTGCGAGCTTTTGATTTTGTTTGGCCATGCCTTTCAAAACGAGAGGAGCATCAAACACAGAAAATTGCCGCTGTGTTTCTTTTTGTATGAAACATCATACAGCCCCGCCCTGTCTAGATGCTAGGTAGGGTAAGCATCAATTTAACCTTCCAAGTCTCGAATTTCGTCCGCCTCAATGTTTAGCACTACATATCAAATTAGCATAACTTACTTTTGCATGGATGGAATGTCATCAGACGAGGTGGCGCGTGATCACTCAGCTCAGTCCATAACTGGCAATGAGCTTGAAACTACGGTAGTTACCACTTCGCATCTACCTAAAGTAGGTGTAGCTTTGCTCGGCAATCGATATGTAGGTAGAGAGAGTTGACATTTTGTCGTCATTCTCGATTGTACCTTATTATCCGCCCTACGACCTGTGAAGCTCGATGGATGACTGTAGAGTGTGGCGGTATAGCGTTCTATTGCGCATCCGCGTCGCAATGGGTTTCCAACAACGCAATTTAGTTTCTATCCAGGTTGGCGGGGGCGAAATAACGCCTGAGGCAGGACTCGCTGCACCGACTTGGCAGCTATCGGAGATTCTTCTTCGCAAGGAAACCCTTTAGCTCGCCCGTCAACCCGTGCCTTCGTGTCGCGTCGCGTCGATACATGAGGTACCTGCCTACCCTGCTGCCTTAAGGTACCTGATCCCGAAAAGTGTAGGTAAGGTAGGTACCCACTACTAATTTGTTAGCGGCTCTGATGAGGCAACCACAGGTATCCATCACTACCTAAACTGCATCAGAGGGCGGCATGGACCTCTGACGTCAGTAAACTTAGAGAATGGCTGCCAGCTCTGTTTCCAATAACTGGTTTATGCCATTGACCCTATGAAAACCGGATGATAAACTCATCAACTTCTTCTCTCGGAACAGCCAATGTTGTTTTCCCGCAGGGATAACTAATTTGACTTTCATCTGTTTGAATCCTTTAGCATCGTGTATTTGCTACCCTCTGAATTAGCAATCAATTCTCTTTTCCCTATCGCGGTCGTGAATGTAAGTGAGTTATCTGTGTATTACAGCACATTACAGCGTATCGAAGCCCTGCTTTTGTCGCCGGCAATGCTGGGCAGCTATCTCTTCATCTTCATTCATCTTTCCTTGACCTTTGCCCACGTCATTGCTTTATTTTTCCACTTAGAATTTCCCTAACTCATTGGAAAGCCACTGCAGGCATATGGTTCCTGGTCTCGACACCGTCATAAACCGTCGGTCTTGTTCTTATATCTAAGACTGTACATCTCGCAAAACCTGAGCCATCGTTGAGCTCTCTTTGTATAGCCCTTCAGCATCTGCCAATATTACTTCGCCGCTCGCTATGCCCGATCAGCAACGTCATGTGCCCGGCGGGCATTGGTCTGGCTCGAATCCGATTCCAAATATTCAAAAATTCGTCGAAAGTCTCGACAAAGACAAGAAAGAGAGGGACAGATTGCTTGACGAGCAAACAAAAACTCAAACCCAGGCCAACAAAAATAAACAGGGGGACGCCAAGCCGCATGTTAATGATCCCCACGCCAGTTCGCCGAAGACTTGGAAGACGGTCACGGACCCAACCACGGGCAAAGACGTTCAAATTGAAGATGTCAACAAGGATTTTATGTCATCAGTGAAGAGCCCACAGGTGTGTGCCTTCAAACTAATCTGTATAGTGATCTTCTGCTCTGTTAGGGTTACTGATCTTTTTTGCAGCTTTCCGTGCCGAATTCAAATCTCGGGAAAGACACCGTAAGTCTCAAGGCAGCATTTGAATTCTTTTTTTGGGGGGGGTAACTGATGACCTGCTAGCCCGTGAAAACCGAAGCGTCCCAGTCTGGTGAAGAATATAGGGAGAATCAAGATGTTACCGCCCCTCCCGACCCTGTAGCCCCCGGGAGCACTTCGGATGTACCCATTCGAGGCGAGAAGACAAATATACTTTTTCATCCTACGCCATCAGTCAGCTATGAACCAATGTTTAATGCGCTAGAATCAAAAGCAGGGGCGCTGTGCATTGGAATATGCTTTGCCGTGATTGTTCTCGGTAAGATGTTTGGGGGCTCACTGAAAGGCCTGATTCCTCTCGCTGCATGCTTGAGCTCTGGCGTTTGGCTGTGGATGAAAGAGGTGGTAAGAAGCGGGCGCGAGGTAGAATGGCACAGTGAAAAGGAGCGCGGCCAAACCGTGAGTCTCTTTTTTTTGATCCTCCACTAACTTCCACTCTCTAATCACGGATACAGGCTACCGCCAACCTCCTTCCAGAATCTGTAGAGTGGTTGAATACTTTGATGGGCATTGTCTGGGGTCTCATCGATCCTGAACTGTTTGCCGGCGTGGCAGACACGCTCGAAGACGTTATGCAGGCATCTGTACCAGGAATCATCGAAAATGTTCGAGTTGCCGAAATTAACCAAGGCTCAAATCCATTCAGAATATTGAGCCTTCGAGCTCTTCCAGACGCTCATGTGAAAGAGCTGCGAGAAAGTATTCATGAAGAGAACAAGAAGACCAAGGACCCACAGGAATTGGCGGCTGATGAGGAAGGGGGAGATTACTACAACATTGAATGCTCATTTGCTTATCACGCTGAGCCCTCTGGAAAAAGAGCCGCTTCAAAGGCGCGAAATATGCACATGCAGTTGGTTTTTTACTTGGGTATCAAGGGTCTCTTCGGGGTGCCTTTGCCCATTTTTGTTGAATTACAAAGTCTAGTTGGAACTGTCCGATTGCGTCTCCAAATGGGCCCCGAGCCCCCTTTCCTCAAGGCTGTTACCTTCACCCTGATGGGGCTGCCACATATTCAAGCAGGGTGTATACCAATGGTCCAAAGGGGTGTCAATATTCTTAACCTTCCTATCATTTCTAATTTTGTCAATTATGCTATTGGAGCTGCGGCTAGCATGTATGTTGCGCCCAAGTCCATGAGCCTGGATCTTAGCAAAATGCTCCAGGGAGACGACATCCAAAAAGATGTGGAAGCCCTTGGAATTCTCTGGATAAGGATCCATCGAGCCATTGGGCTCAGCAAACAAGACAGGCGTGGCAGTAAAGGCGGTGGAAGCGATCCGTATATCACGTTATCTTTCTCTAAATACGGAAAGCCTATGTACTGCACGAGAGTGATCACGGACGACTTGAATCCCATTTGGGAGGAGACCGCTGCGTGAGTATCCACGGGTTGGAAACTTTGTTAATGCCTGGCTGACGATTATCTAGGCTCCTTGTCACCCCAGAATTGATCAAAGCAGACGAGCAGCTCAGTGTGGAGCTTTGGGACTCCGACCGGTCCACCGCCGACGACATTGTTGGAAAGGTTGAGTTGTCCATGCAGAAAATGATTCAGCATCCCGGCAAAATGTATCCACAAGTATCGAAGCTTCAAGGTATGGATGCCGGTAGTGAAATGCCAGGGGAATTGCATTGGGAGGTCGGGTATTTTGGCAAACCGCAATTCCGACCAGCCCTTCGCACAGACGGGAAGGACCCCAATCTTCCAGACGCGCTAAAGGGGAAGAGTGAGCTGCAAGATGATAAGGGTGTCATCGATAACGCTGAAGAAGACGCCGTTATTCATACTCCACCGGACCCCCTCTGGCCAAGCGGTATTTGTAGCATCATTGTGCATCAAATTGTGAACCTCGAACTCGAGAATATCAAAGGTAGCGAAGGGAATCGTCGCGGAAGGGAGTTTGAGCCTGCAAAAGATAGTGGCGAGAACACTGATGAGGAGGGTGAAAAGCTCCCCAGCAGCTATTGTACCATACTCTTCAACGATCAGCTGGTGAGTTGACCCATATCACGCATGCCAGTGCCGTTTTACTTAGAATCTCAGGTCTACCGAACCCGTGCCAAAGCCGTTAGTAGTCGGCCCATCTTCAATGCCGGAACAGAGCGCTTCATGAGGGACTGGAGATCAGGCATAGTGACGGTTACTGTTCGTGATCAGCGCTACCGGCAACACGATCCAATCATTGGAGTTGTCCCTCTGCAGCTTTCTGAAATCCTCCAAACAAGCTCTCAAGTTACACGATGGTATCCTCTTGATGGAGGGATCGTAAGTGCCACATAATAGTTCTCATACGTTCATGTCTATATATGAGCTAATTCCATTAGGGTTTTGGTCGCATTCGTATCTCACTTCTTTTCCGGAGCGTGGAAACCAGGCTGCCTCCGAATCTACTTGGCTGGGATATCGGAACGTTTGAGTTTACGTCGGATCGCATATTGGCCATAAACTATACTAGCCACGCCAAGTTGAAATTAAGGACTGGTGGCAGCAGTGGCAATATATCGCGGGCGCAAGCTCGAAGCCTTGAAGAAGGCGATGGGATTTTCTGGGATATTGCAAAGAATGAGGGAAGAAACAATGTTCGGCTTCCAGTGAAGCATCGCTATCGGTCGCCGGTGATCTTCGAATTCCATGCGCCGGGAAAACGCGGGCCGGACGGTTATGCCATGATTTGGCTGCAGCACTTGGTCGACAATGAGGACACGGATATCAATATTCCTATTTGGCGAACGAAGAATGGCCAGCGTTTGACACAGAATTACATCACCGAATCTAATGTGTCGGCGAAGAGAAGCCCTGGTCTAGAGGACCTTGAGGAAATAGGCCGGCTGCAGTTCCGTTGCCGGTTCAAAGCTGGAACCGATGAATCCCACGAAGCATTTGTCGTGGATAACAACTCGAGAGAAACATATGAAACATACGAAGCATGTCTCGCTGAGGGTGTGCGACAGCGCCAGGTGCAGCCAGAAGTTCCGGAGAATGTTCGCGAGCGCCATGAAGCTTCGCTGACACAGGGTCGTGACATACTGATGCAGGCTCAGCCAGATGAGCGCCAGAAATGGTTGACGAGAAGCGGAGAAGACTGGAGCGGTGCTTTCGGCGAGGATCCCAAAGCATACGTAGACTCAAGTGGAAAGAAGAGAGCAGAACCGGGAGTAGAGAAGCCAGTACATGATCCATTTAACCCAAGCTCAGATGATGACGACATTGATGAAGATGACGATTCCTCTTCTGAAAACGAAGATTTAGGGATAAATGATGCAGAACAAGGCGGAGAATTTGTTGGTGAAAAGCAAAAGGCAGATGGGTCAGCAGATGGGTCAGCAAATATGCCAAATGGGTCCGGCGCAAATAATTCTCAAAACCGAAAGACTGAACGGCGAAAGCATCGAGGCGTAATGCAATGGAGACCTGCGCGAAATGCGCTATTTGCCAAGGATGAGCTGAAGTTTGGCATCAGAAAAGTCAAACAAAAATTTGCCATGGAAGGAAGAGAGCCTGGGGTTGAGACCGAGACCGGCACTTAACAAAATATGGATTCTCGATTCTGAAAGACAAATTCCTCATTATAATTCCGGAAACCGCTCCTAAGCATGCAGGAAGCTCGGTGTTGGCCTTTCATCTGAATTCCACGAACATCATTAACGCAGAAGAATATTAATCAATACATTTCATTACTAGACATTCGTTTTTGTTTCATCATTCTATGCACACGTCAAATCTGGAGACATCCAGTCAAGTTAATCCCAGTCTGCAAACAAGTTTCTTTAACGCCTTGACACCAGATTTCTGCCATTCAGTGAAACGAGTCTTTACCCTTCAAGAGCGGCCGAAATTTTCGAACTTTCGCCTTCAAAGCTTGAGACCCTCTGATATTTTATAGTAGCGTCCCCATCGCCATCATCGAGAGTGTCCAAAGTCCATGTCCATTGCCTATGTCGCTTGCCTTTTCGCCGTACTGGCGCCCAAGATATTTGCTTCTGCTTTCCCCCCTCTGTGCTGTCATCACCATAGTTTCCGACTTTAGAATCCATCCCTTCATCATCGTTGTCGGATTCTAACGAATCCAGGTCCGAATGCGCCGCCACATACACACTTGTTGTAATCTCCTCGACAAGCGGGTTTTTGAAAGAAACCGATTTCACCGGCGGAAACATCTGGCGTGGTGCGCGAACTAAAGTTGCTGAACGTTGGCGGGGCTGCAGAACTGTATTACGCAGTATTCCTGGCAGGCCTCTTGGAAGGCTGTATGGTAAGGCAAGTGGATTTGAAGATGAGGTGCAATTTGGCGCGATAGTCCAGGCCTCACTTGGGGGCTTGGACGGATGGGAAAGGAAATTCCTTGAAGAATTATTGAAGGTATTTCGCACCGTAGGCGAGCTCATATCATCGCACAGTGTTCCACCGTTGGCTGGACGAATGAAATTCTGTGGCGTTATGGCAGACGCTATCTGTAAAGACAACCTTGGGCGCTTGGGCCGTGTATTATCATGCAATTCGGTAGCCATTGCCTGAGCCTGGGGCACATGCACTGCGAGCATGGTGATGTTTGCCGAAACGAGCGCTGGTGAGCATCAACGATGGGTCCTAATAGAAGTTCATCCACAAGGTGACTGCCAGTCTCTATCCCGTGATGAAGGTGATGACCAGAGGGGGCGTGGAATTTGACATTCGAGGTTGGACAATGTAGGTGTGTCCTCCTGGCTTGAGGCTATGCAGCGGTCAACAGCGACAAGGTTCCCCAGAGAGTCACGGGAATCAGCGGGGTATCATGCTGAAGACGTATGTGCAATTGTTCCGTATATGTGCATGCACAAGCGACCTTCTCCTTGCGAGGGGCTTGGAGATTTATTCTGATTCTGACTCTGGAGCCGTCATTCTTGAACCACTGAGCAGTCGGTCCGCGGCCCTTCTCCCGCCCCTCTCATGTCTGGCACTCACTTGTGATTCGTCAGTTGAGGGATGCAAATAAAAATAGGAGATCCAGGCACACTCAACGGTCCGGCACGAGTACCGCCTGAGGACCCTTGGGCCACTCGTGAACTGAGCCAAGCACGGCCAGCCATTCAGCTTCTTAATTATTCTAGTCACCTTTTCACCGAACCAACTGCATGAGGACGGAATGCCAGGGATTATTCCCCATTAGGCACAGAGTAGTGGATCGCATGGCGACACGTTTCGGCATCTCCCGCTGAGCGCAGCCAATCAGCAAAGTGCAGCCACTCAGGGTCTTGCCCCGTGCACCTCTGGGAACACGCAAGCGCCCTAAAAACCATGCGACACACCCACCCGTAGGTAACTTGGTAACTTTGTAGGTGAGGTACTTAAGGGAAACTCTCGAGTCGCCAGTATGGCCCAGGAAGTCTGCAGATTGCAATGATTTTCAAGTAGCGCTTGTTCTAATCCCCTTCTAATGTGGCTCAGGGGTCAGATATGAAGCCCAAACATAGTTATACCGATCGGTATTAGACGGCGAGGACGTTGTTGTGCTTCGGTGGTAGAGACACATTTATTTTATAGACATTTTCATACCTGAGGCAGTGATCTTCGTCGGATGACGAGTCTCAGGGCTAAAAATAAACTAAAAGTGATGCAATCTGGTGACATCGTTCAATATGTACATCTGGATCACCCTTCCGCTCGCTGCCAGCCACCTTTTCTAAGTCTTTCTCTTATTAGATCCCAGAAAGAAAGCCCGTCCGAGATGAAGCAGCTGATCTCGACTAGTCCTCTTTGGATTCTAAATCTGATAAGATAGCATACGATAAGATCGGTAGCTGATTCGCGGCGCGACTGACTCTCAAACCACACTAACGTAACTACCTACTTCATACAATCATAGGGCACCTCGACGAAGCCTTACAGCAACGTCCGGACATCTATCAGAGAACTCTATAACATCTATTTGCTCTGAAACTCATCATGGGGAGCGTTGATGATGGACCCTATATGGCGACAAACTACTTTCAAACGACGTGATCACCGAATTATCCTTCATTTTGTAAGAAGTTCAATATCTCAAGTATAGCTGTCAGCTAAATTAGGCGTAAAGGATTATGATTGCTTCTACGCATCAGTTTTTGAAGCTGAAAATCCGTTTCTCAAGTCCCGTCCCTTAGCTGTTCAACAGAAACAAATAGTCGTTACTTGTAACTATGAGGCTCGGCGAAGAGTATGTCCTACATATTCCAGAAATGAAAGAAAGCCGCCACTCAATTCTTGCCATAGGGACTCCACAAGCTTCAGCTGATTCGTGAAGCAAGAAAGGTTTGCCCGGATGTAGTCATCGTTCTCGGCGAAGATCTTACCCGCTTCCGGGATGCCTCAAAAGCGCTTTACAACTTCCTACGGACATTCTCCTGGAATGACAAAGTTGAGAGGCTTGGATTTGACGAGGTAAGGGCACGAAGACCATTTCATTTACCTTCTTCCACTTACTCTTAATGTATATCTAGGTATATATGGACGTGACCGACATGATTGAATACAACATTGAGCTCCTAAATACCAACAATTTAGAAAATTCCTTTTTTGGCCTTTCTCGCAGCGACCCTTGTAAAGGATTTTCCTTTGATGCTTCTTCCACGCCGCCCAATATATTTCCTGCTCAATCCTCGTTTGCCATTCTCTGCATACCAAATTCGAATGAAAACAAGTCTTCCGAATCACATGCCCTTCAGTTACGATTATTGCTGGGCGCTCATCTCGGGCATTATCTTCGTCATCAGTTGGAGGAACAAAAAGGATACACTGCGACGGTGGGCATCTCAACCTCGAAACTCCTTTCTAAGCTTGTGGGATCCATAAACAAACCAAATGCGCAGACCACACTGGTCCCTCCCTACCTGTCGGGTTCCGACATGAGAAAAGGTAATGTTGCACAGTTGTTGGACCCCCTTGAAATTGGTAAAGTACCTGGTATTGGTTTCAAGCTCGCCCTCAAAATACGCAATCATGTACTCGGGAGACCAGCAAAGTTCGGAACCGGGTTAGTTTATGGTGCTACACAAGATCATGTATCTGTGGGAAATGTACGGGCGTGTCCCGGCATGAACTCGCAGACTTTGGATACAATTTTACGTGGGCAAAGCTTACCACAAGGCATTGGTGCGAAAATATGGAATCTTCTCCACGGCATCGACGACACGGAAGTTTCGATGGCGCGAAGTATTCCAAAGCAGATCAGCATCGAAGATACCTACCTCCATCTGGACACATTGGACAAGGTCCGGAAGGAGTTGTGTAAGTTAAGCCAGAGTCTGCTCAAACGGATGCATCTCGACCTATTAGAAGAAGCAGAACACAGCGGTCCGCCTGAAGATAATTGTCAAGCACGTGTTCGAGGCAAGTGGCTAGCTCATCCGCGGACTTTGCGACTTAGCACTCGAGTTCGGCCCTCAATCCAAGCTGACGGCAGCCGGGAACGATTATTCAATCGAAAATCACGGTCTGGGCCATTGCCAAACTTTATTTTCGATGTCAATGAAGAGTTCAGTGTCCTGAGTGAGAAATTAGCCGAAGAAGCCATTCTACCTCTCTTTAGAAGGCTCCATTCTGGATCTGCTTGTTGGGATCTAAGTCTGATCAACGTCGCAGTCACAAATATGGTTGAAACGGCACATGCATCGGGTGGTCAAGGCAGGGATATCCACTCCATGTTCTACAGACAAGACGGGGAAGCTCGGCAACAGGAAGCTGATGGGATTGGTGATTCCACCAAAACGATCAATGCGGACGACGTGGTCGTACCATGGCAACAAGTTCGTATTGATGGCCATGAAGAACCGATCAACTCAGAGCGCCAGGGAAGTGAAGCAGTTGCGGCCGGAAATGGTACAGAAGATGCTTTAGCTTTCAAGCCCTCACAGGACAGTGTCGTTAGCACAGCAAGCCCTATCTATGACCGAGACGAGAATTTTGAAGATGAGTATATGGTTTATCCATCCAATCAACTTTGTCACATTTGCGATGCATTTATGCCGGCATTTGCCATGGCCGCTCACGAGCGATTTCACAATCTAGGGGACTAACGAGAACGAGGATACTTGAGACACTAAATCGTTTTCGGATATAAACAGAAAAATTTTATTCTGAAATTGTACATAAGACAGATATTTAGGTCTCGCGGAATAAGAAATCTGCTCCCGAAATGTACACAAGAAACTAAATCTGTTCAATGCCAGATCAGGCAGCAACAACCCAACTCAATGCGGTGTATCCCTAAAATTATGACGATCAACTCCTGATGAAGAGGAAAGGTCCATGACGGTAAGACATTCATGCTTTGATAACATTGCAGTTATCTTTTTGGACCTTCGGAGGAAATAAGAGGTCAAGCAAGAAAAATCCCTCACATGGCATTTTGCAAGCAAAAATATACTATCAGCCAGAGGAGCTCCAATACTTGCCAAAAGTCGGCCATGCAATGGCATGTGATTCATATTGATCCGGCACTTTCGGCAGCGGTCGTTTAAGCCTTGGCCTTCTTGGCCGGGGCCTGGTCGGCAACAGCCTCGTCAAGGGCCCTCTTCTCTGGCTGGCCGTTAAGCTCCTTCTCCTTCTCGGCAACCTTGGCCTTCTCCTCAGGAGTGAGGTCAGGGAGGAGGGGCTTGTTCTCGGCATGGTGCAGGTTTCTATAGAAAGTACGAATAATGCTGTCGGCATCATCGACGGCAATAGGGCGCACGTCAGCGAGAGCCTTGATCTTAGCAGTGCATTGCTTGCACTGTTCGTCGGTCAAGTTGATGTTGAGCTGCGTCGCACGAGACTTGATTGCATTCCAGCCGGTCAGACGGGAAGCAAAGTGCACATATCGGCTCATACCAAAGTCGGCCGGATTGATAATCTCATAAGTGCTGGGGTTGTTGAGGATAGCCTTGGCGTGAATACCGGCCTTGTGGGTGAAGGCGCAGAAACCGGTAATATAGTTATTGAACGGGATGTTCACTTCAACAGCGGCAGCGACGAGGTCCTCAATGTCCTTGAGCTTTTCCAGTCGGTACTTGCTCTTGACATAGTCTCGGTCGGCAGCAATCATTCGAGCCATCAGACCACCAAGAGGGGTAATACCGTTGCGCTCACCGATGCCAATGACTGAAGTATCAATGTGAGTAGCACCGGCTTCGAGAGCGCAGTAGGCATTGGCAATGGCGCAACCAGTGTCGTTGTGGAAATGGCATTCAATGTCGCAGCTAACGACTCCACGTAGGGTTCGAACGAGGTCGTAGACTTGTCTTGGGCTGGCACAGCCAACAGTATCCGCAATGCCCACGCGGTTCACACCAATCTTGTCAACAGTCGAGTAGATGGAGAGCAGGTCGACAAGGTCAGATCGGAAAGAGTCTTCACTGGAGAATCGAATCTCAATTCCCTTGGACTTGACAAAGTTGATAACCTCAATGGCTGTGTTGGTGATGTAAGTCATATCCTTTCCGTGAGAATGTTCACGGAGATATGATGATGTACCGATGACAACGTCACTAAACAGTTAGCTTGAAATTGAGCATATAATAGTTTGGTATCAAAGTCTTACACTCCATCAACACCCGTCTCAACAGCAATTCTAGCATCGTCCATGTGGCAACGAATGTGTGTCAGGATCTTCAATTGTCGTTAGCGCCGTGTCAAGGCATCGATATTTGAAAATTGCCTACCTTGGACTTGAGACCAAGCTTGCAGATAGCTTCGCAGTCCAATCTGGACTGCTCTGATGCGGCAGGGCTGGTGAGCTCAATCTAATAGTAAAACCTGAGGTTAGATACGCATATCCATGGGCATGTATTGCACCCAACTACAATTACAAGGGCACTCACATAGTCAACACCGAACTCGTCAAGAGCCTTAGCGATCTCAATCTTCTTCTCCCGGTCGAAGAAAGCATTGGCGAACTGTTCGCCTTCACGGAGAGTACTTTCGATGATCTTGAAGCGGGAAACATTGCTCAAGAAATCACCGACCGGTTGGTAAGGGTTTCGCTGACGCTGGGGATGAGGATTCTGACCGGTCTCGATGGCGGTGAAACCTTCGTGGGCTGTACATGAGAAAGAAGTTAATTCCTGACATCGAAGAATATACAGATGGCGTTGATCATACACATGACTCCATTGGCGGAGCCGTTGGCGTGGCCGTTGACGCCGTTGTTATTACCTTCCGCCGGAGGGCACATGACGAAGAGTGGCTGAAAAACAAGATGAGGAAAATTCAATTGATATATCTGAATCGGCCGCTACAAAAGGCGACAAATGGTGGTGGGTAGGGAAAGTGGAAGATGAGGGCAAGAAGGACTTGCGCTGCGGATTTGTAGTGGGAGAAGAATGATGGTCTGTGTCAGAATCAAGATGACTCTTTTCTTTTTAGTTCGGGGGCAGGCTTTGTCACTCCTAGAGCTATGAACGCTGGGCCACGACTTCACCAGTTTGTCCGACAGATTTAATCGAGTGACAATAGGCTTTTTACTCAGAAGGCGGCCCCAGTGCGATATGCCATCACTTCGCGGGGGATAGCCTCTGCTGATTGGACAATGAACGAAGAAATTTTCTGACTTAACCATATTTGGGGTAGTGCCCAAATTACCAGTCAGATCCTCACACAACTGCGATGTCGGAGGATCCCGATCAAGGAAAGCAAAGGAATTAACGAAGGTAACGTATGCTCCACGGAAAATGATTCCTTGTCCTAGTCGAACGGAAAGCCAGATCATGTGAGCATAATAGACGGGGAATTCTCCATTGAGAGGGGGAAAAATAAAAATAATTGAAAACAGCTCATGCCGCCCAGGAGAGCAGAACATGGGCCAAAACTCATCCCGCTCGGTCGTCCCATTGCATATGGAGGCAAGCCTTGTAACTGCCAAACCGTATGGGCAGTTGTACGAGTACATCACGTTCAGGAAGCCTCTGTACTACTTCACTGGTCTAACTCGGTAAGTGCCACGTCCCACGGATGAATTTGTGCGCTCGCTGGTGACGACATTTGGAGCTGTGCATCCAGCGTTCTGGTGTAATTAAATGGTAGATCCTCAAATCAATGAATTTGGATATTCCAGGCGGTGATTCTCACTCCTGAAGACTACAGTGCCGGCGCTTGCTTCAGCGGTGCTACAATTCTTTGGTAATCCAATCGATTAGGACGGGAATTGAAATAACGTTTTGCGGGAGATCAAATCTTCCTTTTCACGGGGAAATGCTTTGCATTTATTTTGGCCGCAGGACGTAAATTGACAGAAGAGTTCCCCTACCTGCTACGCGCCTAGGAATGAAATATTTTGATTGGGGCACGTACAATATACTGCGGTATGAACACAAAATTCAAACTAGATTCCTGCTAGTCCCTTAATTCAATTTGCATTTGGAGCTTACCATGCGCATACGAGCTGTGACATGGGTTCCTCCATCTTCCTCCACGATAGCCTTTCCTCGGTTCGGAAATGCAGTCGGAGTATAAGCTCGACCTGTGGGCCTTAGGAAACTACGATCAACTACGTAGACGAATGCATTTTGCTCTATCACAATTGGTTCAGTCTAATATATTGTGCAGTCAGACTTCCCTCCCAAGTCCTGAAACTCCATCTGCCATAGAATATGCATCAACGTTACACAGAAAGACGGTGATTGTACCTGAAATTCTCTTGTGTCCCGGTACTTACGTTATACTCCTATTCTCTATTTGTGCCGTCTTCCTTGACCGTCTTTGTGCAAACCCCTCGCCCATGTCGGTAAATTTTGGCTCTAAGCCCAATGTGCAAAAGCATCCCGCTTTCACCTCCGCAAAAGGTTGAAGGAGTAACTTACCGGAGTAGCTATGACTGAACCAGGACTGTTCGTGCACAGGCCAATCGGGGCAATGGAGAGCTGGAGCAAGTACACAGAAATCTAACCCGCTCCGTGAAGTCATAAATATTTCCAAGTGTGCAGCTTCAATTCTGCATTGCCTAGACATTCTATTGGTGCTTGAGAAGTTATAGATACGGAAAACATGATACCTGCCACTCGAACTGCAACTCGTGATGCCGCGCTACGCAAGGTTGTCCTGCGAACTTGTGTAGCGGCTCGAAGAGCATCAACTTGGGTTAACGTCCCCCAAGGCCCTCCAGTGAGTTTTCCTGCAATCCTTTAATGATCAAAGATAGGACTAACAAGATCGATAGGATGTAAGCATCCGTCTCGTGTTCATTCGAGAATATGTTTGCTAATACATTGTTCCGCTGCAGGCGATTCTTGGTTTGGATATCGCTGCACGACTTCTCTGCAAAGAGTACTAATGCTCCTCTAGGTATAACTGAAGCTTTTAAGGCTGACGCTTTTCCGGAAAAAATAAATTTGGGTCTGTTGACGGGAAAATATATAAGGCGTTTGGGCTTCGCTGACTTGAAATAACAGGCGTTGGTGCCTACAGAGATGACTCAGGAAAACCATACGTCCTTCCCTCAGTGCGAGCTGCTGAGAAGAAAATCATCGAAAGTAACTTAGACAAGGAGTATGCTGGCATTACTGGCGTCCCTTCGTTCACCAAAGCAGCCGCCCTTCTTGCTTATGGGCCAAACTCCACAGCTATTAGTGAAGATCGAATTGCAATCACCCAGTCCATCTCAGGGACAGGCGCTTTGAGGATTGGAGGTGCGTTCTTCGAACGGTTTTTTCCGGGCTCGAAAACGATTTACATCCCTACACCAAGCTGGGCGAACCATAATGCCGTTTTCAAAGACTCTGGTCTGCAAGTTGAGAAGTATCGTTACTACAACCAGACGACCATTGGGTTGGACTTTGAAGGGATGATTTCCGATATCAAGGATGCGCCAAAAGGGAGCATTATCTTGCTTCATGCTTGTGCACACAATCCTACGGGAATTGATCCCACCGAAGCCCAATGGAGAAAAATCAGCAAGGTTGTCATGGAAAGGGGGCATTATCCTTTCTTTGACATGGCTTATCAGGGCTTCGCCAGCGGCGACACTGACAGAGACGCATTTGCCGTAAGGCAATTCATTAAGGATGGTCACAGCATCGCCCTCGCGCAGAGCTTCGCCAAAAATATGGTAAGTCGGAAATCCGACAATTGCATCCACTGGTTCTGATCATATTCTGTTCGGCAGGGATTATACGGTGAACGAGCAGGTGCATTCTCCATCGTGTGTGAGTCGGCAGAAGAGAAAGAGCGAATCGATTCCCAAATTAAAATACTCGTCCGACCACTCTACTCGAATCCTCCTATCCATGGAGCGCGGATCGCCGCTAGTATTCTCAATGATCCGAAATTGAATCGGCAATGGCTTGGCGAAGTCAAAGGCATGGCAGACCGCATAATCAGCATGCGGGCTTTGCTCAAATCAAACTTGGAAGATTTGGGCAGCAAGCATGATTGGAGTCACATAACTTCACAGGTATAATTGACGCCCAGTAAACCAGGCAGTGTATTTTGACCATTTTACTTACGCTCTCGCAGATAGGCATGTTTGCTTATACTGGCCTTAAGCCGGACCAGATGGATAAACTCGCCAAGGAAGTGAGTCTGTCTTCACTGACTCCTGAGCCAGCTTGTACTTACTTAATTCACAGCATTCCGTTTACGCTACGAAGGATGGAAGAATCTCAGTCGCCGGCATAACCACGGACAATGTCAGACGGCTGGCCGACAGCATCTTCAAGGTGACGGGTTGAGCAGAATTTCTTTTCGACGATGCTTTACCCTTTTGGAATGTCCCATTTTTCCGTTGAAGCAAATACAGCCTCACTATCCCCAAAAAAATGTAATTTTTCAATTTTTCAATTTTTACCTCTCAGATGTTTATGTACCTCTTGAACTGTCTGATTTCCTTCTCAGCTAACCGTTCCTGGAAATGAATTCTGCTATGCCATCTTCGTCAGATACCCACAGTGCATAAGAAACCATTCCAAAATTATGCTTTTGAGACTATTGACAGACCGGATCTTCGGATAATTAGCTTCAGGCATTCTTCTTGACTTTCTCCTGCTTAGCTACGGATACGATCAAATTCCGGATATTGGAGAGTCATTCTACACTCTATTAAATGACCCGACAATAGATAAACCTATATACGAGGGCCTTTAAAATTCCTAATTCCGATATCTCCGTCTTTGCCCTCTTTGATTTGGCGCCTGTGTAGGAGGAAAGCTTCCATGGGGATGATTAAAAGATACCCTAAGAGGTTGTTATGAGATTATTTATTAAGAAACGTAATATCTATTATCTTACAGCATAGTTTCGACTATAATGATACCACAGGTTTACGAACTTCTATCTCTCCTACTCCTCGGATTTCTTAATTTGGTTTTCAACATCTTCGATCTTTTCACGGAACCCTAGACGCCTCCACCATCGAGCTTGCATTTTCAGTCTGGCTCGTCGGCGTCTCTTTCTGGGATAATTGATCGGCGACTCTCCACCGGTAAAGATGACAATGTCGTACAGACCACCTCCAGCAATGGCCCCGGCAATTGTTGCGATCCATCCTCCCCACAGGAACCAACACCGATAAGCAATAAAAGACTCCCTTCCGTAGCCGCCCATAAGCGCGACAAGCCGGGGACCAAAATCGCGTGCAGGATTAAAGCATCTAGGGGCAATATTTAGCAAGAGACAGAGTCGAAAGACAGAACAAGCTTACCCGCCCGTATTATAGCCGAAAGTCATACACAACACGGCTACGATGAGCCCGATGACGAAGGAATGCATACCAGCGCCAGGAGGAGCATTGCTGTCATCTCCAAGTGCGAAGATTGCACACGCCAGTACAGCGGTAGCCACGTATTCATTGAAGAATCCCGTGACAGGACTGACCCAGGCTTTTGGCTGCGTGTAAAGTGCTATCCCGGTTGACTCTGGAATCAGTGCATGATCTAGATGGAGGATGGCGTCTTTGTACACTGCGAACGCAATCCCTGCGCCCGTAATAGCGCCAACTAGTTGCGCACAAATATACACGAGACAGCGCTTAGCAGGAAATCCTCGGTAGATGGACAGAACAATTGAGATGGCAGGATTGAGATGAGCACCTGAAACGCCACCAGCAATGTAGATGCCAAGCATGACACCGAAACCCCATGCCCAGTTCATGGACAGGAATGAGCCCGCTTGACCTGCGGACGTTGCTACAGACAGACTCCCACAGGTACCAACGAGAACAGTGATTGATGTCCCGAGCCACTCGGCTATGGGTTCCCGAAGATGATAGCGAATCTTGGACCAGAAGTTTAGAAATTCCTCTTCACCACCTCCTCCTTCCTCAGCTTCTTCCATTGGATGATGTTGTTGTTCCCACCAGTCTTGGCGTTCCGGTTCTATATCATTTTCAAGGGGATCAGCAGTCCTTGCCCGCTCATCTAGGACATCTCGAGCCATGTCGACGTTGGGTTCTGTATGCATTGGCCGATCAATCCGATCGGCTGGTTGAGATGACGCAAAATCCCGAGTGGATGGTCTTCTGGCTTCAGTCATGGCCTCCATCGGATTCGCACGCTCTGATCCTGGTGTTTGAAGATTCAGATCTTCTTCCGATCTCTTTGATCGGGCGGAAAGGACTGAAGAGGGATACCGCCATGAGTTCATCCGCTTTGGTCTGGTCGCCGCAGAAACATTCCGGTTTGCTCCCGGTCGATCCATATTTGTGTCCGGTGTGTTCCCCATTTGTGGCGCTGGCTGGGTCTGACCATTTTCTCGACCCGCAACAACCTCTGTTCCTGATGGGCGGTTGTCACGCCGCATTCCAGGGCGGACAACCCTGGGAAGGGGCTTAGCCAGACCCCAGACAGGCTTGTCCTGAGGCTTGCCATAGTGATTGTTCAATGCTCGATATTCAGGATCGACATAGGTTTCTCCTTGGTTTGGGTGCGAAGAACCAGAACCAGCCAAGGAAAATTGTGGAGGCGGGTTACCTGCGTGGCTATTGCCTTGCCGTTGCATATACTCCCGCGGAGGGCGAGTGCTATGTCTGGAGGGCGCTGGCGGCCGCTCTCCACCCGTTGTGGATGATGCGTGGCTTTTTGATGTATGTGTTCTGGGAATTGTTTGCTGTGTCGAAGCTGGCAGGTTTTGTCCTTGATCCTGTGCCATTCTCAAATTTTACCGGAAGCAATTAACCACGTCCAGTCGGAGACGCAAAACTTCAGCAGATTCGAGCCAAAGTAAAATTGCATCGTGTTCGTGGGGCGGACTGAAAGGGATGATATGGAACTACTGTTTTTTGGGAGAGACGGCAACCTTCCGCGCTTTAAGAAATAATTCTTCGGATATGAGTACTAGTGACAAACGTCATGGTGTGTCAGTGTCGCGCCCGGCCGAACGTCTCGGGGAGGTGACGGTCCTAGGGAGCTAGTGACTAGTGACTTTGCTGTATCTGTACCATGCTACACAATGAGCGGCGATCTGCTGTCTTTCTTTGTGGCATCATGATGGCAGAATACATCATCGTCAACGCGGCACATGATAACACAGATGCAGGCATATTCACACGAGCCAAATGCATATGAAGTTTTGTGGACTTGAACATTCTCGTTCATTCTCACGCGGCTTAGAAGACATTTCGCCACTTCAAACACTCGAAAAGAATCGATCGAAGGGTGCAGATCTTAAGCGGATAGGGGCTAAACCAATATCTGATCGATTTTCCACTCGGCTATACTTTGTAGGGGAAAGCTTGGCACATGAAGCAGACCGAGTGTTTCTGATCTAGGTGAGTAGGATGGTATTTTCTTTACGCATGATTCAAAAACCGAGAAATCTTGTTTTGAGCATGGTATTTCAATGCCGCAATGAAAATTATAGACCCACTTTAGCCACTAACAAGAAAAAGCCATCTCACCCCTTACCAATGCACCCCAACGCGCCCTCTACTGGATAGAGGGTCCGCTAGCTACCTCAACCGACCATAACCGAGTCAGTGAGGATGACGGAAGATTTTTCTGTTGGTTCTGTTATGCTAACCTGTCGGCAGTATAGCCATGGTCACATGACCGAACCACCTCGTTCATTCATTTGTCACGTGATTAAGATGTCTAGTGCATTCTACAGAGCTACAGACATCTGCCATGTTTCCTCGCTTATTTCTTTCTTTGTTGTTGTGGCTGTATATATATTGTCTACATTCAGTAGTTAGTTTAGTATAGACACAGTTCTAAATATTATTACTTTTGTGTCTTTTGCTTCTTTGCTACCTGTATGACTGCTTTAGTTCATAGGTTATGAGCCTGGTAAGTGTGAGGCAAAAGCTTACTGATTAATTTTTATACTTTGTTTTAACTTTTTATTACTTTTTTAAGTGATTTAACACTTATTTTGAAAGTAAAGTAGCTTTAGTTTTACCCAAAAAGAAATTTCTTGAAAGTAACAAAAAGGATTGTAGAGTCACTAATATGATAGCTTTACTAGAGATAAAGATAAACTTTCCTAAGCTCAAAGGGCTAGATAATTATTATTAGTAGTATATAAATGCTAAAGTAGCTATCAAAGGACAAGGCATCTAGTATAATGTTATTGAGTTTGAAGATGAAGCTCTAGATGAGCAGACAATGCTTGAAAAGATTACCAAAATTTAAAAAGTAAAACTTTATGCTAAATAAAATTGTAATGATAGAGTAAAATATATGATTATGTCTATAGTCATTTTATCTATACAGCCAGTGATTTAAAACCTTTCTACCACTAAAGAAATGTAAAAGGTACTTGAAAAAAGATATAAGAAAATTGATTACAACTAGAAATTTTTCTTGTTTATATATTTCCTTCATCTATAGTATAAAAAATACTCAAATGTTAATGACTATATACTTAAATTTCAGAATTAACTACAGGCAATGCAAAACCTTGGAATGAATGATTTCAAAGATGAATTTCTTACAATGATCTTTCTTGATCACCTTTGTAAATTGTTCTTTAATCAGTGGTCATCTGTAAAATAATTTCAAGCTAGAAAAGAAACTTTAATCCTTGATTTACTCTTCTTAGAGCTTGTAGATGAAGCTTGACTTAAAGACCCTATACCTGTTTTAGTTGCTCAAAAGCCTACTCAAAGCAATGGTAGTAACAATGGTAGCAACAATGGTAGTAATAAAGGTAGAAAAGGCAAAGGCAAAAAGAATGTAGATAGTAATAAGATAGCTAAGAGGTGCTCTCACTACAACTACAGTTGTTATAAGCTTGAAAGCTGCTAGAAGCTAAATCCTAGAAAAGCACCTGAATGGTGGCTCCTTAAACAGAAGGATCTAGAGGCTAAAAAGGTTAAAAAAGCCAAAAAGACTACTGATTTAAATGTAGAAAGAGTTACCTTTATAGTAATTACTAAGGATAATCTTGTTCTTGTGAGGCTTAGATCAAGTAGCTAGGTAGTCAACTCAGGATTAGCTCAATACATGACTTTAAATCATTTAATCTTTAAAACATATTACTAAATAACTAATGAAAGTAGATATATAAGCACTACAGGACCTGGAAAGTTTGCTAGTAAGGAGACTATAAAGCTGGATTTGTTACAATTAGATAGTTCTTATATGATGGTTGATGTACACAACATTTAGCATGCTCCTACATTACCATGCTACCTGCTATTAGTTGGTCTTCTCAAAGAAAAAGACATCTTTTTTAACATACTTTTGAAAAAGATCTTCAAGAAGGATGGCTTTAAATTAGCATTAGCTACTAAAATCAGAAATATCTACCTTTTACATGCTAAATCAGTTGTTTAAATAACAGTACTACTAGCAATAGACAATCAATTACATACTAATTGACCTACAATTGTATAGTGTTTCATTGAAAAAGTAGATTTATAGCATAGATAGTTTAGACACATCAATTATGAATATCTCTATAAAACAGCAGAGAACTTAGTTGGTTTGAAAGTTGATTTAGGACTTACAAAACAGCTCCCTAAACAGACCTTATATGATACTTGTATGATGGCCAAACAGTACCATATGTAGTCAAAAGCTAAATTAGCTTGTACTAAGATATCCTTTAAGAGGATCTTTGTTAATGTAATTAGACCTATCATGCCTACTGGAATACATGGCAATAGGTAGTCTATTTACTTTGTAGACAATACATTCTGAAATTGATAGAATCTCTAAATGTTGTACAAAGCTAATACTTTTTAGTATATTAAAACATTCTTAAATATAGCTAAAATGGCCTTTGAAATGCCTATTAAGGCATACAGGATGGATAATGGTACTAAATTTAATACTATAGTACTAGTTGCATTCTTGAAGGATGAAGAGACTACTCTAGAGCTTACTGTGCCTTACATACCTAAACAAAATGATCTAGGCAAGCATGGCTACAGTATAGCAACTGCTTGAGCTCACTCCATGATCTTGGACAGTAGACTCTCAAAAGAGCTCTGGGAGGAAGCTATTAATATAGCTGTTTACATACTCAATTAGACTACATGCTTATCTACAAATTGAAAAATGCCTATACAGGTACTAAATAAAGTACATGGCCATGATGGTAATAAGGCAAAGCCCTTAGTTATACATTTTCAAATATTTAGATGTAAGATCTATGTTTACATACCTGGAGAAACTTGCCTTAAGAGTAACAAATTCTTAGCATGATCACAAATAAGATATCTTGTAAGTTATAACAATGACTCAACATACTAAATCTGGATTCTAGAGTCTAATAAGGTTATTTGCTTGAATTATGTAGATTTTGATAAATCTACCCTTTACAAAGATGTTAAACAACCTGTTGTCAACAACCCTACTATCAAAACAGTCAAATTTGATACTCCTGTATACTATCCTTAACTTATAGAAGGTGAAATGATTGAAACACTAGAAGAAGCTCCTATTTAGGGGGTGGAACAAGATAATCTTGAGCTACCAGAGCTTATGCCTCTACCTCTATCTCCAGAAGCACCTCCAGCACCTTGATAATTTAATTAACAAAGGAAAACACCTAATTATACTTTACAAGCTGACAATACAGCATATAAAAACAGGTTTATTAATGAATTCAATTATTTCAATGATTTATCTACCTTAAAGTATACCTTTATAGCTGCTTCCATTCTCCTCACTAATCCCTACTCCTACACTAAAGCAATGAAGTCCCTTAAATCTACTAAATGGCAGAAAGTGATGGACACTGAAATTAAACAGCTCAAAAGGAATGAGATGTAGATGCAAGTAGAATTTGAAGGACAAAAAGTACTCTATAGGTACTAGGTCTACAAGACAAAGATTCTTGCTAAT